CAACTGGAGTAAATTCAGCTCTCTACGTCGTGAATGCAAAATGCCTTCACTTAGTAATTCCCAATTCTTTAACAAAAAAGAAGTCACATTAGCCACCTGACAATGAATAAGAATTGTGACAAAAAGTTTTCTAAGTTTATAACCAGAAGCCCAGTGCGAAGCTTCTTGGACACAATCATTCCATTCAGAATCTCCTGATAACAGTCCCCGAGCATAACATGCTTTTTGGAATGTTTCATATACCACCCCATTCACTGTTCTAATATCATCATAAGAACAACAACCCCTAACAACATGCAATAGCATTCGCAAATAGTATCGCTCCTTTGCGGATGGGTAGCAGTAATATAATCTAGCAATGCAGGTACCTTTTTTGCGCTGCTGCCACTTCTTGTATTTTTTATTCCATACATAATATTGTGGCATCTCCGCAAAGGTATATTTCCGTGCATCCATTGACTGAAGATTGAGATCCATCCATGCTAAAAACATTGAGGTTTGGGAACTGCTAGACTCAACCGCTTCCTCCACGTTAGAATCAACATTTGAATACATTGTATTTTCACCAGGCAAATGACAGGACATACGCAGTACTGTTGGAGAGTGAGTGTATATATCAAACCTAAAAATTCTCCAACATGCGTCTCCCGATGTGATGTAACGGGCATCCATGAATGCCTTTATCTCATCGATTTGCACAACCGTAGTTCCACGATTCCGACCATCCATAGCCGAAGCTGTTTGTTGTGCAGCTACAGTGACCATTGCACGATCCTCGGGTTTGTTGATGTACTTAAACAAATATTTCACAGCCCTATAGAAACATCAAATAAAACCAAGTTGTAGATGTTAGATAGGGAAGTAGGAAAAAGTTGTATTATATTTTTTCTTAAATGTGACTTGTATTAAATAAGAAATCAAAGTACAGAGAACAAAAGGCAACAAATGGATCACAATAGCTTATCCAAGGGGCAAAAAAAAAATGAAGGAAAACACACCAAAAAATATTAAAAAAATTACGGAGTTGCGGCAAGAAGTCACACCAATAAGATAACACTGGGTTTATAAAATAACTAAAAAAAAGAGAAATCGCACAAATATTGGTTTGGTTTTTATTCATCTTTGGAAATTAAATCATAATTCATATGCATGCATAAAGTTAATAATGAGTGTAGCATATAAATATACATATAGCCTGTCATTAAGAATCTGAGTTTGGTAATATAATAAAGGAAACAACAACGTCATATAGATAAATACGATTTACTTCAGCCATATCTTGTCTTGTTACAATATTCAATATTGATATGCGCTCCAAATCGTAGTAACAAATATCGATTGTAGGGTACAACCCATCGATTATCCAGATCAACGCCGCCACAGTTGAAAACTCTACCATTGTTCCGCCGACGATATTTAGCAAACCTAGTTTCATCAATAGTTGTTTGAGAAGAGTATTCCTTGGGGTAATGCTTACTACATTCCCCATTCTTCATGCACACATTATTAGGACGTACTGTACCACACGGGCCATGCATCATTGAACTTGTGACAACTGCATACAGTTCAGGATCAAGATCAAGATCCGGAATTTCAGCACATATTATGGAATCAATAGCCGCAGGACCATGGAATTTATTCTCCGAGGCCAAAAAAACAATATGTGTGCATGAGGGAGACCCCGCTTTTGCCATTCAATTGCTTTGACATCTGTACAGCAAGATGCAAATAGTGGAAAAGGAATATTAGTTCAATGAGGTAAGAGAGTAATGGATGAACATTAATAGATAAATAACGAATGAATAAGCACACATACATTCATTGATTTTCCCAAATATTTGTTTCTCGCGAATCTCTAACATAAACTCATCAAGCTTGATTTTGAAAACTCTGGCGGTGATGTCAGCCCGGTCAGGATCTTTGCCACTGTACCTTCTAATCAAATCAACCATTAACTGTATCTCTGGCCAGTTAGAATTGCAAGTGAATGTTATAAACAAATCAGGATAACCAATCCACTTGCAAATAGCCATCGCATCCTGAAAATTCTCATACTTGTATCTTGGACTACCAGTGTGTGAGGCAGCTAAAATAACTGGCTTCCCAGAAAGCTTGATATCACTATCCCCTTGCAAATAAGAATTCAACAAATTCTTGTAGTAGTGTCCTCTTAGCTTCGACTGATGGGTACGCATCCAGTCTAAGCGTTCAGCCTCAATTAACGCAAATGCATTCACCATATATTGTTGAAACAATTTACCAGATAATAACAGAGAATTCGACTCCTGGAGACGGGTTTGAAGACAATATGCATAGAAATCACACTGGGTTATCATTTTATCTCCAACACTGATATTAGAGCTACTGTGACTATAGCTAATGCAGGGATGCCACCCATCCTCGCCATATGGGAATAAAATTGGATATTGTAATGCCATCAGACTTGGATGGTATACGCTAATCCTTTCCATTTCTGAACCCTTCTGTTGAACAATTATATCTGGAGAAAATGATTGCTCTCCTGTTTCATCTACAATCAATGCTGCAATCTCATTCGCAGAGGGCAAATCATATTCTCTACTATTAATTTCACGCTTAGCCAATAGTTTCAGTTGAAGCTCCTGGACACCAGAGTTTTGTATCCTATCTCGCGCAGAACGAAATGTACGTACCAGGATATTATTGTCATCAAACATATGCTGGAGGCCTTCAACAATACACTGGTGCAACGGATTCTTGGCAGGATCAGTGGAGTAAAAGTCCATACGATTCTGCACCTCGTTATCTGAATCGTGAATGTAAAGCTGTGCAAATTTCGGACTATCCCCATCACCAGGAACCAAACATCCTATTCGATGATAAATCTGACCACCGATTGAATATACATAAACTCCACGACCATCATTAATAGAGTGATTGACTTTACCTCCGAGAGAAATAAAGCAAAAAACCCCATTATAGGCTCTGATGTTAGTACGAAAGTGACGCGCTAATGGTGTATCCCCTTCAAGTAGAGTTTTAAGAAATTCGGGCACATCTCTGCGGGGAGGCAATTTCGCTTTACCATGCTTGCAACATAAAGGAAATGCAGGCAACACATCATTCCGTGTAGATAAAGTACTCTCGAACCGCCACATAACTGCTCCACAATGTTGACACGTACATGAAGGTGGACCAATATCAAAAAATTCAACCAACGGAAGACCTAGTGAAATAGATAAGTAATATTAATAAATTTTTGTCACAGTAATTCATATATTGAATGAGATTGAGAAACAGTGAAGCCGATTTAGGCGCGCTACAGTAAACACAATTATTAAAATAAATGTTCTCAAGGCAAGATAGATTGGTATACCGCTCATTTTAAGTAAGAATAAATCAAATTTCAGGAAACACCAAAGTTTGTTCATAACACACAAATTTGCCGTTGACACATCAACATCTAAAAACAATCCACTATTTGCATAAGGTGACATGAAGCGTACATCACTAAATTATATGCATGGCATAAATGGGTACATTATATGTTCTAAAACCAAAATAGGAAACAAAATATGTTGACCAAAACACAAAAACTAAACCAAAATAGAGATGAACCATTTCATGTATAATAGTGGCCATTAGAATCCACATACTTTTATTGACTTCTGTAGGAAAGAAACTTCGGCCACGTCTCTTTCTATGCAGATGAATACGTCGAAGTAATCGACTTTGCTTTTGTAATAGAAATCTAAACTCCGGCTCCAAAACTATGAACAACACCAAAACACATACGATATTAAAGAAATAAATAAAGATTCAACAATCTAGAATAGCCTAATTTGTAAGACTTGCTACAAAATTTAGCAAACAACAACCTTGGTGTTCATAAGGCAAGCCCCTCCTATGAACCTTCTGTTTCAAAATATGATGTCTTCTCTTACGGGCGACTTGGGATAGTATTCGCCGAAGTTGAGAGAGTTGGAATTGTAAGCCAGCTTCTTCTGCAGAATTTAAATATAAAACCATGTATTACTCATTGAATAGATGAACTAATTAGAAAAATTAAAACACAGATAACACACCTCTCTCAAATGCTTCTTCCTCTTCAGCAGATAAAACACAGCGTTGGTACTGATCTTTAGGATGAATAAACACTGCTCGACGTTTCCCTAAACAAATGAAATTCAAGGGAAAATATTAATGTCAGTTTGCATTGAAGCAGTTGCGTGCTAAACCATGACACTCACATGGTACAGACGATCGATAAATCTGTGGTTGGGCAGATGGGATGACATTTGCACTATCCATATTAAATTCTCCAATAACCTGATGCAATCTGAAATAGAGGTCGTGGTAAATGATGCACCCGTTCCAGTAAATTTTGCAGTTGCCATTCATATAAATTAATTAATTGTTACAACAGAAGTTGAACTCCTCACCAATTATAAGTTTGTGCGAGTTAATGACACATACAACACACCACACAAACATAACAGTCGAAGAAAAATATAACTATATAAGGCATAATTTAAATTGATGAACAAAACACATATAACAGAATGGCTTCCAAGCTTGGGGATGCAAAGGAAGAGCGAGAAGGACAACAATGTAATGGCCAACACAAATATAATTCAAAGGCATCCATAAAAACCATATCCAAAGAGAAGTTTGAAAAAGAAGCAAGCTGGCAATAAGAAAAGCACTATAAGTGCTTACCAATTCTAGTTCTTCTAACTATACCAAGCTTATCCCTTCTTTCAATTATGCAGTTTACGCTTTGTACTTTTAGCACAAATGGATTCCAACTCTAATGTCACAATACAAATACAATGCAAATGAAGTTGAAGAACAATAAAACAAACTAATGGAGTGAGATAAAACTGTCCAATGATCTTATGTAATAACGGGAAAAAAGCTTGGTAGAACCAATACACTAACCAGTGGAGCATTGCTTATCAATACCGCCTACTTTATACTTCTTTAGTGATTAGAGCTGAAAGTATATTATCAGATCATAGCCAGTCCCATTAGATTAATTAACCTAGAAACATATGAGAGAAAACCTTACTGATCAAGTTGGATTTCGACATTTACCTGCAACATAGTTAACATCAGAAAGTAAATTGATTATGTCTCATACGTGGTGGCGGGTGGGGGACGGCGCGCCAAATTTCGTCGGCGATGGGCTGGTTCTGGACTCAAGTAGGCTGGGCCTCTGAAGTATGGGCTGGCGAGAGAAATGGATCCCCGAGGCCTTATGGTTTACGCTTTCCTTTTCCCCCGCCAGGCCAGCGGTAGTTTATAGCCGGCCCTTCGGTTTACTGACCCGGAAAACGACCCGGACGAAGTACCTGGCTGCCGCCGCCGAACGTCTCTTTCTTTCCTCTTCTTTCTCTGCGGCCCGGAAAAACTCAGCTCAAAATCGGCAGTCGGCTGCTCTCTGGAAGACAGTCTAAGCGAAGTGGAATTTAAAGTAAGCAGCTTTGTTACTTTCAAGAGAAAGGGAAAAATTAAAAATCCCCTTTTGATCTCTAGAGAATCCAATCAACAGAATGAAGTGAGGAAGGTAAGAGAGAATAAAGAAAACGGAATGAACCAAAGGTAAGGGAATGAATCTTTGCAACCGAATTCCTGGAAAAAAAAACCCAGAACCCGAATCCCTAAAACTTAAAAGCAGCGACAACAACAAACAGAAATCTGAAAGAGGAAGAATAACTTACGGCAAAACCAATACCGATCTAACGCTTAGAGAACGGAAATCAAAGGTAGATGCAAGCACATAAAAGAACCAGATGATTGAGTCAGGTTTGGTTTTCTGAAGGCCAAGAAACTTATTCGAATGAGGTGAAAGAGTGGAAGGAAGGGAAATCGAAAATAAAAAATACAAATGAATACAAATTAAATGAGAACGTGGGCCTGGAAGGAGAAAAAAGTGGGTAGTAGAGAGTTTTTTATACAAATTAAATGAGAACATGGGCTTGGAAGGAGAAAAAAGTGGTTAGTGGAGAGTTTTTTGGTTCTGAAATCAGGCGGGACTCCTTTTTTTTTTTTCCGCTTAACACTCTGCCACATTAGCTTCCTAAAATCACTCTATGGGCAGGAAATTTTGAATGGTGGTTGCAGTTTTACTTTTCAGCTATAAATTATACTGTTGATTGGATCAAATACACTTGTATAGCCAAAAGTTTGACGGTTTTGCCAAATATAGCCACTTTTGACAAAATACCAAAAATAGCCACTTCCGTCTAATTGTTTGACGGTGTTAGTTAGCGTGCTGACTAGACTAACATCAGTGGTTGACGTGGCATATTTTATTAAAATATAATGTTAGGTGGAAAATAATTAAAATTTTATACTTCTATTTTTTATCAAATTAAATTTAAAAAATCATAAAAACAATAAAAAAATAAATGTCTTTCTCCCCACCACCACCGCCTGTTCATCTTAAACAAACAATTAAGTGCTCAACCCTAGTCCCCTCATCACTCTTCGTTCTCTCCTTCTTCTCTCCCGACGACCTCCCCCGACCCCCACTATTGGCAGCTGCCGTGAAAAGTAGTTTTTGCCTCAAATCTTGACCGCCTCTTTTATGCCCAGAAAACATAAACCCAAAAAATTCAGAAACAAAATCGTCGCCATCTCTTCCTACCATTTTCAGATCAAACCCCCAAAATCACACAATCAAATATCCAAAAACCCATAAATCCCTAACTCTCCAGATCGGCCTTCCTTCCTCGATCTGTGAGTCTGAGACAGAGGAGACGATGATAAAGCCAAGAAGCCCCAAAGATGTCGTCGTTCTTAGTGGTGCGACCCAGATGGCAGATCAAGCGACCCAAATCCCAAAATCCATAAATCCCTAACTCTCCCACAGACCAGCATCGTCAGAAGCCGCCATGCCGTGCCAGAGCGAGAAGAGGAGAGAAGAGGATGAGCGGTTGTCTTTGCCGACAGCAAGATGATGCATGGTTGCCTTTGTCGAAGTCGGAACGGAGATGGAGGAGTGAATCGGGGAGACGAGCCGGACTGGATTGAGGGGTGACTCGATGGAGGGGTGGATCGGCTGGATGGGTGTGTTCGTCGATGAGTGTTGTCGTCGATCTGGAGTGATGGCGGAGGAGTTTCGATGAGAAGATTGGATGTACATCTTGTGGAAAGAAGAGAAAAGGAAGAAGGTGGAGGGTTTCAGGGAGAAGATTGAGATCGATTCTTGCGAAGCTGGAAAGAAGGAAAAGGTAGATGAAGGCGTGGAAGACATTAATTTTATCGGTGTCTGAGACAGAGGAAGAAGATGGGTAGAGCCGAGAGAGGACCCAGAGTGGAATCGATTTTATCGGTGAGATCCTAGGGTTGGATTCCAGGTTTTGAATTGGGTCATTTTGAGGAGGCATCATTTTCTGGATTTACTGGTCGGAGGTTGAAGATGATGGTTAGAGGGCTTGGGTGAATGAAAGGGTGAGATAGATAGAGAGAGAGGTTGGACCAGAGGGGAGAAAAAGACAGAGGAGTGGGAGAGAGGTTTTGTTGGTGAAGATGAAGTCAGGGGAAAGAATATGAAATAAAAAATTTTAAAAAATAATTTGTTAAAAAATTAAAATTTTAATGTGACGTGGCATCCCACCTGTCAATGGATGCTGAGGTGGGAAGGAAAGACACGATGAGGTGGCAGCCACATCAACTGTCCGTTAAATAGACTAACGGTGCCATTGACGCCGTCAAATTATGTAACGGAAATGGCTATATTTGTCATCGAACTTTCAAAAATCTGGCTATTTATGGTATTTCTCCAAAATTGGCTATATTTGTCACAATCGTCAAAGTTTTGGCTATGCAAGTGAATTTGGCCATAAATAAATGTTAATCTTGTTGACCAGTGACGTCAGCATTCATGGTCGCCAATCTTGTCGTTGGTTCCGTGCATTGTCCCTTCTTGCACCCCCAGAGTTTCGTTCCCTTCACCCGATCCCGTGTCTTCCTGGAACGAGTCTTAGAGAAACGTTTTATTCGTTTTAAGAAATCAGATGTATATTTGCATTTTCGCATCACATGATTATTATATATACTGTTTCTGGTCAGAATATATTTAAGATTGACCGTCGCTGAGAGAAGTTTTGCCATGGATCAGGATGGGCACGAATTGACATACACATGTGTTGGGATATGGATTAATATGCCTACACGACTGTAAACGGGCTCAAGCCCACCGCAAGGCGTCCTGGGCCCAAGCCCACTCAAGGAAGCCCACACCCTATATAAGGAGGCCTAACCCTCCAAACTAGGGATCCTCTCTTCTCCCTTCCTCACTTTCCCCTAAGGTCTCTCTCTACTTTATCTCTCTACATACCATACACTCTCCTATATCGTACTAACTTGGGCGTCGGAGCGTATCCCGGGGGTCGCCCCCCGCCTTACAGGTTCTTCCACTCTCGAGGAGATCAGACGAGGGAGTCCAGATCGAAGCCCCATAACCGCCTAGTACATTCTAGGCTCAAACAATTGGCGCCCACCGTGGGGCACTGATTTTGGTATTCTTTCGTTTGATTTCTAAAGGAGTAGAAGAATTTACTCTTCCTCCAACTGCAAGCAACAAGGGCAACGACAACATGGGGAGCAAAGTTCATCAGAACTGGGGGCAAAGGTCTCATATGCATTTTTGGGCAAATAAAGCAAGAGGAGAACTTAGCAGCAGCGGCAGATCTGGCAAAGAGTCGTTTCCGACCGTCGGCGACTCCTCTTCCAAGGTACTCACCGTCATCCTCTTCCCTTGGAGGGACTCCTTCTCCGCCAACTACAAGTGACGGTAGCAACTCCAAATCGCCAAGAAGAAAACCCGCTAAGAAAAGAGGAAGAGGAAAACAGCTACGCCTGCAAAGACAACCTTCACCCCCCACCATGAAAGTTCATCGTCGTCGACACTCGCCGCCACATGCTCGTCTCCATCGACAGCTGCTCGTCTCCGACAGCCCTAGCGTCTCTCCCCTCAGATCTGGTTTTCTTTGGTAAGAAGTCCATCCCTCCTCCTCCAAAACAAACGACCGCAACAAGCAACTAAAAAGACGATCAAGCAAAGAAGATGCAACGAAGAAGAAGAAGAAAGAATGAATAAAAAAAAAAGATTCTGGCTGCCGGCGACAATTTCTACGTTGGCGCTCTGACGAAAAGAGAAGAAGTCGCAGTTACGTTATCCTCCAGGAAGAAAGAAAAGATTTTTTAAAATCTTTTAGAAGGCAGATCTATTCATCTACGGTGCATAGCCGAAAGCAGAGAAATGTCACTTCTCATTCTGGTCAGAAAAAGCAGATAAGCACTAAAATCGAGGATATCGAAATTATGGGAAACGCATATGAAGAAGACGGCCGCCAACCGCTCACGGAGAAGAAAGATTAAACTTAGGTGAAAGGCTACCCTCCCATTCCTACCAACCTCATCAGGCCCGCCTTGACTATGCGTCCAGCCCGCCAACCGCACACCGCCTCCTTCAATTGAGCAACGCGGGCCCGTTTCCTGCTCCCGGCCCACATCTAACTACCACTCCGTCTCGGGCCGCCTGTCACTGCCACACCGCCAAGGCCCAAGGCGGCCCACCTCCAGTCTCCCGCGTTCAACATCGCAAGCCCATCTCAGACTGGCCGCCTTCCAATCCACCAGCTCTGCATCCTTCATCCAAAAAGAAAGAAGTAAGCCGCCTCCACCATGCTTCGAACCTGCGACCTGCTGGTAACAAGCAAACACGCTAACCAATATGCCACAAGGGCGCTTTGTTGATCAGCAACGCAACACTAATAATTAATCCCTTTTCCAACTAACCGACCCGCTTTCAGCCCAACTATGTTAGGGCCGCCTTCCGCATCTGAAGGACCGCCTCGCCCTCAAAGTCCACGACTTCAATCTTTAAAGCCGGCTGTCTTCCACTCCACCGCATGCCTCACGGCCCACATCTGGACTGCACAAAAGAAGATAGACGTTCAGTAAAAAGTAAGAGAAAAAGCTTCTCTCAAGAATCGAACCCTCATCCTTCAACCTCATAACAAGGGCGCCGACCGGTAGAGTAGAAGATCTTCGTGCATCATCGCTGCAACACTCATAATTTATTCGCTTCTTCCCTATCATCTCTCAAGAATCGAACCCTCATCCTCATAACAAGGGCGCCGACCGGTAGAGTAGAAGATCTTCGTGCATCATCGCTGCAATACTCATGCTTTATTTTCTCTAGAAGATGCGAGTTATTTTCGACCGCCTCAGAACGAGGCCCGCCTCCCGCTTTGCACTCCAAGGACAAGGACCGCTTCAATGGCCCGCCAAGCCTCGGCCCAACCATCCGCGGCCCGTCTCTCATCAGAGCCCGAGCGACCCGCCAACCGCATGCGTACCGAGGCCCGCTCTCTCTCCTTGCTCAGGATAGCGGATAGCCCATTGGAGAACAAGACCAACATTCAGCAAAAAAGATGAGGGACGCCTTCACCAACCTTCGAACCGCCGACCTGAGTTTGACAAGTAGACGCACCGACCAGTATGCCACAAGAGCGCTTTGTGATCACAAAAGCAGCAGCCAATACTTAACCGCTCTCCAACGTCTCTAAAGCTAAGTCAATTTTTCAAAGATATATCTTATGCAAAGCGGTTCACTACTATTATGTCAGGCGCTCTCTATGCTCTATTTATACTTTAAATATATTGGGCCCTAGCCACTTGCATCTTTGTCGGATACTCAAAGACTCACGCCTCCGACCTCCGGGTTAGGCTCGAAGACTCCGCCTCCGAGCGATGCTCCCTCCGGGGAATGCTTCCCTCCTCCGAGCGGTCCTCCCTCTGGGGAATGATTCACGCCTCCGACCTCCGGGTTAGGCTCGAAGACTCCGCCTCCGAGCGATGCTCCCTCCGGGGAATGCTTCCCGCCTCCGAGCGGTCCTCCCTCCGGGGAATGCTTCCCGCCTCCGAGCGGTCCTCCCTCTGGGGAATGATTCATGCCTCCGACCTCCGGGTTAGACTCAAAAACCGCCTCCGAGCGATACTCCCTCTTGGGAATGTTTTTCGCCACCGAGCGATGCTCCCTCTAGGGAATGCTTCCCGCCTCCGAGCGGTCCTCCCTCCGGGAAATGATTCACGCCTTCCGCCTCTGGGCAAGGCTCGAGCATCGCTCCGCGGGCTAGAAACGGAGTGGCTCCCGTCAGGCAAGAAGGCGGAGCGCCTCTCATAGGATGAAAGACTAAGGCGCAACGCGCTTCCCAGGAAGCCGAGGAATGATGCGCTTCCCAAGAAGCCAAGGGAGTAACGCGCTTCACAGGAAGCGATGGAGCGATACGCTTCCCAGGAAGCTGAGGAGCGACACGCTTCACAAGAAACCGAGGAGCGATGCGCTTCACAGGAAGCCGAAGAAGCGATGCGCTTCTCAGGAAGCCTAAGGAGCAATGCGCTTCTCAAGAAGCCGAAGGCGCGAGGCGCTTCCCAGGAAGCCTAAGGAGCAAAGCGCTTCCCAGAAAGCGGAGGAGCGTTGCACTTCCCAGGAGCGATGCACTTCCCAAGAAGCCGAAGGCGCGATGCGTTTCCGAGGAAGCCAAGGGAGTAACGCGCTTGACAGGAAGTGGAGGAGCGATACGCTTCCCAGGAAGCCGAGGAGCGACGCACTTCACAAGAAGCCGAGGAGCGATGCGTTTCGCAGGAAGCCGAGGAACGATGCGCTTCTCAGGAAGCCGGGAGCAAAGCACTTCCAAGGAAGCGGAGGAGTGATGCACTTCTCAAGAAGCCGAGGGCGCGAGGCGCTTCCCAGGAAGCCGAGGGAGCGATGCGTTTCTCAGGAAGCAAAGGAGCGAGGCGCTTCCCAGGAAGCCGAAGGAAAAGCACCCCCCAGGAAGCCGAAGAAGCACTAAGCTTTCCAGAAAGCTGAAAGACTAATTAGCTTCTCAAAAGGCGGAGTACTAAGCTTCCTAGAAGAGAACAATTGATCTTGCCTCACACAAGACATTAACAAGACACATGAATTCCCGACAACATGGACGCGACATTGGTGAGACACGAAACAAGAGCATCTTGAGTTAAAACTCTCTAGCCGTGGGGGCCACCCTACCTAGGTCACAATTATGGTCTACTAGCGCTAACAACAATGGACTAGCGAAGATACTCTTAACGACTTGAGAGTTTTGGTTCAAGACATCGAAAGTCAAGCAAGGGGCAAAGGAAATGATCACGCAACTCGCACAAGGGGCAAACTGCATCATCCGGATTCATAAGTAAGGCAAATTAATACACGATTAACGCATTATGTTACTCCTTCCATTCTTACAGAATACAAGAAGTAAAGGGGCAATTGTTGGGATATGGATTAATATGCCTACACGACTGTAAACGGGCTCAAGCCCACCGCAAGGCGTCCTGGGCCCAAGCCCACTCAAGGAAGCCCACACCCTATATAAGGAGGCCTAACCCTCCAAACTAGGGATCCTCTCTTCTCCCTTCCTCACTTTCCCCTAAGGTCTCTCTCTACTTTATCTCTCTACATACCATACACTCTCCTATATCGTACTAACTTGGGCGTCGGAGCGTATCCCGGGGGTCGCCCCCCGCCTTACAGGTTCTTCCACTCTCGAGGAGATCAGACGAGGGAGTCCAGATCGAAGCCCCATAACCGCCTAGTACATTCTAGGCTCAAACAACATGTATGTATTGCTCTATATGCTTGTGGTGATAAGACATGGAAAACTTTGACAATCCCCACTACACCACCATAACTATTAGGGAAAAAATCCCAAAGTACACTAGTTCTTAAAAAAAATTCCCAAAATACATAAGTTATAAAAAAAATTCCAAAAGTACACATGTTTGAGCATCACCGTTTTAGACAAAAGCGGTGAAGGTCATCACCGCTTTTGACTAAAACGGTGATGTATTCACCGTTTTTGACTAAAACGGTGATGTATTCACCGTTTCAAACTAAAACGGTGATTGCTTCACCGCGTGAGAGAAAAACGGTGAAGCACTGACCTGCGTCCAAACTTTAAAACAACGTAACTTTGTGCTCGGTTATCCGATCGTAGCGAATTTTTTTTTGATTCCGCATAATTTTTTGAGATCTTGCAAGCCGCAAACCGCCAGAGGCGGTTTGGTCCCGCCTTCGTCTCGAAAAAATGTCGTTTGCTACCCCGAACGACCCTTTTTTCGATTTCGTCAAACTTTGAACGACCATAACTTTGTGCTCCACAATCCAAAAATCATGAATTTTTTTTTGATTTCGCATAACTTTTTAAGGACTACAATTTTTATCATAGACATAATTTCGGAATGTACTTGGATTCCTGAAAAGGGAAGGTAAAGTTATTCCCAAAACCCCTTAATATCCATAAATAATTCATTTTTTGAAAATTCTCTCCTACTAAAAATTGTAGTCCTTAAAAAGTTATGCGGAATCAAAAAAAAATTCATGATTTTTGGATTGTGGAGCACAAAGTTATGGTCGTTCAAAGTTTGACGAAATCGAAAAAAGGGTCGTTCGGGGTAGCAAACGACATTTTTTCGAGACGAAGGCGGGACCAAACCGCCTCCGGCTGTTTGCGGCTTGCAAGATCTCAAAAAATTATGCGGAATCAAAAAAAAATTCGCTACGATCGGATAACCGAGCACAAAGTTACGTTGTTTTAAAGTTTGGACGCAGGTCAGTGCTTCACCGTTTTGCTCTCCCACGGTGAAGCAATCACCGTTTTGCTCTCACGCGGTGAAGCATTCACCGTTTTGCTCTCCCACGGTGAAGCAATCACCGTTTTTCTCTCACGCGGTGAAGCAATCACCGCCCTTCTCTGACGCGGTGAAGGCCCAAACATGTGTAGATTGGGAATTTTTTTCATAACATGTGTATTTTGAGAATTTTTTTTAAAAACATGTGTAACTTGGGATTTTTTCCAACTATTAGCCAGCAGAAAATTCATTTTTCAATGAGTTGGTTTATACAATGTCAACAACAAAAACATAATTTATATATTTTGTAACCAACACATCATTTGGGTATTAGCCATATATAATACTACTTTTGGTTTTTGAATGATAATTTTTTATGTCAACTTTCTTTGCAAATTGTAATGATTTCAAAGTGTATGAATCATAACGTAACATAACTTGTATTTGAATGCGGTCTCCAAAAATATTAATGACTATTTTACTAGAAAATAATTATAAAGTATTATTTGAGAATGATTGAAAAATATTGAGTTTATGAAGATGAAACAAAGAAGAATTAGTATTGGATTGATGATAAAAAAAGAGAGGTTAAGATAGGAATGTAATGACCAAAACACGAGACATTTGAGTTTTTCGATACAATCAAATAAATGTTGGCAAAATAATCCAAAAAACTCAAGCAAAAATAAAACCCCTAGTGCACTAAATAAAACTCTGGAAATCGATCAAACGACCCTACTGCATTTAGTTGACAATACTTGCAATTTGTATTCTTCATGTACAGCCTATGTGTATGTATGTAGACAAATACAAATGAAAGCACATGGCGTTTCAGTCTCTGTTGCGCCGGGAATGGGAAGTCCAGATCACACACATTTATAGAGAGGCCAACTTCTTGGCCGATTGCCTGGCTCATAAGGGACACTCGTTGTCTCCGGGCTATCACCCTATTGCTCTTTCCGATTTAGATGTTAGCCGCTGGGCCCTTTTTGACTATGTTGGCGGTTTTACCGTTCGTTCGATAATTGAATAAGAGGTTGTGGTGCTTTGCACCTTTTCACCAAAAAAAAAAAAAATAGAAAATGTGTCTAACCGTAATGGAGAAAATAGTAAACAAGTACTATTGACCAGTTCCATTTTTTCTATAACCTAATATTAGCTGTAGTCACTTAATGAGCAGTTAAATAAGGCACTTCTCTCTCGTCACATTATAACCAAAAATAATAGTACCACTATTCCACCTTTTGTATGCATATTTGTAGACTTAACATTTCTCCTTAATTATAACTCCACTATATAATATGTATACTGTATAGAACATTCAAGAAGACGATGCAAATTAACTTGAATCAACTCCAAAATGAAAGAGTTTAAAAAAACACAAAAAGTTTGATAATAATTCGAAACAAGATAGGTCCCAAAAACAAAAGTTGATAGATATGATCACCGGAGAGAATCAGCGGCCATGGGCCGATTTATGTCCTGATATCTTGGACTCCATCTACACGAGACTTTCGTCCCACGTCGACGGTACCCACTTTGGCAGCGTATGCAGGAGTTGGCACCAAATCCACTCCCACATCTCACTTTCCAGCCCTCTGCCTGTGGAGATCAAGCACATAAGCTTCTCAAGCTCCGACGTCGTCCAAGTGCGGGAGGATAACCGACTTTTCATCCAACCACGGCGTGAATCTCAAATCCCAGATATGCTTGTAGGTGCCCACGTAGAAATCCTCGGAAGGGCGGGCGCATGGTTGCTTATAAAAGTGCATGGTATTTACTTGGGTTGTTACAATCCTCTACTCCGAAGTTTCGAAAGCTACATTGATCTTCCTTTTCCGAGTTTTCACTTTTCTAACTACCGTGGTGATCGGGCACCAATCCCAATCAATGTTGCTTTCTCCGGACTACCTACTGCTCGCGGCTCGATGATCCTCATGGTCTATGGTGATCGATATTTCAGCATGCTTCGTATTGGTGATGACTGGAGGTGGAAGACTTATGATTTCTCCTTGGGACGGAAAACAAGACAAATTTGTCTTGGCGTTGGCTACAAAAAGGAGTGGTTCTTCTGCTTATTTGAAATGGGGGACATGTTGATTATAAACACGAACCATAATGAGACGAGGATGTTGCTGGCGGCGACTAAGCCTCTGCTTCCAGAGCAACTCCAACGGTGGGACAGATTGCGTGTTTTGGCGGTGGTGGGTAAAACGACGACAGTGACTAATGATGAATATCATAAGGTAGGAGAGACGATAGGGTCTATGGTGGTCAGTCATTGGGAGCGAGATCGTGAGGCGAGTCAGAAGTATAGCTTCGGACTGGTAGCAGTGGAGGAAAATGCTATGAGAATGACTGATTTATTACTGGAGAATGGTGATGATTGTGAAATGGTGTCATTGGAGGATGGGGACGACAGCAAGGGGATGATTTTTGTGAAATACCCATTGCTCTTGAAGAGGAATTACGACGAATGTTATGCTTTCACATTGTTCGTTGTTGCTTTTATAGTTTTATGTGTTAGTTTCTTATGGATTGGCAATTTGATAAACGGTTGGATATATAAATAGGACAAAAAAAAGCATGTGGGATTATGAATGGGAAAAAACAACATGCCTTATATAATGATTACGGTTCCATTGTTTGCTTATACGATTGTTGTTTTATGCATGTAAATGTAACAATACATATCTGATCTAGGTATGTGCCAATTATAGGATTAATGTCGAATACACTATTATCATTGGAACATCCAAAGTATAAAAAAGTGTCACTTCTATTACAAACAATTCAATATGACAAATTATCTCAAACTATGAGGTTTCAGGTCATTTATATATAGGTTAAGTATTGAAATATGTATTTATTTTCAAGGTTAATGCATTGAAAAATGGAACCGAATTTTGTTTTCTATTTCACCCTCTTTCTAACTAGCTTGTGTCCGGCCTGTTGGCCGGAAGATTTAATGGATTGGTGGATCTATTGATCAAATGGATAGAAAGATTGGATAATGAATCCAAGTAATATTAAACATCAAACCAATATGAAACTACGAAAAGATTAGGTACTAAAATCTCATATTAAAAAATTTAGGTATCAAAACATAATTTTTCAATACTATTTTCATTAAAAATGAAATGTAGTTATCAAATTGAAAAATATAATAAATATAGTTATTAAACTGTAATATGTCAAATATCCAATCCATCAATCTAATTGGATTTAGGTTAAATGAATTAGGTTCAAATGAATTGTCGATATTTGAGCGGATGGATTGGTGGATTGGATACAAAATTGTTGCCTTTATCTAGTAGTATGTGGTGATGAGAACATCCATCACACTTTGAGTTCAAACCTTGGGCCAACCATCAACGAAAAAGAAGATGACAAATGTTTATTTCCAAGATGGTCTTTTAAACTTGAAATGGAAACCATTAACTAACTTTAAATAGTTTTCTTGAATATAATGACGATCATGTTTTAGAAATCCTACGATACCATCAGGTTGGATCGAAAATATCGAATATCGAACCCAAACCAGTAAACGATTTTAGCGATAGAAAATGATTGAACTATGATTAAACCACAATTTTAATACGAACCCTACCATCGATTTTTCTGGTCTACCCTCATGTACGGTTTCTCAATTCTCAAATAGTACATTATACATTATTATGTAGTTAATTTAATCGATTTTCTTCAATGCAATAAACAACATTGAAGTCCAATCTAAAAAAGATTGCAGTCAATTGGCTAATCACAATTGTTGGTATATCAACTTGTTATTTCTCTCAAACAATCACACAAAGATTAACATAATGATTTCTATAAACACTAATTATAAATTTCCGAAGTTGCAACTGAAAGAGTTACCAAAGTCTTTTAAACATAAAATGTAGAGTTTAATTAGATATAGAAGTATCTCCTTGGATAACAGCAAGTCAGCAACCTCCAGTGGCATTAGCCATTTGGTATTTGTGGGCTTTAAGTTCCAGCAAATTTATACCGACTATGGACTTTATGCACAGAAGATAAATAGGCTGATTGGGCCTGATCATTGCGCTGGGATTGACATCACACAGCTCCTTATTTACACGTTTTGGCGGCGCGGGTTTTAGGGATAAATTTTGGACTAAAATGTTCTTGACGAAAATTAAGGAGAGAGCAGTAAATTTTGAATACTGAAAAGCCTATAAAACTTCACTATTATATATTGGAGGACTTCTCTTCTTTATTACTCTCTTTTCGATCTGTTCCAAACCAAAACACCAAATATTAGCCACCACCGTCTGATTTCCGAACCAAGAAGCAGATTGGTTAAGATTGAATGCTATTAATTTCACATTTCTCGAATCAGATTACAATCATATTGCTACCCTTGCAATTAGATATCAGATCGGTATTAATACCCAATGGGCAATGGGTACGATTTCACAAAAGTGGAGCCTTTGGACCCCAAGTCAAGTCAAGTAGAAACGATCTCAAATTGTCAATGAAAGTATCCACTCACATTGACAAAAATTAACCATGCATGATTTATATTAAAGCATGAAATTCTTGGTTGTGTTAAACAAAGGTGGAAACTTAATTTCCAAGCTTCTCATTCAAACCAAAAATCAATATACACCGAATTATACAGAATGGAATCGAGTTTCAAGCTCTCAAGAAAGCCCCTTCCTCCCCATTTTTCTAATGTCAACCCTCTTCACATATGCTGGTTCCATGCAAGTGGGCAGATGATTCATATTCAAATGAAAGAACTTTCCACCTGAATATCATCTTGTTGTCCCTCGTATAGTGGCTCAAAACATAGTAAGATCTTCAATGATTCTTTTAGCTAGCTTGTAACCATGAGCTTTGCTGAGGTTCTAGGAGAGACCAACACCGGCTGGTTGCTAGATGAAGCTTTCATGGCAGCAATCTCTTCGAGGCGTTTCCACGTGGTTTCCCGTCTCGACTTGATCTCGTCCTCTCGCGCTTCGTCTTCCTGGAACTTGAGCAAGCATTCTTCGAAGAGCTCCGGATCAGCGTCGGAGAATATCTTCCTGACATTCAGCGTCAGGCTTTGCACAGCCTGGTTCCAGTGGCGCCTGGCGTTCCTCTCCAAGGAAGGGAAGATGATGGGCAGTATGATCTTTCGGTTCTGTTTGATTAGGTTCTCCACATGATCGTTGTTCCATAAGAACAAGGCCCTTTCTGCCACCTACAAAACAGTGACAGTTTTGAGTAAAAGATATGTACTATACTGGAGTCGCACCGACAGGTAATAATAATCCAATATGTATTACATATTTACATTAAATACGCAAAAGAGAATTTCTGCAAAGCACCAACTAGCCCTGATTGGTCACGATTAGATTTTCTGTTTCCAGTCTTACCTCAACAACATAACTCTAATGATCTGACTAAGAAATGAAAATGTTAATGTTGATTCATCAGACAAGTTGGGTGCTTTAATAGTATCAATAACGAGTTTCATGCCCCAATGCGGCAACATATCCGTTATAACCAAATTGGTATTCAGCCCCATCTCAAGAAGTTGAAGATTCACTGATTCACGATATAAAAATAAAACAAAGGAACCAACTGTCTCCATTTCAAAAGATATACGAAAAATATCAAATTACTAAGAGCATTCTGCTAAGATACCTGAAAGTGGGAACTGCTCAAGCACCGACTAATCTGGCGAAACAAAGGCACCATGCAACGTTGAAACTCTGCAGGCTGAGTAGCTTCCAGAACCTCCTCCAGTTCACTCAAGAACATTACTTCTTTAGCACTATTTGTAACTGGCCAATATTTCAGCAAACCCCTAATCACAGTATCAGCAAGCTTGCAGTCTTTCTCAACAAATTGCGTTATGCAGTATGACAACTGCTGGTGGTACATCGGCAAGCACTTTGGTTTATGCAACGGAATAAGAGCTCTAACTAGAAACAACTTGTGCTCTTCCTTAAGAGGTAACGCAAAGCCATTGATGATGCTCCCCAAAATCTCCAACAGCTCGGCGATCCCATTGTGCTTCTCCGTCTCAAATATGAACCGGTAGAAGATGTTGTTGATTGCCTTCCTAATGAAGGGCCTGTGCACCATGAATTTCCCATAGATTCGATGCAGGACCGTTTTCAAATACTCCCTTTCTCTTGGGTCCTCCGAATCAAAGAGATCGAGCAACCTTAGTACAAAAGAGTGATCAACATACCGTTTAGCTAGTTTTGCATCAGTTTCAGGTGATGCCACAAACCTTAATAACAATTCATACACGACTTGCAAGTGGGGCCATGCAGGGTCCATGGACGGCTCTTCCTCTTCAACGTCAAAAGCTTCCAATGCTTTGTTCTCACGAGGTGGAGAAGTGAGTGGTCTAAACAGATTTAGAGAGACCATTCTGATGAGTTCTTGTATGACTATCTCAGGAAACTTTGCGCTGGCAGAGGAAATATAGTCCACAAGCTCTACCAATGTCTGTCTCTTGATGTCCTTTTCCTTGAGGTTCTTAGTAGGATCAGTGAAATCGAAAATGACAGAACATAAGATCACCTTTCTGATGAATAAGTTCTGCTTCTCTGCATTTGGAACTTCGCGGAAGCTAGGCAGAGCCTCGTATGAAGGTTGATTACCATTCGGCTTTACAGGCAGGGAGAGCTTGTTGCTGTAATTTGAACCGTGAGCCGGATTAGAATTCACAGCAGGTGAAGATGTGGCATTTGGTCCTCCACCGTATCGGTTGTTTGTGAAATCGTTGGTTCTCGAGCTAGTGGAAGTGTTTGATGAGGTAGAAGTTCCTCCTCCTCCATCACGATGGTCGGACGACTTTGGCTTCCTAGGGAGCCTATTGAGGAACTGTTTGATCATAGCTCAAGTTTGCAGCAGAATTCCGTCTTTCGGGTTGACTCTAGACCGAGTAGTTATCAACACTCTATAACCAACTGATTCCTCTTACTACTACCAATAACACCCATTTCGAGAGAGAAAGTGAATTCCAACCAGTGAGGCAAAGACCCTTCCTAAGGTATGAACATACCTCCAACCGAGTTGCTACACCACATTGCTTCAGAAAACTCCATTTCCAGGCAAGATATATCTCTCAATTTAAGATCCCCAGAGCAAGAAAAAGGTCAATCAATCAATTTTGTCTCCCCCAAACAATCATAAACATGTTTCTGTGCTTCAATGGCACCAGAATTCTGAAAGAACAAACCAGCATACTATGAAATATCAGAACAACCAGCAATTGATCATATTGAAGGCAAGGAAAACTTAAGCAAATCTAAAACAATTCCATCACCTCTCCGTCCTCTATCTCGCCTTGCTGTATTATATTTCTTCTTGAGCTCCGCTGATTTCCACTGTTGAACCAATTTGAAGTGGATCAGACGGAAACGAGATCTGGGTAATGATCTGAAGAGCCAAAAGCACCTGCAATCAACAGAAACAAAATCCAAAAACAGAAAACCCAATAATTACTCATCAACCCAATACCACAAACGATGGGGAAAAGTACCAGATTCCCATTTCCAATCATGGAGCTAACAAAAAGGAAAGGTGAAATCCCAGATAAAAAAGGGGAAAGCAGAAAAAGGCGACGAACAATCAATCGATACACACACATGTACCTGAGATAGATGGAAACAGAGAGAGAAAGTTCAATTGCTCGGGAGAGTGAAGAATCGGATAGAGATTAAGAGACCGGAAAGGAAAGTGGAAGAATAAGGAAATTCTGGGTATTCCAGGATGCTGCTCGCTGGCTAGTGGGTTGTGTCTCGATAGATGAGTTTTTTTTTTCTTCCTACTCTTCTCGATGTATTTTGCTTCTTTTGTTCTCCTTTTCTCTTATGTTCTCATAAAAGCTTCCATTTTTTGTAAGACTTTTTTCAACCCCAGAAAATCACACAGACAAACCCACGGTTTTTGTTTTTGTTCGACTCTAGATCAAAATTAAGATGAGACCTACTAGAGCAATTACTAAAATTTTGGATTATTAACTAATTAATTAGTCTTTTAAATTTGATTTATCAACAATTTCGCCTTTTAAAAAGAGGATTGCTAATTGTCGCCCTAATTTTCTATATTCCTCTTAATTTAAAATTTGAAATTACTTTCTTATCCTCCAATTCTTTTTATTATTAACAGATATTTTAATCTTAACAAACAGACTCCCATTTAAAAGTTAGGGCAATAGTAGTAAAATTAGGGCGAGATTTAGTCATCCAATTTAAAAATTGATATACCAAACATAAGACATTCTATCATGCTACTCGCTCATAAGATCCATATACAGTAAAAAGTTTATAAATTAATATGCTATAAATTAATAATCCAGTTTAGATCAATAATTTATCCAATCTCGACTTGGACCAGTGTAAAAAAGAAATGAGCAAACTTAATAACATAATAAGATTACTTAGAGAAAATTTAACAAAATAGATTTGGTTGGTTTGTTGCATTTTTTTCTCTCAATAGTTTTTGTACTTTTTTGTCACGATATGAAATGATTGAATTTTTAAATGGGAGCTATTCTGCCGATTTAGGACTGTGCCTTTATCAATAGTCTGATTCATCCATCTAAATAAAAAACCAAGTCAATATCACAGTTGGTTTAACGATTATATAGTTGAATGATCGACAAATCTGGTCTGGTTCTAATAACAAGACTACCGAGTACTGACTAGTGGTGGGCAACAATCGATCAAATATTTTCCGATTCGTTTTTGGTCCTATGAATTATTTTAGATATGAAAAACAATGAACTGAAATTGAATACCGGGCCAATCGAACCAAACATGTTTTTAGTTCGGTTTTGATCCTCATTTCTCCTTCGTTTTTTGTCTGCTCCTAAATCAATTATATACGATTATGAACCGAATCGACCGATGTCTACCCTGCTGACACGTAAGCATACCCGTAATATTAGAAAATAAATACAGAATACAAATTTATTTACATATTTGTCATACTACCCAACATAAATTCAAAAGGAAATTGAAATCGAAAAGAACACAGACTGAAACATGCTAGTTACTTTGTCCCTTCTAACTACCCTAATCAGCAGCCTAAACGAGTTCAAACTCTAGGCAATATAAGAAAAGAAAACGAAAATCCAGAACAGAGAGACGAGTAAAATCATCATGATGTCTAGGATTCCATCTTTATCAGAAATCTTCTCCTGGATCCTCACCTTGATCACCTCCTTGAGGATCCCAGCTCCGTCAGAAATCTTCTCATGGTACGCCTCCCTGACCACGACGGCGATGATGGCTCGAACGGCGGTCCGCGATTTCCTCCCGGCGCCAGCCCAGCAGTATCTCCACGCTCTGGCCCAGAGTCTCTTCGGCCGCCGATTACCCCCTGGCCTCACCTTGATCTTCGACGCCACCACCGGCTACACCCGCAACGAAATCTTCGACGCGGCCGAGGCCTACCTCGCCACCAAGATCAACCACGACACCGACTGCCTCCACGTCACCAAGACCGCCGCCGACAAGAACCTCTTCTTCTCATTGGAAAACAACGAGCGGATCGTCGACAAGTTCCGGGGCCTCGAGCTCACGTGGCGCTTCTTCCGCTCCCCCGGATCTTCGTCGTTGGGCGGGCGAAGCGACCCGAGCAACCCGGCCGGGTCAATCGCGTCGCCGGAGAAACGCTGCTTCCAGTTGAGTTTCCCCAAGGAACACAAAGAGCTGGTTCTGGGCTCCTACATACCTTTCGTCCTGGATGAGCTCAAGGCGATGAGGCACGAGGAGAGGGTTCTCAAGATTCACACGCTGGACAATAAGAACTACCACCACATTGGGCCATGGAACTCGGTCAATTTGGACCATCCGGCGACGTTCGACACTCTGGCGATGGAGCCGTCCCTGAAGGAGGCCATAGTCCAGGACCTGGACAGGTTCCGGAGCAGGAAGGATTTCTACAAACGGGTGGGCCGGGCCTGGAAGAGGGGTTATCTCCTCTACGGCCCGCCGGGGACCGGGAAATCGAGCTTGATCGGCGCCATGGCCAATTACTTGAAGTTTGACGTCTACGACTTGCAGCTGGCGTCTGTGCAGGATGACTGTGACCTCCGCCGGGTCCTGCTAGCCACCGGAAACAGGTCCATCCTTGTCATTGAGGATATTGACTGCGGCGCTGATTTGCCTGACCGGAATGAGAAGAAGAAGAAGAAGCCAGTTCAGGTTAGTCACACTCTGTTTGCTTCCATTAGGCTCCCCTGTTTTATTTTCCCTTGTTCTTCACATTACCAAAAAAACCCTGCTTTTGTTGCCTCTCTACCTACTCCCTTCACAAGCCGCCATTATCCACCATCACACATTTAGAGAAATTTTATCAAGCTATAATTTTACTAAAAACAATTCCTACAATACGACACTTGACAAAATAAAATCCCAAAGAACTAGAATTTGGTGCGGATAAAGCGAATTAGGTAGTGATATGTTGGAGAAATGATCGATCTACATAGAAACAACCTAGATAGCGCAAAACCGAAGCGAATCAACATAGGACCAACCTTGATCGCTCCAAAGTCCAGACAGAAGCAAACCAACGCCGGAGCACCTGGATCCCGTAAAATACAAGCGAACTAGCCTCAAACCATTCGGAGCACACCATACTGAAACGAACCAGCAACTTTTTGAGGGTTAGATCGATATATTTATCATCGATATGTGTGATTCTCTCTTATCTCTAGTAATCTACCTGTATTAACGGCTGGTTTGCTTCGATCAGTAACGACTCATTGTTGTTCGTCTCGTGCTCCAACTAAACACTCCCGATCGCTGAACCAGCGTAAACACTTCGTGAAACTCTAGTATTTTGAGAATTTTTTCTGTTAAGAGTTAAAGTGTGTTATTTGGGGAACTTTTTAAAGTAAGCTTAGATTTTTTTCTTCTTCTTTTGGTAGAAGTAGTTTGGGTAATTTCCACATTTAATGCTTGCTATGTTCTTCTTATACAGGCAAGCACGGTGCACCCATATGACCCCTACGCACGTCAGCCCAAGGTGAGTGTCCCTTTTTGTGTCCTTCCTTTCTGTCCAACTCTAACTTACTCACTGAACTGAATTTGGTTTCCGTCTGAACTATGTTTTGGCTGGCACAGATAACCCTATCGGGGCTACTGAACTTCATCGACGGGCTATGGTCGAGCTGCGGCGACGAGAGGATCATCGTGTTCACCACCAACCACAAGGAGAAGCTGGACCCGGCCCTGCTCCGGCCGGGTCGAATGGACATGCACGTCCACATGTCCTACTGCACCCACGAAGCGTTCAAGGTGCTGGCAAACAACTACCTGGGGGCCGACGGCGGGGCCCACAGGCTGTGTGAGGAGATCGGAGGGCTGATCGGGGATGTCAGGGTCACCCCGGCCCAAGTCGCGGAGGAGCTGATGAAGAGCAACGATGCCGACGTGGCACTGGGTGAGGTCGTGAGTTTGCTCAAGAGGAAGAGGGTGGAAGCTGCAATGGCTAAGCCAGAGATTGAGAAGGAAGAAGAGGAGGAGGAGGAGGAGGAAAAGGTGGGAGATGGGGAGGAGGATGGCAGTGCGGTGGTTGAGATGGATAAGCAGCTGATCAATGGAGATGTGAAGGGGCATAAGGAGGATCCCGTGGGTTGGAACAAACTGGTAAAGAGTATGAGTGCGAGAAATGTTACTTTGAGACGTAGGAGAAGGTAAGACTATTGGTTCCGATGGAGAACTCGACAGATTATAAAGCATCCAACGATTTTATTTTTAGGAATTGATGAAATAAGATTTTAACGTGTTTAGTGTTTGATAATTAACCTTTAATGAAAAATAGTTAGAAAAAATATAGTACAAATTAAGATTTAAAATTTCTTTTAGAGAGAATATGAATTTTGAGTTTTCAACGGGAATTCATTACACCTAAAATTAGATGGCTAGGGTCACAACATTAATGTTGTAGATCGATACGGCCTCAGTGACTTTTTCCTAGTCGTGCGAGTCAATCACATATTCGATTTAAACATGGTTCATTTGTATCAAGACACAATCTAGATTCTAGGTCATACGACATTAGTCATGTTCCTAACCATAGTCGAACGATTTTCGGTTTGGAACGTCCAGTATGATCAGGTGCTTCACTCATGGTTGCAGGCAACTTTGGATAGTCCTCAAAATTCAAAGACCACTATTAAGTATTATCCACCAACCATCAATTGCTTTCCATACCTTTACAAGGTGAAAGAACTCTGTCCCATTCAAAGGCAGCATTTCTTTTCCTTTTTTGACAAAACATTCAAAGGTAAAGAAGGCTTTTGGAGCAAGTTTACAAGCCTTGACGTATAAGGCAGTACATATTCCAGGTAGCAAATACAGTGACAACTAAACTACCACATTGAATGACCCACCCTACTAGAAGGCAGGGGTGCCCTAAACCAACACTTTTATGCACCACTTCAAGTAAATAGCGTGTAAATGAAGGGTTGGTGAAACTATACTATTCTAGTTTTGGATGAGACTGGAACAAATATATTACTGCAACTTTTATATCAGATGTGATCATGGTGGAAACCATACAATTTCATACATTACAGGAAGGAAGCCCAGAGATGAAGAAATATACACTTTCATCATATCACCAGCCCTTAGCTCTCTGTCTGTCTATCCCCATAGAAAGCCAAAATCAGCAAAAACCCAAAAAGAAAAAAAGGAAGAATAATGTCACACAACATTTATAAATAAATTAACAATGAAACACCAGTAGTTTTTCTAGATCCTAATCTATTGCAAAACAAATACACAACCCCCCAATATGCTTCCTATCAACCCTTCAATCGTGTGTGTATTATCTTGGTACGCAAGGAGTTACCTGGAGCCGCTGGGCGCTGGGTTTGGATAATCAAGGCGTCGAGTACTTGATTTAGATTACGCATGTTCTTGGCCCAGGACTAAGCTTGAATAAGACTGCACCAGTCTATCTATTCATCGAGCATGACCACGAGGGTCTTTTTCACACTTGCGTCTTCAATATTTGTGGCAGGATAGATGAATCACAATCAGCTTTGCAAAATGAGGAGGACAAACTCTAGTGTCGAGATCAGTTGGCTTGGAGAACCCCAAACCAAGAAATCGAAAAGAAAAACCATGTCACTGGCCACAACCGATCTGGCCAAAGAACTGAAGCACTAGAAATAGTGGTGAAACTCTGTGTCAATGCTCCATCAAGGCTGTTTCAGTTTCTGATAGAGGAGCTGCAACAAGTATTCGGACGAGATTAGAAAAAAATTCATATCAAGCCAAGTTGTGGTAAACAAAGCATCAGCCATACAGTACACACAATATCAATTATAGCATAGGGAAAACCTAACAGCACACGCAATATAAGCTGAAAAGCAGGGTTACCAGGGCAATTAGACTAGTTTAGCACATCGAACGCCTAAGATTTACATGGAGTTTCTTTTTATTACGCAAACGCAATTACCTAGTACAGTAGGGCTATTTAGCATATCCAGCACATCAAGGATCAACGAATTGTTTGTTTGTTTTTGTTTTACAGGTCAATCACGGCAACTAATAAGTGTAAGCAAATGGACAAGCCCGAAAATGAAAAGGGAATGGATTATGTAGTCAAGCAACATACCGAGTAAATCTTCATAAGAGTCAGATAACAGTGAGTCGTCTGTTAAAAGAGGCGGCGAGAAGACTTGGCCAAGAGGGTCATCCATGTCATAAAATGACGACCTTTGTCCATCAGACAAAGCACCATTTGAACCAACTGTCGACAAAAAGCTACTTAGATTGTCATAATCAGACAGAGAGTCAAACTCGGGTAAACCATTGGTTTTGCTCCTGGAATCACCATAAGAAGCATGACTGCTCCGTGAGGCTGGCTCCATTTGAGTAAACAACTTTTTGCCCCTTGTTTGAGCAACTCTTTTGTCAGGCCCTGGAAGAGAAAATCCACTTGCTGATGAAAGAGGTAAGAAGAAGTGCTCTGAACTATCAGAATGACTGCCCCGAGAGGATGATTCTGAACTGCTTGAATGTGTAGCAAGAGCTGCTTCTCTTACAGACCTCTTCAAGTTTTGAATGTAATAATGATCATTATCTGCAACTGCATAAGCCATCATCAAACCATATGCTATAAGTTGAAGAACCAACATGGGGGAAAAGATGGAGATGGAATGCTGAAGCAGTGAGTAGCAGTAAGAAAAGTAGACCTTGGGGTTGGTTATCTACACGATTATTTGACAATGGCTGATCCAAGGAGCTCCCTTCAGAAAGAGTTTCCATCTGGTTCACTGGGATACTAGCAGATTGTCTCTTTTGTAAATTTCCAACTTTTCCAGAGGAGTTGGGAGTCAAATTGAATAGGTGGGGTAGCTTCAATGCCGGAGGACTAGCAGACACTGACTTGTCAAGCTGAAGAGAAGACATTCTGGAAATCAACTCAGCAGCATCATCCGAGACACCTTCCTAATAATGTACAAACACCGGAAGAATATCAGTATGGACCAAAAACTGTATGTGTTATGCAGAAATTGGAACTCAGCAAAGCATTACCAATGTCCTTCCGCTGCTTTGAGCCTGTATAGGTGAAGTTGCTCGAACACGGTGCTTGGTCATCGGAGGCAAGGTGGAGGATACATTATTCACAACTTCTGTACAGTCCACTATAGACTTTTGTATTGCTGGAGCAACTTCTTTAAGTTGGTTGATTAGCACCTGAGCATAAACCATCGGAAAAAGAACAAACGCCACCAAAATTAGTGGATGGAGTGTTTCTACAGTTGAACTACGGATAATTCAAATGCTCAAGTTTTGGCTAGCAACAGTGGAAATAAGCCCGTAATGGAAGTTCAAGCATAAAACATCCATTACCTGGAAACTAGAAAGGTGTTGCTGATGTTCAGCTAGAGTTGCAGCTAAAGACTCGGCATGGCCACTCGCGCTCCCATCCTTACCACTTCTCAATATATCTGGGCCTTCTCCATCATTAGCTTTGGCCTACAATATGGATGATAATAATTCACTACATGCTCAACCATAATTTAAATCGAACAACTTAACATAGAAATGAACGGATATTTCCATCTCAACCTCATCCAACAAACTCTATCCTGTCCAATGGTTGCATCTAAGGCAGGATGTTTAGACTAAAACTTAAAAAGAAAAGTAGCTTCTTTTTGGCTAATTATTGATGTCAAGATGGTTTTGTCAAATTACCAAATCTAATAACCAGAGAAAATCATTGCGAAAACCTTCTGACATCTAATATTCACCGCTAAAGATAACGGATTGAGCACAAACAACCCTAAAAGGGAGATGAAAATGATACCAAATTAAAGAAGCAAAACTTTCAACTTCAGTATCAAATGTAGATAATAGCATGTTAGTCTGTTCCCTAAAAATTCTTACGCTATATGCCTTTTATGCGCAACAATAGCAAGCACAAAAGACATGCCCAGCCCCACAAGAGCAAAAGAAAAAGGTACTCAAGAAATGCTGCTACTTTACCTTATGAAAGAAGCTAATTCAAACAAAATAAACAGCATACCATGTGAAGTGATTGCTTATGGATTCGTTGTAAAGCATGAGTCCAACGACGGATGATTTCGGCTACATCAACTGTTTGATGGACTCTCCCGCCTCTATCATCAACTCTAGAATGTGTCTCGTCATAGGAACCATCATTCTGATCTTTATCCTCCAACTGTGAATCTGTATTAGGAACTTGAGAGCTCTGATCCATTGCAGAGAGCAAAGCTGACCCTGAGATACGATACCTGTCATGTAATATTGAACACAAAGAGCTCAGTTGGTAAATAGAAAGTCCAGGCAACTGCATTCCAATCCAAAAGCATTATTACCTATGCTCTCGATGAGCTATTAAGTCCTCGATTGGTCCTGAAGCCAGAACTTCATGTTGACCTTCAAAAAGACCAGGAAATGTGGTTGAAGATAATGAACTTAAAGCAAGTAGGCATTTCATAATCTATTACATAGATGGACATAACTCCAAACTTAAACATCTGATGATACATAATGCAACTAATACGTAGTGAGATGAGAGAATACCAAATTCCAAACTCAACCATAGAGTTTAGCATCGTAACTGAAAATTAACAAATGAAAGATTTGGATCAAATGGTGCTGACACTTTAGAAGCAAATGAACCATAAGCATCAGTGTTTCAAACAGGAAATAAGAGATCGAAGTCTAATACCAACATTGTCTCAGCTTCGAAATGAATGTGGCCATAACATTATATTGTAAAGACTAGAAAGTGAATTCAGGCAGTGCCATGGAATAAAAAGGCTGGACTGCTAATCAAGATCTAAAAATGGAATCCTCTACAATCCATGCCAAAAAGATAATTAAGCACTAAGAAATCCCAATTGGAAAACAGAACAAATGAATTTATGAGCACCACATCCACTTAAAAGGGAGCATTGACTAGGACAAACAAAGAAACAAACATCAGAAAAGGATAATAGGTAGATGTTCGGACTTACTCTTACGAGCTAATATAGATTCCCACAAACGACTAGCCTTCGAGACTAGGTGGGAGTTCTGACTAGAACTAGATACAAGATCATCCCATAGTTCTCCCTCTAATTTCACTTTATTCCTTATGTCGTGTAACTTTTCCAGCTCTTGCTGCAGATAGGCCTGACAAATAGAGTTTGAGAAAGATGAAATATAAGTGACCTAACAACCATTTAAAGAATATAAAGAGATCATTACTGACCTCTTCAGCACAAAGACCACGGAACTCTGCTGTCATTTCATGAGCCAAATTAGACCACATAGCCTGCTTTTGTACAGCTGTCTCCGCATTTTTAAGAAACCTTCTTCGTTCAAGCGCCACTCTAGCCTATTAGATAGAAGACATTCAAGTTTCCAATACCAAAATCATAAAATGCAAGAAACAAAACTAAAAACATGAAGTGAGTAACATAAACTAGTCCACCAAAAAGCACAAAGAATGACCAAACCCTTAAGCTCTACCACAATGGACGACACAGAATCATTATGATCTCTACTGGGAGTAAATATGTGCATAACATACAATGAAGATAAGGAAGCCAAAGCAATAATATTATGTTACTGCAGGCATCAAGGTGTTAAAGCATGCAGCCAAATTTTATATTAAAAACTTGGTGCATGCACATGAATCCTTTGCCCCTCACTATTTGCTTTCATGATGGGTTCAACCAGCTTCATAGCTTTCCTATGTAACTTAAAAGGTTGTCACTAGCACTAAACTAACGATTCAAATTATATTCCAAGTTCCACACCGCTTTCTTAGATCATAATTACCTAATTCAGAACATTATACTTAATACCAACACCAAATACTACCACCCTTTAAGGAGTCATGTGTTATCCCTTTCCCAACATAAGACACAGTCCCATCAACATTACCTTTGTTACAGGAAGCAGAGTGGCTGCATGTTGAAAGGCAACATCCGTTAGAGAAGCAGGTAAAGGGTTGGAGGCCACATCAGCTGCAAATGTCCGCCTATGAACCTCCCGTAAGGCATGCAAAGAAAGTTGCCATAGAAGTTCAACAAATCTGCAGGAACAACAAATGATTCGTTACCTTGGCAAAATACCAGCTACTTCACTATATATCCCAAGACAAGCTGAATGCATATCGTTCACTTCATCCAGTGAAAGGACACTGCTTCCCAATGTTCCTCACACCTCCCAATTAATTCCTACAAAACCAGCAAGTTTCACCAGCCTACCTCGGTCCGCAGCAAGTAGCAAGAGAAGAAACCCTTGAATTACTCCTCGGCAGTGCTCCTTGCGATTCAAGCTCACTGATGATCGCTTGCACGACCTAAGAATCAGGAAATCAAAACAGCAAAATTTGTGATCACGAGAAACAAAGAAGAAGATCAATTCATTGAACTTCCAACGGTTCCAAGTCAAAGAAATGCATATCGGAGGCACAACAATGAAAATTCCAAGAAGGGAAATTAGAAACAATTCCCACCTTGCGAAAATCTCGAGACTGTGCCGAATCGAAAATTGGCCACACCTTATCGAAATCCTGTCAGATCGCGCACCACAAACGCTAGTCAAGAACTCTACATAGCGACAAATGGAAAAATGACAGAATCAGAGAGAAGGGGAAGGGAAAGAAACAGAGGAAGACTGACTTTGGCGGATTGAACAGGACCACGGAGGGAAGACAGTATGAAGTAAAGCAGCTGCTCGCCCAATTTAGGGTTGGAGTGGCGGAACAGGCCGACCCGAGGACTGCCATTGGAGGAGGTGCCGAGGCCGATTACATTCGGATCCAGACCTAACAGCAAACAGTTGGTGTACATTGCGCTCTCCAGCTCCATCTCTCTCTCCTTCTCTCTGTCCATAATCATCTAATTTCAACGCCAGCAATGCCGCCGCCCGTCGCCGATGTTCCCCTTCCTTGCCACCACCGTCTCCCGCACACTTCAGCAGAGATTCTTCTTCCTCTTCGTCTGCTTCGCTTTTCCTGCTGTCTGTTGATTCCCTTCTCTCTGGTTGGTCTTTCTCTTTTTTCTTTTTTTCGTTAACTATTTACTATTTAGAAATTTCCGATCGAGAAACTTTTCCCTTTTTTGAAATTAGGAGTCCCTCGAGAGTCTGGGAATTGTGTGAAGGGGCCCGCAGAAGAAACGGTGCAGAACGGGGTAATAAGGGTGCTTATTTGTTAATTTGATTTATAACGTGGGCAGTTCTGAAAGTAGTATAAGAGGGAAGGGATTCCGATGCATTTGAAATGGACAGGGTATGACGTGGTGCAGCCATTTTATCCTTTTGTGCAATTTGAAAATGAAACGGAGGTCGGAGAGCAGTTTGGTCGTTGGCCGTTGCTGCTGCCGGCCTGAATTCGAATCTTGCCGACTGACACCAATTTCCCCACAACCAATTTCTTATTTCCCCATAGCATGGGATTTCTAATTAGCCCACATAATTAGTACACCAAACTAGTCCCTGTTGCAACAAGTCAAATACTAGTCAAATACTCGGACAAAATACCTCGGACGCTACTTAAGTTTGAGAACTGGGTAGACATACCATTTAATTTTGAATAGGGTGTCGGGTACCATTAAAGTTGCCAAAATGTACATCCGCCTACTTTTCCAACCAACCCAAACTTTTAATTACTTCTTGATGCCCAAACCTTTTAAAAACATCCAAATCTATATTTCAACAAGTTTTATCTAATATAATTAGAAAACCTTCTAAACATATTATTACTGGAATGACTAATTAAAAATTTTCAATAAAAATATAAATTAGTAAAAATAGTAAACGAATATCAAGAAGAAAAATAAATATGTTGGAATATAATATAAATATTTAGAATAAATATTAGAATATCTATTTAAACCCCCTTATTCAATTAGAAGCACCATTAAAAATAGTTAAAATAGTTTCACCAAAATAAAATAGTTAAAATAGAACCTAATCGATAATCAATACATCAAAATCAAAAAGGATATATGGAACACAATTAGAAAGAATTAAGCATATGTCACTAATTGAAAAAAATTAGAACGAAAAGGAGATGAAAAGTAACTAAGTAATAAACAAAACATAAAAACTACAATATTCGGTAAAAAATGTAGAAAAGAAAATATGACTATAAAAGCTATAACATTGTTTAGTTACAACATTCATGGAATAATTCAATTATTAGAACACATAATGATAATTCAACATAAAATCCAAGTATATATTTATAGGCATAGAAGCCTCTACCCTATTCTATCTAAAACATGACTCCTACTCCTATAAGAAAATTACTAACAATAACCAAATCCTACTTAGACAAGAAAACTACTAATAAAGTTAATTAATAAATAAAATACTAAATAATAAAATAACCAAGCCCAGATCGAGGCCTAATAGTTACGATGGCTTGATTCCCGTTACAAAAGTGAAGAAGGTGAGCCAGAGCACTATGACCTGGTCAATTGGAAGAGGGCTTGGAATTTAACATCTCACCTAATGTCCATTTCTTTTTGTCGGTTCTTGCATGATATCCTACCTTCTAGAAAGAACATGAATCTCAAAAGAAAGATGCACCAGTTGGATGTCTTTTCTGCAATTTGGAAGAAACACATAATCATATATTCAGGAAGTCGATGCATAGTAAAAATGCAAGTGATAAAGTCCTAGGATGTTCTAGGGACGTATTCCTATAGGTCTTCTAAAGCACAACTACTCACACCAACCATCATGACATACATGAATTGAACAAGCAAGCAAGAAGAGTAAAAATGTTGAGGGATTTTTTTATTTATAGATACATAAAAGGAAAGATACATTATAGTAAGAGGTAGTTAACTCGAAGATAATCATGCAAACTAGGGCTGCTTCATAGCATGCATCGATCGTTCATCTATTGCAGCACCCCATCCCTTCCTCTAAGGCCACTCTCTACCCGTGCATCTACCTCTTGCGATAGAGATTTAACTAGCTAATGTGTGCTTTCGCTTCATGTCATTACCTAATATATTAAGAACAAGGAAGTTAGGATAGCATATAGTTAATTGTGGACTTCTACGAACCATAACTATAGTCTATAGCATCAATGATCTAACAATCAAACATTGATACTACTAGAAGCATAGATTGTTGATCATCCCATCTCTACTCGTGTAGCCTCAATGGGGTATCCCTAGAAGGTAATTTATTGAAAATCTAGGCAATACTAAGCACAATTCATATAGTAGCATACAATAGAATCATAAGCATCGATGGTATTAAGAGCATTCAAACTATCAAACATCAATGAACATCATAAGCATCAAATAAAGAAAGCATCCATACATAATCATAGGCATCGAAATTCATAAACAAACACAAGCATGAGATGAAATCATGACATTATTCACATAACAATAAACAAGATCGCATCATGATACAATCAATTTCGACTAGCTACATAGAGGAGAAGGAAGGTACCGCCTTTAATGATGACAACATCTCCTTAGATGCAAACTCCCCTACTTCGACTAGACTATGAATTCGGTAATCAGTATAGTGTTACAGAGATTTGTGTGTTTGTGCAATCTTATTTGACAATGGAGTCATGCCCTCATTGTATAGGGGGAGAATCCTGCCTAAAACATCCTAAACTGACTAAGAAATAGTCTCATGAACCTACTAGACTTAGGAGACTTCATCAACAAGGCAAGGTGAAGGCGGCGATAGGGTGTCGGTTAGACCTGCCACTCTGTTTCTTTGTGGGTTGGGCCTTCTGATCCATAAACTACAGTTCCGCACAATTTGAGCTGCAACTTGGGAAGCGGTAACTAGACCCATTGCTTAGGTTGCCATTCATTCCTTCTTCAGATTGGGCCGAATCTTCCTCCAATGGGGTTGTCTTGATGTATTCTAACAACTTCAAGTTTACATCTCCGTCAATGGACCACTCCAGAGTCTCATGAAAACTCCTTAAACTTCTCTTTATAGCTCATTTGGTCCTCCAGAGTCTATGACGTTTGGTCCAAATTTTCTTAAGTTGCTTTGTACCTTCAAACCCATAAAGAAACATACGCACAACTACACAAGACATCAAATAGTATAAGAACATAGCTTAGATCTATTAAAAGCTCATTGATCAAATGGTTGTGATTTATATAAGAAATGTCATTGAAATGAATTGAGATGTAATGATGGAAGGAGAAGATGTACAAAGAATGAGAGTGACAAACACTATAAATAAAGTGACATAAGGAGTGTGCATGGGTAAGGAGAACTTGGGAAACAACACAATGAGGGAGAATTTTGACAAGTAAATCATGGCACTATAAAGTGATGTAGCTGACAGACAATGAAACCTTCGCGAAGATCTCTATGATTCTACGGAATGAAAGGAGAAACCATTTGTTTAACACAAAAAAATTGAAAAAATGGGAGATCGTTGGAAAATCACTAACTTTATGGGAGGAGTATGCATCACATCATGCAAAATATAGCATGGAAAGGACGAGAAAAGACCAAACATGGAAACAGACGCGGGAGGGATGGGTCGAGATGAATGTTGATGTAGTTACATTCAGTGGATGGGAATTTGGTTATGGGGTGGTGGTACAGGACACCTCAGGAGTGAGCTTTGTGGCAACGGCAAGAGAGTTAAACAACAATGATCATTAGAGATTCTCAATTTGAAGGTTCTAGAATTTGCGCTTCACCTGGTGGAAAGGAAGGGGTATATACCTTATATTCTCGAGACATATTGCCAATAGGCAGATTGGGAACTGAAGGGAGTTAGGTCGTCGCTGTTAAAGGCAGGACAAGTGGGAAAGTGCAGCTGGAGGCCCAAGGAGTGGATGACATAATGTGGACCTTTGCTAGAAGATAGTGTAATACAACGACATATTATGAACCATATAGACTGTCGATGGGATGAGCAGGAAGTTTGGGTCGACAGAGCACCTATCTTTCTATTTTCGTACTTACAATCTGACTGTAATACTACTTCGATAATTCCATAAAAAAGTAATACTACTTTGATAAAATAATAAAAGTGTAAGAATTTAAATCCAATAATGAAAGCACCCGCTTCACTTCACTTGTTTCCTCTCCTTTGTTTCTTTCCGTGCCTTCTCTCTCTGCAGCATTAACTACATTTAATTAAAAATTATTATTATTAATAAATCAAAACAAGTGACCCAAAAACGCGGGCTATAAGCCGCCATTAAGCAATAGTTTCTCAATTAAAAAAAGAAAAAATCAATAGTTTCTTAATAAACCGCCATTAATCAATCTAAAACGGATATTAAAAGTCGCCAAACACAATCCATCAATAAATTAAATAATAAAATGAAACAGAGGTGAGACATGTGCCAGATTGGAATGGCCGGGACCAAATCAGCATATTTCCAGTCACTGGTGGACTGGATTTGTTTCCTTCTCTAATTCTATCTCCCGTCAAAATAATTACAAATCTCATATACATAGCGATAAAGACACTACACTACACTACACAAGGATGATATGTTCAGTTCCAAAATGACCCAAAAAACAACAACCATCACCACCATTGCTCGCTATCTCATGAAATGGAAGACGATGATGCTTCTCTCCTTCAGCTTCAGCTTTACCAGCCGAATCCCGAGCTCGATCCCCACTAAGCAGCTTACCACCTTCCCCGGCCAGACAAGCTAGCTCTCCCTCAGCTTCCTAACTTCACTCCTCTCTTCAACCATGGCTTCTGCTTCCCCTCTCCCTCCACCATTATATGGACTCATCCCATGGGTACAACTGTAGCAGACATAGTGGTGGCCCATCTGTGTCATCGGAGGAAGGAACGCTGGACAGTCCGGTCTCTGGTTGGGATGAACTCGGTAGGACAATACTCGACCATTGCTTCCTCGGCAAGAAAGGTAGGACCATGAGACCTCTGGCCAACCGTGGCATGGCGTCCACGACAGTCTTACCCACCCAAAAAACCAACCCATACCATTCGTTCCTGATGTGGGCACTGGTGGTGAGCCGGAGAAGACCCACCATTACATATCCTATAACTGTAAGGGAAGTATCTCAAACCTTGGAAATCAGACCATTCCAAACTAACCTGATCTTGTTCCTCCTGTCCTCCATGTCAGAGGAGCAATATTGAAAAATGGAGTGCAAGCGAACTCCCGGCAATCACAGCAAGCCAGAATAGGTTCACCTCCATGTCTTCCCACCTAACGAGACAACATCACTGAATCACGAGTTGATGAATTTTTCTCTCGGTCAAAGGCATTCTGAATGGCAATAGTGCAACATCTTATCCTTTGTTGTTTGCCAGTTTCTTCACGACATTGCTGGCAGACAAGGGCTCTCCTCTCTGCCATGAAGGGATGAATAAAGCTCTAGTTAGAGAGAATTTTTCGTCGATTCAAGATATCACCAGAGCATGGTAAAATGAGGATACCAACCAAGAAAAAGTTGAAGTATTCGGCGGAGTTGAGAGGTTGTCCATATTGAGCACTTCTCGAGCTCACAGCTTGCCCACGAAGCCCGTCGTAACTCGTGAAGTTTCCCTTGTGTTCATGCTCGCCCTTCGGAAGAACAGGAAGTCCAATGGCTGTGAAACCTTTTGTCCCGCTAGTAATATGAACATGGTTTGTCCAAGTTGGAGTTCAATCCTTTCTCCATGGAAGCTTGCCGCGAGGTATAAGCCACTTGAGATCCTTTACTATCTCTAAATATTCAATTGGATGATTGACAGAGAACCAACCTGACATCACAAAGACTTGGAGATGTCCAAACATTCCTTGCAAAGCATGAGTTTTAGCATATAAACAATAAACCCGCACAAACTGGTAGTTTTTGTCCAGGAATGTTGAACACTCAGACTTACATGCAGATTAGTAGATGAACTGGATGCAACAAAATTGGGTTTTTGCCCCCTGTTATGAGAGCACTTATGATTCCGATATTGGCCAATGACTGTGACAGACCAGCAGCTGCAAGTGATGTTGATAGCATTCCAGCAGTGATAAAGGCATGGAGCGCCATTGAGGCTGCAGGGATTGCGTCTGTTCAAGTATTCAATATGAAACGTCAGAATTCTCATTGCTTGTCAAAATATAGTTCCAAGAAAATATAGTATTCACATTGCTTCAGTTTAACTCTGTTGGATGCCAAATTCGGATTACCAGAAATCAAATTACACATACTTTGCCAGTAGGAACAGAAACAGAGAATGTTTTCTGAGCTTCAACAATGATGGTCAATGAGTATAGTGCTCTTGAGAGTTCCTGAACCCTGAAGAAAGGAAAATATTAGATCTTTTTTAGCCCCGTTTTTTCAAGCCTCAGTTTCAGCACTTCATATGTACCTGCCTTGCAATCTTCCCTCCATGTACTTCTACCATTGAGGGATCAAAGCCAAAAACTGGTTTCATGAACTCTGCAACCAAATTGATGGCACAAGCTTTTGTCACATTTTGCAAGGCAGAACTTAGCCCTACCGCAGGCTCCTCCGTATCTAAGATGAAACTAACTTGAGTTACTAAGATTTCCAAGAAAGGAATATAGTGAAAAACTAAGGAATATTACACGGGAAAAGGGACCAATCATAGGGAATTATAAGTGGGGAACCCGGTGAAGTGAGAGTGCGAGTCCTGCCAATTATCAAACTGGTTTCAAGTTCATTTCTAGGAAACAATGTTGGTCATGAAAGTCTAAGAGAAGTGCTCACCCGAAAAGCAAATTTGCGATTCCCCTGGTGTCCACCAAGAATAGATGATACTGAACCTGGCTTGACATGTAATGCAATTAGGACTTCCTCTGTCGAATTCTGTATGGGATTACTGAAATCCACGAAATTTTTTAAGTCTTCCATCTTGTTTGTTAAAAGTACAGTTCTTGGCACTCCATTGATTTTAAGCACATAGGATGAAACAGGCATCCATAAATCTGCCACCACTGGTCTCCTATCTAGTGACAATAGTGATTACAAATCAAATTGAGAAATAAAAACACATTGGTACCTAATTGGTCTAGTGGAGAATGATGTAACTTACCAAAGCAAACAATCATTGCAGCGTTTTGCTCCTTGTAAAAGGGTCTCCAACTTTATATGTACAAGAACCATTCACCATTGTGATAATAATATGGCCTTACATACTTCCCATTTAGAGGGCTATGTCAACTTCATATATCAGGTTCAGTTTAACGGCCTGAAGAGAAGAAGTGTAGACAGAACCTGGCCCCTCTATCAAGACTTGCAAAACACCAGGAACACATCAATTTCACATCACGCATTTAACATTAGTGTTAGAGATGGAAACTTTTTTCTTACATCACAGTGTGATGAGTTCAAGCACTTCAACCCACAAGCCTCGGTGAAGGTGACATCAACATTCATATTTGCAGCATTTGTGTAGAATTGTATCTGTCAATATATTGGAAGTTCTGAATCGGCAGAATGAGTTACAGGTAGACATAAACAGGTGGAAGAAACTGGATGGAAGAGGTTGCTAACCGATGAACCATGAATAAGAGGTCAGCTTCAAGACGATAATTAAAGGCCACAAATCTTATGTTAAATATAATTCATACCCAATTGATCAAGTTAGCAGGAAAAGACAATGGAGGTCCTCGTGACAGGCCTTACTCCCTCAGCTATACATTTCAGTTTACTTGGACCATGAACCAGATGTTGAATTAGCTGTACAATGCCTTTATAAAAGTCCCGAGCAAGTAAGATTCAGCAGGATTTACATCTATTAAGTAGTATGAAGTATGAGATCTTCAGGCTTTAAAACTGATTCCCTGTCCTCTTCAGACTCCACGCAAGGCAGTTTAGGTCACTGAGCATTGTCCATTCACGAAATCAGTACACATAACATCAAAGTTAAAATTAACTGTTCTTCCTTCCTTTTCCCCTGAAAAAAAAGAACTGTTCCTCCTTGTCACAGAAGCTCGGTTACCTTTCCTTGCCGTACGACTACTGGGGTTATTCTTGTCATGTCAACCACAATGGATGATCAACTACTCTCACACCACCGTCAACAATGAAATCCAGTCCCTACATCAACGAGCCAGATGGGTTGAACACTCCAAAAAAAGAATAAGAGGAAGGTGAAACTTAAGCAGATGGATAAATGGTACCTATGGTCCATATGCCTCAGCTACTGCAACAGGATCCAACAACCATTCATTTTCCTTGAGGCCCTTCACGCTGATGCAAAGAACAGGAAATTGTAAGGAAGCTTTCAGGCTTCCATCTCAAATTGCTTCTGTAACCTCTTTGTAAAACTCAAGAATCTTTTAGGCCCTTATCCAACCAAAGTTTACGTTTCTTCAAAACAACGAAGGAAATTCAAGTGGAACAAAAAAACCTTGTGGAAATCAGCAGTGCGTCAAGCTTTTCAAGTATTGGTCGGCAAATGGCATCATCCGGTATCCTGACGCCCACATCCTTCCAGCAGCATATTTAGCAGTTGGAGTCCCATACCTCATACATCGTTTAGGCAACTCCTTGCTTGCAGTATGAAAGTGTACTTTAACATAAATGCATAACCATAAATGATGAATTAAGACCAGCCATGATCATCAATCCCATTCAAGCCCCATTTGCACGTCCTATTGGGATGCGAATGCAATGTAATGGAAACTTTCTAGTTATTTAACCAATATAACCAAATGAGGAACTTCATTGCCTTCCCAAATGCCCGTAACCTGTAAGAGAGATTACATCCTTACTCACAGGTCGAGGTAAAAATGCTTAACAGCTCGGAAGATATTCGCGTGTACTTGGGCATCACCGTGAGGGAAACCAGTTCGTGTACATGTCTACATCACTCAAAGAGGGGCATAAGATGCTGAGAGGCTGCATTTCAATTAAAAGCATCCACCTTGAAAATTCAATGCTAGGGGTACCACCAAACTCAGAACGCTTTCAAAAGAGGGAGAAAACTAGTACCTACGAAGACGTTCAATAGCTGATGGGATCTTCATATCACAAACTATGGCGTACCTAATAATCAAAAGAGGACTAGAAATCAGCCACCCTAAGTACACTGAACGAGGAACGATCGATCGCAAGGAAAGCCAAACTGCTCAAATCGTACAGAGCGTATCGGTGGGAATGACACCAACGGCGGCCTGCTTCAGAATCTCAATGATGGGATCTAACTTCCAGCTATCCTCTCCACTAGGCTCAGCTTCCACATAAACCAAACCGCCCTCCTACCCATTTTAATCGCGATTATAGCGGAAAGCCAGGAAGAAGAAAAATCGAGACCTTGGTGAAGCGAGGAGCGGGGTATTTGAGACGCTTGGGGCTCCTCTTTACATCCATGGCCAGGACTCGGAAACGAAGAGGAGGTTTGGCGGGGGCGGGACAAGAATTGAGAAGGGCGGAACAACCGTGGTGGCGCAAAAACGAGCGCGGGAATTCTGCTCTCCACTCGGATTGCTTTGCTATCCGCCATCTTCTAACTGTTTTTCTTGCAGCTAAAGCTTCTTGAGCTCTTCCCAGATATCCGAAGGAGACTTCACTATACTATCCTGCTGATGCTGAGCTCACTCTCTCGTATCACAGAGAAGAAAGAGACGAGAAAGGGGGATGATGATGGTAAGCAACGGCTACGAAGAAACGACCCGTCGTTTTCCAGTATGGATGACAATGGGCTGCAGCCCTGCAGATCATTATGGGCCTACAATTGTTTCCAATACTTTTTTATTTTTATAATTATATATACACAAATAACACAATACATTACTTGTTTGTTTGAAGGATATACAAAGTAAATACAAGTGATTTTGAAAATTTTGCTTTTACCTAGTGGGGTAGTTATAAATTTATATGGAAAAAATATAGGTCGTATGGGAAAACAAAATTTAAGGTAAATTTAAGGATATATTTTCATATTCTGAAAACTTTAAATACATTCATTATGAGGACTAACATTCTTGAAGTACCTCACTTATAAATCATTCATGATTTGATCATTCTTATGATTCTAAAACATTTCTTCCAGTTGTATTTGCTGTAAGTATTGTTTAAACACTTTTAAGGGCAACAAGTAACAATCAACATCACTAATATGTTGATTTCCATTTATATTAAATGGCATAACATATACTAATTATAACTTCAACATAGATCACAAGAACATTGCTCTATCTTTGCTTAGGAGATGATAGAAATGGGAATTGCGTCCTCCTCCTCCATGGTGTTCAGCGAGCTAGGCTCTTTAGAAATGTTCGTTTAGCATAAATGAGCTTTATTTGATTAGGGGTTGGATAACTGATACAAGAAAGAGTTCATAATGGATCAAAGTCTTTAAGCCACACTAAACAAAAAAAAAAAGGTCTTTAAGCCCACACCACTCAATGTGTGATAGAAGTGTTATATTTTAATACAAGTGATACAAGGCCAATACTACCGTACCACCATTAAAAGTGTGGCACCGGTGACGCCAACTTTTATTGGTCCACGTGGGATTAATAAAATGATGTGGTAGTAGCTGATTTTGGAAGAATCGAGACTACAATCGGTTACCCAATCATATGAAGGGAAAGAGGAGAAAAATGGGGAACGAGAGATTTGGAGGAGAAAGGCAGTGAAGAAATTGAAAGAGGCCAATTGAAGAGAGTGAATTGGGGTTCGGATTCAATGGTGTAACATACCTCTTGAACGAAGGGGAGAAGAACAATGGTGGTAGGGGTCGAGAATGAGGAGGCGGACGAAGTTAAAAGGGTTGTTTATCGTTTACCGGTGTCGGCAGAGCACTTCAACAGGGACAGAAGGTCGCTCGAACAGAGATATTCGTGTTTTATTTTACACGATGATCGAAGGAAGAGAAATACGGTGAAGGGGTTTAGTGGAGGGTATGGATTTTGGATCGACGACGGTGGAGTTTGCAGGAGCAATTTACTCTTTTCACATTCAAATGAGCCAGCGATAGGTGGACGATACCTTTTTGTTGGCGGATAAATAAATGCAGTTGAAAGTTAAATCAATTTTTAATTAATTAACGGAAAAGAAAACAAATTTGCAATCGGCACACTTTTCCGTTTATTTGGGTAGCTGAGTTTATACGTTGTCCGATAGGTCATCTGGTTTGGACTCGGATTAGATAAAACCAGCCCACGCCACGTAATAGTCCATGTAGACCAATAGGAATTAGCGTCACCAATGCCGCACTTTTAATGGTGGCACTGTAGTATACTAGTATTGGTCGTTGTGTAATATGATTGTTCGAGTTAGTTACATAATGCAACCCCTCGATTATCCACTTTTTCTATTCAAGCCCCTCAATAATTTGTGTTCTTATCAATGTCTCTTAAGGATTCAATTTTTTCTAACCCGACCCTCATTGTTATTTTTCTTTTAAGTTCATGTTAATACAGTAAAAAAAACTTGATGTTCTTTTTGGCTCAAATGACAAAATGCACTTTTAGCCTCCAAGTTGCGGTCAACCCGAAAGAAGTTATATAACACTCTGGGTAGAATGACATTTTTATCCTTTGATTTTCATATAAAAAATAACAAATATAAAATCTTAGTGATATGGTTGGAACAAATACAAAAAACATCATTCTCAACCACACTATCTTAACAATTTCATCTCTAGCCTGAGATTTAATGAAACAGCCTAATCCGGCCGGGTACTACTTTTACTAAAATGCCCTTGAAAAATAAAATAACCAAAGCTTAAATTGCAGCGGGAGAAATTTCATAATAAAATACTGAAAACACACTCTTGTAGTTCAAAGGAAAGCCCTAACAAGTGGGCAAACTCAATACTAAAAATCTCAAAATAACCTCCAGTCTGTACTCATAATCATAAATGTAAATAACTAATAATCTCTAAAGTTGTTGCTACTGAAAACCTTGACCAAGCATCCTCCGTGATGCTTATACTGCTCTCCTATAGCTAGCTGCCCTCGAACTCGCTGCTCACTACTGCTCCTCTAGCTCCTCAAACTGGTGAGTGAGTTGGGGTCAGTCTACGCCCTTACGTTTTAATAATTGTAATACTTGAGTACTTTACTTAAACAATTAACTTTGACTAGTGGAAGTTGTTTGTACTTCCAACCTTAAAATCTTAACTCTTATAATTCGAGGGAGTTGAAGTTACTCTCCTCTCTTAAAGCTCAAATCTTGACTTAAATACTTGACTGACACGGGTATCCCTCACTAGCTAGTCCAGTTGCCAACTCATACGTATGAGAAGCCATTCAGGCTTTCCTTAAACTTAAACTTAGTTAGGGAAGTCGTAACGATTCATCCCCCTAACATCTTAAACTTGTCGTGGTGGCTCTTCACCACGATTCTCAAGGGCATAACTGCTGCCCATCTTAAAAGTCTCAAGAGCATAACTGCTGCTCTGTCTCAAAGATCTCAAGAGCATAATTGTTGCTCTATCTGAAAATCTCAAAAGGCAACGGACTGGCGCTAGCGACTAAAAACACTTAAAACAACTTCACCTTCTTGAGGTGAGTTGCCTCTTTAAAAGAACTCGTTTCTTACTCTTTAATAATAACTTATACTCGTGAAAATTTCAAAGTAACTAAAAACATTCACTTCAAGTATAGCTCAAACAAAATCACCTCAAATAGCACAAAATCATCTCAAACCATAACTCAAGCAAAGCACAAATAATCAATCATACACATAACCAAGCAACGATAACCAATTCGCTAAAATACTTAAAATCATAATGCTTAAAATAATACGTAAGGTGTTGAATTTACCCCATTTACACTCACCTTACTTAATCGTTGAAGGTCTCCACCTATAAGTTCGATAGGTTTTGCTGGTTGTGCTCAGAGGTTCCAAGTTCTCCCTCTTTCTTGTATCGGTCGGGTTTGGAATAGACCAGCTTCACGTTAAGCCCTGAATAAACACTAGGTTCCATATCTCAATGCACGTGGGATCGTCGTTGTTCACCAATGATGCTGCATCCCGATTACCGATCCTATCGAAATGTATTTCTGTACAAGGACCACATGGACAGGTATCACCCATCTCCCAAAAATTGTCCTTGCAACCAAATGGAAGCACCAGGGTTGTCACGCCGGCCGGCGTGCCACCGGTTGTACCTGGTTCAACCTATACCGGTCATAAAACTGGCGTGACAACACCGGTATGACCGGCATGATCGATATACGAATCTCTAAGTAAAATAACCTTATTTAGTGACTTTAATTGTTAAAAATTATTTTATTTTTTATTTTATGAGTATAAATGTTAAATATTGATGTTATTTGTTGGATTCAAGTATAAATGTTTAGGTATTGACGTTAAATGTCATGTTTAAAATGAGTATTTATAATTTTATTAGTAATATTGACCGGCATGAACCGGCACAAACCGGTATGTGCCACCGATCGAACCATTCCACTTGCTAAACCGGCACACTGCATAAACCGGTTTGACAACCTTGGGAAGCACTCTTCCAGGCGGCAACAATTCGTGCCACATGTCTCTCGCTTCATTATCAGGAGCTAGACCAGCTTTCTCATCGACCCCGAAGTAAGTAGCATAGATACGATCCTCGGGAAGTCCATACACCTTGGTTAGGAGCTCCCAAGCCCATTCAATTGCCTCTTTCTTAAAATAATCGCCAAACGACCAATTCCCCAGCATCGCAAAGAATGTATGGTGGTATGTGTCCTTCCCGACATCGTCAAGATCGATATGCTTCCCACCCGCGCGGATACACTTCTGGGTATTGCAGGCGCGCTTTAGCTTCCCAAACTCGCCATTACCGTTACGGTTTCAGCTTTCTCCTGGATCATCAAGTTCTACATTCTCAAATCGCCATTCTTAAAGCAAACGGCAAGCCACCAGGACCAGGCGAGATTGCTTGCCTGTCACTGAACTTAAAATACCCACCAAAAACGTTTTTGGACATCCTCTTTCACCAGGAGCACTTCTACTATGCTATATAGCATTGGTGTTTTAATGTACAACTCAAAGTTGTACCATAACATTAAATGTATAAGTTTAGGTTGTACCATAAAGCAATTTGTACCATTATGTTATGGTACAACTTTACAACTTGAAGTTGTACCATCACATAAAGGTACAAGTTCAAGTTGTACCATAAAAGAATTTGTACAAAAAGTATAGGTACAATCTGAAGTTGTACCATAACGTAAATGTACGATTTTAAGTTGTACCATAAAGGCAAAAACCTATAGCACCAATACTATGTGTAAAATTTCTCCTTTGACCAGATCGCCACATGTTCTTGTTTCCGTGGTGGGTTCCTCGGTTGCCATTTTATCCCTGCATTGAACGAGGAGAATCATGCATTAATAAGTAGAAATCCCAGCAACGATGATCGCGAACGATCCAGCAAGCCAGCTGGCGACCCGGAGAGCGAAAGGGAGGCCTAGGATTCCGGTGCCGACGATGGAAACAATTATGTTCCCTATGGTTTGCAGAGTGGAAGCTGTTCCTGGCGGCGGAATTAGGGATTTGGGCGGCTAAAACTCGTCTCTTCCTTCGGGTTGAGATTTTTGGTTATATATATATTAATTAGTAATAATAATATAATAAATTATTATTACTAATTCACGGTTGCAACCCTTCGTACGTAACCGTTAACCCAACCGTTCCCGTATTTTGGTCGAACCTGAATCCAAAGTCGGGGTGTTACATTAAACTATCACTTATTTTAAGTTATGGTTTCTTTCACATCAAGCAAATAATGCTTGTAATGTTTGTGTAGAAAATTTAAAAAAAATAATGATCGTGAACAATATAAATTTTGTAACAAACTAACAATATCAACAAAATTATCACCCGGATCAAACGATCCCTTAATGAAATGTGTTAGTAGTGTGCTAGCACTCCATATGCTCCATCACCAACATCGGACGGATCCCATGAGTAAATAAAAAGTTCGATACAGTGTAGCACTCTATCTCCTCCATCACCAACATCGGGCATGTAACTAGGTTGGACAATTACTATCACACCCATAAAAATTTCAAAAAGAAGGAAATTTTTTGAAATGATGAAAATAGACAAAATCTACTCTATGTTGGAATTTTATTCGGCCAAAAATAATAATAACAAAATCAAAATCAAAAGAATCAAATCAAAAGAATAATTAATATTGAAGTTTTACATAATTTTCAGTATTCAAAATGGCATGCCCTCCTTTAAATTGAGGAAGGGTATTTTCAGTATTCAAAAGTCTATCTCACTTCCTTAATTCCCGTTTTTCCCGCTCAATGTATTTGCTAATAAGTTGCTCCTAGCCCGTTGAAAGACTTTGTACTCGGCCAACATCAAAGGCCGAAACTGCTGCTACTGATTCAGAATCCACATGGGTTTTGGGCCAGCCCTGTCAGCCCAACTATTACCCACAGGCACAACCACGCAAACTCTTTTCGATGTTTTCGCCTTCTCTCTTCACCAAATCTTTTTTTATGGGAATTCTCTTCTCCAAATCTTAACGGAATATCAAACAACTCATGACAACTAGGAATTTTTTTTACTTTAAAACTACTGCGTTTCTGTACAAATATGTTTATTATAGAGATTCGAGAGCGTGTAACTACTTTTTCCCTTTCTTTTTTTGTCTATTCGTTTCCCCCCCCTTATTCAGCTTTTAACTTAGCAACTAGCCCTAATAAAAAAGAATACCTAGCAATTATTACACATTCTCGGTTCACCAACCACCTTTTATCTTTATTTTCACTTCCTTTTCCTTTATGTTTTAAAATAAAATCCTTTTCATTTTTGGATAAATTTCTTTTCTTGGAAAAAAAGTTAGCAATTTTAATCTTCATTGATCTATACTCATTCCAAATGATTTCATGAAAATAACTGCATTTGAATCATATTTCATTTTGCGGCTTATAGATTTTTGGATGTTAGATATATTGTTTTGTTATCATTATTTAGGGAGTAGAGTTTGAGGTATTTTTCTATGACTAATATAATTAAAAACAATATGAGGTTGAGTTATGCACATGAGCGTGAGTCATGTAGGCTATGAATTAGTTACAGAAATAAGGAGCGATGATAAATAACGACGAATTTTATTTGATAAAAAAATTAAAAATAAGAATCCCTAATAAAATCTATATTTTAGGTAATTTACAAAATAAAAAACTTAAAAATTTCCGGACAGTTGGCCAGATCCAAGCTAGTAATAATAACAAGCATTATGTACCCCTTCATTATATTTCTCTATGTTCGAAGAATCCACTTGCGAAACAAAGGACCAATTCAAGCAAAGCATGCAACAATTAGAAAACAAATCGGTTCGAATTTTACCGGTCAGAACCACACCTTATAATTATCAAAGCAAGAAAAGAATAGACAAGTATGAAAGGAAGAAAAAGCAGTATGGTATTATAATATATGTCGAAAGTTCTCTTCAATGGCAACCGATCTTTCACTAAAATCACTTTTGTTGATCTGCTATTTCCCTCTTTGTCATTACCATTGTTATTCTTCAATAATAGATCGTTTGTCGTCAGATCATTTTTCTTCACTGTCACTAGCTGGAAGCTCCCCTCACGATCTCGCTGCCAATGAGTGACCATCCTAAACCCTATCACCTGATCTCCTGCCTCATGGTATCGATCATTTGAAGTCGCAATTTTTTTTGTTACCACCACCGCCACAACAAGCAGACTGTCCCATCGCGGGAGTTGGTCGGGAAGCAGAGACTTAGTTGCCGCCAACAACATTCTTGTATCATTCTTGTCGATACCGAAAATCAACATATCCCCCATTTCAAATAAACAAAAGAATCTATCATCTTCATAGCCCACGCCAATGCATGTTTGTCCTTTCTTCCCACCCAAGGAGAAATCATACGTTTTTTGCTCAAATTCATCATTTCTTCCACGACGAAACATGGTGAAATAGCAGTCTCCAAACACCACGAGGATCGTCGAGTTGAGAGCAGTGGGTAGTGATGAGAAAGCAAATTTGAGTTCTGTGCCCGGTCTATAATGGTTGTCGTAGTTAGAAAAACGCCAACTTGGATTTGGAAGGCTGATGTAGTTTGCGGGACTCTTGAGTAGAGGATTGTAACAGCTTAAGAAAGCGTCACGCACTATTATAAGCAACCACGCTCCAGCCATCCCAAGGATCCTTATGTCTACATCTGCAAGCTGATATGGGATTTGAGATTTACGACGTCGCTTGAGGACAAGCCGCTTACCCTCCCGCACTTGGATGACGTCCGAGCTGGACAATTTTGCATGGTCGATCAACACAGGCCGGGGGCTGGAAAGGGCAACTTGAGTGTGGACTTGGTGCCAGTTTTGGCATACACCGCCAAAATGAGTACCATCGACGTGGGATGGGAGTCTCCTGTAGATGGAATCCAATAGCTCTGAACATATATCAGCCCATGGTCGTTGATCATCCCCCATGTTCATTCTCTATCAACTTTATTTTCCGGATCCTTTTTGTTTACAATTCTTATTGAACTTTTTTGTCGTTTTAGAACTCTTTTTTTTTTGTGAACGTGACTCGACGTTGCATCCTCATTTTAAAAGGGTGTATATTACATGGTGGAGTTATAGTCAATGATATTTTTTTAGGTCTACAAATATGCACGCATAAAGTGAAACTGCAATATTATTTTTAGATTGTTGGTTATAATTTGACGGGATGGAAGGAAACTATTGCTTTAACGCCTTATGAAATGGTCAATAATATCATTTATTTTTACTAACCATCGTGGATGAATAGTCAGATTCAAAGAGAACTCCAAACTTTTTGCAAGATTTGATATTTGATAGATTTTTATTTTGTAGATTTGGATGCGAAATTTCAAAGTAACGATAATATTTTCTCGAACGAGAATGCCATCTTGTTTTTGTTGAATGATTTGGAGAGGTCGCTTTCAATTTGTTGGCTTTTAGATAGATTGTAATCCTAGTTCTATTACCGACGGATTAATATCACAATATACATACCAGTCTTCCTAGTTATTTTATTCAACTAATAACATACAAACCCATTTAGGTAACCAAGGTCCAGATAGAGATGCATAAACCATGGTTATTTCTCCTTCTCTATTAATTTTAGTAGGCTATATCATTTTCATCTTAAGTCGTAATTCATTTTTTCACACACAAATCAGATTAGTTGTGTTCTTAAAAATGACATCCTCTTTGATATATTTTGAACAAAAAACCTGATGATAATGCTTGAGAGTTCATATAATTATACCATAGTAGTATATAAGTGATTCATCGATCATTCTTTGTCAATGGGAATGATTTTTTTCCATCGTCAACTTGTGATCTTGCTGCTGTTTTCCACGATTCGAATGCTATGATGTTCGTGGGACTCCAATGGACCTTTCTCACGCAAAAAATTTGCTCAATCAAACACAGAACACGTCGCTGCATTTCTCCAATTTCCGACAGGCTCAAATTTTCCGGCGAGTGTTCCAAATTTGGGAATTTCATCTTGAAGCTTGCTCGTTCCAATCTACCACTCGTAATCGACTTTCCTGGATCCCAGGAATCAGTTCCAGCAACTCCCAGCCTCCTTCCAGCTTCAATTTGTCGCAATTCAGCCTTCCCAAATTTCTCGTCGTCGGGAAATTTCAAATTTCCATAATCCGGCAGCAATTTTACAAAATTCGGTGACCAATTGCACAATTAGGAGTTTTTGATTCCGGCTTCTCCAAGACAAATTGACTGTCCCTAATCCTTCCTTCGTAGGGAATAGATGGGGCCGACGAGGAGATACACGAAATCCAATCGAAGTTCCATCCATATCATCCTTCCTAGGGAAGGATTTCACAGGATATCGTTTAGTTCATTCACTTTGGTTTTCTTCATTTCTATGTTCAGCATGTCTACATATATAAAGCTCCCTCTGAATTCAAATATCCTGAACTTGCATTCTATTATATAGTAGACAATAACTTGATTGGTTACTGACTCGGACATCAAATGTGCTCTTATAATCCTGATTCGATAATTTATTTGCTTGTGAAACTAATACTCAATTGCTATGTTATGGTTAGCTATGGGAAGATCACTTTTCCATATGTGAAGTACATGACAAATACGTTCCACGCGATCAAATAATCGATGAGTTTGATGCATGTACAAATAAATGTGAATATGCGATGTTATTAGACGTTTCTCTAAACCGGATCTCGCTCGCTTAGGTCGAATAATGTGCCTGTATGATAAATTGGTAGATCTTGTGCTTACAATTAGTCTTTATACTTAATTACTTGTCATGTTTTCACAAATTTTCTGGTATCGTCCTAGAGGTTGTGATAGGTCAGAGTATCTTAAAGGCCTTGTGCATTATATAACACTTGTGCAAATTAAGCAAAGTTGATGTTTTTGTATTTATAATTGTCAAGATTTAACACTATTAGGGTTGAGAATCTCTCATCCAACACCATGCATGCATATGTTATCCAACTTATAAAAATGGAAAAAGGAAAGAAGTTTGAGCCAATGAATGACAAGTGAAGGGGTAGCAGGGTTGGCCTGCAAACCTAGCTTGCGCCTTGCAGTAAATTGTCCTCCAGTTCGTTCTTTTAGCAACAAACACAAATAGAAAAGAAGAAAATATCATAACATTTCCTATCCTTTCACAACTCTTAAATGTTAGGTTTAACTTGCCTTATTATGTCCATAAAATTAAGGGAATAACTTGACAATCAATTTTTGAATCCAAGGATTAAGATAAAACCAAAACTGAGAACTACTTCAGAAACAATAAATAGTACCATATTCAAGGAACATCTTTCCAAATTCATCTTCAATGGCAACTGTTCTTTCACTAAAATAAATCCCTTGTTGCTCCAATCCTCCAGAAATGCCTTTTCATAATCATTCTCAAATAATAGATCACGCATTGTCGTCATAACTTGTTCGTCCACTCCCACCAGCCGAAAGTTATCCTTCTCACTTGCCTCATAATCTCGCTCCCAATAAGTGATAAACATAAGCATTTCTCGTTCCTCATGATATCGATCATCTGCAGTCATGACTATTTTTTCAACCACCACCATAACACCCAAATCATTCCATCGAGAGAGTTTCTCAGGAAGGAGAGGCTTAATCGCTGCCAACAACATCCTCATCTCGTTCTTGTCGGCGCTGAAGATCAACATATCCCCCATTTCAAATAAGCAGAAGAATCTTCCATCTTTATAACCCACACCGAGGCAAATTTGTCCTTTTTTACCACGCAAAGAAAAATCTTATGTTTTTTGCTCAAATCCATTTTTCCCACGACGAAGCACGCTGAAATAGAGGTCTGCATACACCATGAGGATCATCGAGCCGGGAGCAGTGGGTAGTGCTGAAAAAGCAATTTTGATTTTTGTGTCTGGTGTGTGATGACAATTAGAGTTAGAAAAATGCCAACTCGGCTGGGGAAGTCTGATGTAGTCTGCAGGAGTTCGAAGTAGAGGATTGTAACAACCCAAGTAAATGTCATTCACTTTTATAAGAAACCACGCACCCGCCCTCCCGATGATCGTTATTTCTGCACCCGAAAGCCAATGCGGGATTAGAGATTCACGACGCCGTTTTAGCAAAAGTCGCCCACCCTCTTGCACCTGGATGACGTCTGAGCTGGTCAATTTTGCACGTTTGATGAACACCGGTAGTGGATTAGAAAGTGCGATGCGGGAGTGGACTCGATGCCAGTTCTTACAAACGTTGCCGAAGTGTGTACCATCGACGTGGGATGGAAGTCTCTTGTAGATGGAATCCAAGAGCTCTGGACATACGTTGGTCCATGGTCGCTGATCCTCTTCCATATTCGTATTTTGTCGACTTTCCTTTTTGGGATCTTTTCTGTCTTTATTTTTTTTTGTGGTTTCGATGAACTTTTTCATTTTGAATGTGATACGAGTTTGCATCCTCGTTTTAAAGTTTGTATATTCTATGATGGAGTTATAATCAACTAGATCGGTTAGGTCTACAATTATGCACACAAAAGGTGAAACTGTAATGTAATTGTTGGATTGTTTGTTACAATATGAGGAGAGGGAAGTGGCTGATTTAAAGGCCGGTGGAGTGGTCAATACTATGAATTTGCTCTTTTCCAAATTATGTTTTCACATTACCTTTTCACTATTCGTAATTTCATGTGATTCTTTGATCGTATGTGGTTTAATTTATTGATTCGTTAGTAACTAAGACAATTTTTAGTATTATAAACATGCAAAAAGAAAGTGTAAATTTCTTTGGTTGGTTATAAATGTGGTACACGGAAAATAAGTTACGCAATTCAATAATCAATGGTGTCAAATAAGTTTCTTAAATGAGATTTTACTTAGCTTGAATTCTGAATGCACCACCAGGTCATTGTCAGGTATTTAATTAGCCCTTACACTTATCATGTTATGACAAAGGTGTTATTTTGTTTTAATATATATATATATATATATTCCATGGTATCATCTCAGTCCCAATTTACAAAGTCCTTGTGGTTATGACACTTGTGCAAATCAAGTCTGACTCTCGTCGAGCTACCGTAGACATTCTCCAACGATACTAATTTGAATTGGAGCTGTCATCGAAGAAATGCTTCACCAATTTTAGGAAGACAAAGCGCAAGAGGAACAATGTACAAGTCCAGACGAGAATTACACATGTCACATGGAAATGGCTCCATCAAAGAGATAGCCACCATGAAAGCTTCATTGGTCGAGCAACGAGCAGGTGCTGGCCAATCTCTCATAGCTACCATATCAAATCTCATGATCATGAATGGCTTCTAGCCAGCTAAAATTAATCTCAGAGATTTTTAGTTATATGTGTTGAGCCATTATAAGCACTATCGAAAAAAGCCTTTACGCTTTATGTGTTATGAGAAGTGTAAAGATGCAGCCTAAAAATGACATTGTATAAAATAATAACTAACACTTTTTGCAAAAGAAAAAAAAGCGTTGCATATCTATACTAGTTACGCAACACAATTTTAAGCACCACATCAAAAAATAGATGCAACAAACTTTTTAATAAGTATAAGCAAAATATTTATACTTTATTCATGACAATGTATGAAGTAATAATTAATACTTTTTGCAAAAAAAAAATAAAAATTGTTGCATAGCTATATTAGTGACGCAGCACAATTTTAATCACCACATAAAAAAAATATGTGCAACAAACTTTTTAATAAGTATAAGCAAATTATTTATACTTTATTCACGAATGTATATCGGAATTGCTCTCCACTGAAAAACGGCTTTTCACTAAAATCATTCTTATTGAGTGAAATATCACTTTCAACATTAGGGTTTAATAGAAAGAAAGTAACACATATAAAAAGTCCGAATATAGTCCGAACAAAAAAAATTAGAAAGTTCAACGAAAAAGAGCCAAAAAATCTTCCTTTAACTACAATAATCTTATATAAAATATGAGATTTGACTACCAACACCCCCCCCCCCCCCCCCCCCCCCCCGAACAATACTTGTATTGTTTATGTATAAAATAAAAATAAAAACAAATCAAGGAATGTTGAACCGTACAAATATTGTTTGTGTATCCTAAATCCTAATTGAGTGTTTTCGAAATCAGCATTTAGCCCAATTCCCCAATTCATGAATTAAGAGATTCCAATAAGCGGCCCAATTTAAGCCCATCCAATAATTTTTTTTCTCTTCTCCTTTTCTTCCCCGACTAAACTGTCCCTTCATCATCATTCATCACCCTTCTCCCCATCTTTCCACCTCAGCCATCACCGCCACCACCAGTCCACCACCACTACCTCTTCCTCCACCCCCATCAATCCATCCAAATCCCGAATTCAAATCCCGAGAACAAAACCCTAATACCCAATTTCCACGATTCCTATCCTTACCATATGCGTTATCCATAATTCTCCCTCCCCCATCCTCCCACCATAGTCCGGCCCTAAACTCAATCAGGCGCCCTGACGGAGATATAAGGGGAGAGAGAGGGAGGAGAGGAGAAACGGGTATTCGTCATTTCTGTCTTTTGTTTGCGTTCTCCGCCGTTTTGGGTCGCTGGAAGAGCCGGGGGAAGAAATGACGAGCGTGGGTGAAGTTGTACAGTGTATTCCTCTTGAAGCACCGCTTGCAGTCTCGGATTCACAGCCGATCGATGCCGATTCCAAAAGCTATGGCGTCACGACCCGGCCTAACGAGTCGGTCACCGCCTCCAACCCTTCCTTCGTCGATGGCGTCGCCACCAAGGACATTCATATTGATCCCATTACTTCCCTCTCCATCCGGATCTTCCTCTCGGAGTTCGCCCTCAACCCTCCCGACCCAGATTCGAAGCTTCATTCCAAAGGCAAGCCCACTAACAGCAACAAGCCCGGTGCACCTCGACGATCCGATATCGACCAGCACGACAACAACATAAATGTCATGAATGGGAGGAGCAGCTGACAATGCTGGTCATTTGCTTGGAGCTTTGTGGTTCTAGGTAATTAGTTTGTGGAATTTGCAGTTCCTGGGCTCTGAATCATAGTCTGCAAGTTATTAGATGGTAGTACTTTACTACTTTATGTACAATGCCGGATACTAGGCTTAGGAAGCTTATGTCATATGGCATTTGATTGTTAAGCTCAACTTCCTGGGAGTTTTGGAACTTCTTACGTCTGTCCTAGGTTTTCCTCTTATATTTAGCTGCAGTAATGGGGAACAGAAGTCTTTTGCTGAAAGAAGCCTATCCTCCTGTTTGTGATGAGTGGCTAGAGACTGACGCCGGATAATCTATAATTGGTTATATCTTACTGGCTAATGAACAAGTTTCTTGTAAATATTCTAGAAAAATGTGGTCATTGGAGTGTTATACGTTATTCATGTTGCTTTGAGTTTTGACTCTTGTAGGTTACCATCTCCCTACAAGGGCTAGAAGCTACTCTTGTCAAATCTATCCTGCATATACGTGTTGCTTTGGATTCGTAGGTTACCATTTCCCCACAATGAATCAAAGCTACTCTTGAAAAATCTAGCTGTCTCTTTACCTGTGCTAGTGAATGATGTATATTTACTAAGCTATTTGAAGATTTGAGGAACAGAATCAGGAATATGAATTCCATAGAATTCAAACGTTTCTAGAGTCTTCAGGATCTGTTTCAGCGGGTTCTCCCTGTTTAGGCTTGTTAATTTCATGGTTCAGGAAACAAAAGTTAGCCTTTGACCACTTTTAAGGGAAACGTAAGACAAATGATTAAAAAATTAATTGTCGACTTGTCTGTTCATGATGGTGCTTTCAGTTGTTCAGGAAGCATTTCATGATATGTGGCTGCCCAATTTATGTTCACAATGATATAATGAATTTTGGTTACTTTGTTTGTTTCAGTTTTTCAATAGAACTAGATATGCATGTCATTTGTGCATATAAGTGAATGAGCAACCCTATATGTGAAACTTCAGCTGAATAGTGTTTGCTTCTCCACTCTAGTTTGGTAGCAGGTCATCCAATAGGGGGAGCAGCCCATCCTTAAGAAACAATGGTCTTTAGGTTTATTTGACTCGCCTTTGAGATCTTACCGCCTCTTTATGCCTTTTCCCCTTTTTATTTGGGCTTTCACAATCTGATACTTTTTTCCATCGTTTGTGATATTGGGTTGATGAGTAATTAATGCATTTTCTGTTTTTTTGGCTTTTGTTCTATTGATTGCAGGCCGCTTTTGGCTCTTCAGATCGTACCCAGATTTGTTTCCGTCTGATCCTCTTGTTTCCTTCCTGATCATGGTAATCAACCTTCATGCGAGGGGCCTTGCCAAGCTTCCAGGAAGTTCCAAATTCAGAGGAGTAGAATTTGAACATCAGAAAGGTGATCTTATGTTCGGTCATTTTTTATTTCACTGATCCCCCTCAGAACCTCAAGGAAAATGACATCAAGAGGCATACATGGCAGAGCTTGTGGACTATATTTCCTCTGCCAATGCAAAGTTTCCCGAGTCATGCAATAACTTGTCCGGATGGTCTCTCCAAATCTGTTTAGACCGCTACTTCTTCACCTCATGAGAACAAAGCATTGGAAGCATTCAATGTTGAACAGGAAGAGCCATCGATGGACCCCGCGTGAACCCACTTGCAAGTTGTGTATGACTGTTATTGAGGTTTGTGGCATCACCTGAAACCTATGCAAAACTAGCTAAACACTAAATAACTTTTTTATACTAAGGCTACTCGGTCTCTTTGATTCATAGGAACTGGGAGAGGGAGTATTTTTCTTATTTGCAAAGGGTCCTGCATCGAATCTATGGCAAATTGAAGGTGTCGGGTCCTTCATTAGGAAGACGATCAACAATATCTTTTACCGGTTCATATTTAAGACCGAGATACATGATGGGATTACTGTGCTGCTGGTGATTTTGGGGTGTATCATCAATGGCTTTGCGCTGCTACTGAAGGAAGAGCACAAGTTATTTCTAGTTCAAACTCTTGTTCTGTTGCATATATTGAAGTGCTTGATGATGTATCACCAGCAATTCTCGTACTGCATAACTCAGTTCACGGAGAAAGACTGCTAACTTTCTAATACTTTGTGATCAGGGGTTTGCTGAAGTATTGGCCAGTGTCGAACAGTTTTGAAGAGGTGATATTCTTTAGTGAGCTGGAGGAAGTTCTGGAAGCTATACAGCCTGCAAGATTTCAACGTTGCACATGGTTCCTTGTATGCCCAGATTTATTGGTGCCTGATCAGTTCTCATTTTCAGGTATCTTAGTAGGTAGCCCCTTGATAGTTGAACTGAATTTTATCGTTTTATAGTAATAACACTTGAAATGGACAAAGTTGGTTTCTTCGTTTCACTTCCTTTCGTGGATCATCAACTGCTCAAGATGGCGCAAATACGAATTTGGTTACATGTATCACATTGGGTCGCAAAAGTCGGGGTTGAGACTACTAAAGCACCCAACTTTGTCCTGATCAATCCGCATTTTCATTTTTTTGTCAGTTTTTTTTTGCAGTTATGTTGTAGGTAAGATGGGAAACAGAAATGTTCATGGGGACTGATCAGGGTGAGTTTGGTGCTTTGGTTGGCTCAATCCCGAGTTTAGTGCCCGATGTAATACATATTGGTGAATTCAATGACCAAATTTGTTCTAACCCGCCCAAGATCTCAGTTTGTGAACATACTGGTGTGTGGTGGGCTGGTGGCTTATTATTACCAGCTGGGGCAGGTGTTAGAGCTATTATGCTCTCAACTGTGAGAATTAGAATTCTGGAGAAAGTTTATATAATTATATCATACGTTTCTTTAAGGCTTGAACACTAGCCTTCCACTTTAGCTGCAGTTTTACAGGTTTCTGAACTCCTTTGTAACCCTCGAATTCAGCAGTATCTCTCTTAGAAAACTATCCTTGATTTGCAGGTCGCAGAGAGGACTTTGTTGTTATGGAACGACAATCACGTCTAGAATCCAATCAAGCTGGACCGACAGATAAAATTACCCATCAACTTCCCTCGGAGAGGAACGCCAGGCGCCATTGGATCCAGGCTGCGCAAAGCCTGACACTGAACGTTTGGAAGATATCTCCGACAATGATCTGGAGCTATTCGATGCATGCTTGTTCAATTTCCAGGAGCACGAATCTCAGGAAGGTGAGATCAAGTCGAGACGGGAAGCCACCTGGAAGAGATTGCCGACATGAAAGCTTCATCAAGCAACGAGCCAGTGTTGGCCTATCCTAGAAGCTCAGCAAAGCTCATGCCTTTACTAGGGACAACAAGAGGAGATCAGGTGGAAAGTTTATGTGTTGGTTCTCATGAGTCGAGATTTAGCATGATTTGGTTAGGAAGTTGGGATATCTTAGATGAATAAAGTAATTAGTCGTGTTGATGAACAAAATTTTGTAGCGATACTGATACTACACTATGATATGGAGAATGGACCTATCGGGGGGAAAAGGTATGGAGAATGGCCAACGGTATGGAACTATACATTCAGTTCCCCAACCATAATCCTCCATTGTTTTTGTTCCATTAGAAAGCTCGGAATATTTTATGCTCAACCTAAAGCACTCGGCAGTGGTGACCTGGCCTAGTCCATTAGTTTAGAAATTCACAACGATTTCTTGATGAAGATGCCGCATAACCTATAGCACTCGGTTCTATATGTCATGATCAGAGGTAGGAAAATGTTGAAATACTGCTGAATCACGATTTTAATACGAAATATTGTAAAGCGTTCGGTTCTAGATACCATGACCAGAGATAGTAAAATGTTGGAACTATGGTTGAACCACGATTTTAATACGAAGGTGGCTATTTCGGCGCACTCACTTTTTTAGGTGCACTCAGTGTACTCAACTCTAAAAGTGTCCATAATACATCAAATTTTGAATTTCAATTAGTACTCTCAATCTAATATGATGATATGACATAGAATCATAGCAAATCAATCTATTACCCTAACCCCTTAACCTTCAATTTTGAATCCCAACCCAAAATCCCAAATTGTAAACCTAAACCCTAACTCTAAATCCCTAAATCCTTCAAATTAAAGTAAATTTTGAATGATTTTTTTTCCAAATTCATATTCTTTTTGTTCATAATTCATAAGCAACAATTGATACCGTTTTGACATGAATCACATGCTCAGGATGATAATTATGAGGCGGGTGCACTGAGTGCACCAAAAAAAGTGGATGCACCGAATACGCCACCTTAATACGAAATATTGTACCATCGAAATTTTAGATATAACTTCCCATACGATTTCACAATCCTTATAATTTACATTACAAAGCATAAATGAGACTTACAATATAAGGTAGGCTAATTTACATAACAAATGATTATCTTTCTGCATTACAAATTAGGTTAAATACACTTGTATATCCAAAACTTTCACGGTTGTGCCAATAATATCCAAATTTCCCGAAATACCAATTATATCCAATTCCTTCACATTATTCAACGGTGTTTTTGGATATACATGTGTATTTAACCAAAAATATATTGGAAAATGGATAGAATTGGCAAAGAACAACTTTAAAACATGGATATAAGTGGTATTCCGGGAAATTTGGATATTTTTGGCACAACCGTGAAATTTTTGGATATACAAGTGCATAAAACCTACAAATTATGACTATTTAGATTACAAATGGATAAGAACTACGTTACAAATCTGACTGATTTACATTACAAACTACTAATCATACAAATGAATATAACTTACAATTCATGTTGTTTCTCCCTCTATCGAAAAATTTTCTCACTATATCTAAACTGCTTCTTTTTTTACCCAATTTCTTTACATGTAGAGAATGGAGAAGGAAATCTTTAAAAAAAAATTCTAATTGTATTGCAATTACTATTCTACCACTGAAATTAAACTGAACGGTTAGGATTTATTTTGTCAAATGATCCCTTATTATTCACCTGAACTTGTATCTTTCAACTAGCCCTCCTTTAATTACAACTATAATTCATCTATACAACAACTAATTTTTGTTTAAGGATGTATAACTGAAATTAATTAGAAATCTTGTCCAGATGTTGAGATTTATATGCAAATACCAATTAATAAAAATTGTTCCCTATGGCGGGATGATTGAGACGGTACCGTTTGAGCAATGGACGCAATTTGGCTTCGATGACATGCTGATGTGGCAAAATGTCGATTTGTATCCTGTTATTCATTTGGTAGGTAGAAAGTCAGCGAAGACTAGCAAAGACCATTATTTGACCAAGAAGGCTAGAACAACCGTCTTTTACACTATGTTTGGCAACAAGGGGGGTGCAAGTTCGAGGGGGGTACAAGTTGAGGGGTAAATTGTTGGGGGGTGCAACTTGGTGGAGGGTGTAAGTAGAGGGGTAAATTGTTGTTTGGATGAAAAAGTAGGGTGGTGCAAATAGAGTAAAAAGTAAGTAATTATATTATTATAAAATAGATTTATCAATTTATAAAATATTATCACAAAATAATAACATGAAAATTCAATATATAATAATAAAAATAATAAATAAAAATAATTTTAATAAAAATAATAATTATATAATAATGCTCAAATATAATTATTTATAACAACAATAATAATCATTGGTCGAGCAACCTCGAAACTCGAAATCCAACTCGTAACTGGTCATCCTAAGGGGGTTCTCGTGCCTAACTTTAAATTGAATATGGTCAAACTTAGTCAAACACGTTCGAATCTGTAAGTTTTAACTACTTATTAAAGTAAATCGAGTTAACTAAACTGTTCCTCTCTATCTTTTCAACAAATGCTTCTTATCTCTAATTTTCAATGCAAATTCGAGTCAACTAAGAGATATCGATTTGACGAGGCGAACATTGACAAACTTGCTCTCTTAGTCAAACGGTCAACCCCAAACAACTTCTACACTAATATAGATATAAGAAAAAATTAATAATATTAATTATTATGTAATTATAATCTAATTAAAAATTCATAATTCCCCTCCTCCTCCTTCCCCCTCCCTTCCTTCCTTTCCTTGCACCCCAATTTGGGGGGTAAGCCGAAACAGTGAATTTACGCTCACATTTTGCACCCCCCCTCTGTTACAAAATAACCAAACGGGGGTAAACACCTTGGAACTTGTGTTTACCCCTCCAAACTTGCACCCTTTCCATTTGCACCCCTTCCCAAACATAGTATTACAGCCTGCTGTTTTTACTGCAAGGGGTTTCTCAGACAGTAAATTTTCGTTTGTCCTTATCCCCGTTTCTTGTTCAGAAAGGAACGAGAAGGGTTTATCAGTCCCCAATTCTCCCAAACCCTCTCATCTCACCGCCATTCCCATTTCCTCTCCCCTCCCGTCCCCTCGTATTCCATCTAAGCAAATCAAGACTCGAGCGTTCAAGATCATGGAGCCGTGGCGTCGCAGAAGTGATTTGCCGTCGGCGTCGCTGGGAAAGGGATAGCTGAGCCTTCCTTCTTTACTCGTCCTTTTCTTTCTTGTGATTCTTGTTCCAGTTTCTTCAACGAACAGAAGAAAGGTGAGCAATGGCGGACGTGCGTGGAGACGGTTCATGTGGAGCTTGTGGACCTTGCGGGAGACTGTTGGAAAGATTCCGGGCGTGGCAGTATAGAATGTATGGCTTCTGGGCAGTTCTTGCGGCAATGGCGTGTGTTGGGATTGTGGCTTTAAGCCTGGCTGGAGAAGGTTACACTAGTGATTTGACTTTGGAGCAGAAGAAAGCAAAAGCGAGGGCTACTAGTCAATTGGCTTGGATCAGTCCTATTGCTTTAATCCATCTTCTGATCGTTTACTTTGTTGTTGGTTTGAGGGGCCGTTGGTGGCCTGAGCATCGGTTGATTTCGATGATGCCTGGGGATTCTGGGAAGTCTACTATACAGGCTGGAGGCATAGTGTTTGCTGTCTTGGTGAACACCCTGGTCATCAGAGCCAGGCTGAAGTCATGGCTGGTGGTGGTTTACTGTTTCTATGCATTCTCAATCTCCAGGTGGCTGCTCTCCCGGGTGAAGTTCGAGTACACCATGGTTTGGGTTTGGTGAGTCCCCTGCTCAAATCTTTTTAGGCCTTTGAATGGTTTTTATTTTTTATTTTGTGCTCTGTGACTACTTTCTAGCCTTCCCTGATCAGAATGAATGGTTTGAATGCATAGATAGAATGAATGTGCATAAAACTCTGTCTCTGAAATTGATTTCTAGGACCTGTTTGAATTGATTCAGTCGACTAGCCACTGTCCTAGGGCCTAGAAGTTCTCTTTTAGAGTGGGCGGCTCTGTTTTATTTCAATGGTTTGAAGTTTGGTGCATTGAATAGGGGTGAGCCTTTAGTCCTGCAATCACCATAAGATTGTCATAAGAAGCACTCCTTGAAGAGTAAACATGAGTGTTCCTCCTGGAAGAGTAAGCAACCTTTTGAGTGTGGGTTTATGTTTCAAAAATTAAGCATCTCTCATTATTTTAATAATAAGCACACGGGTGAAGTATAACGAAGGTCATAAGAAGACTTTTTTGGTCTTCCCTCACTAAAAGTATTCTTCCTTCAATTTTCCTCATCTCTTCGCCTTTTTTATCAATCCCCTCCCCCCTCTTTTCGTGTCTTGTTTATCAAACCCCCCTCATTTAGTTTAGTTCAGTTCATTTCATTTTCCTTCTCTTTGTCTCTTGTTCATTTTCTTATCTGCCAACTTTCTTGTCTATCTATTTTGGACAGCACCACTGCTACCCTCGTGTGGAGCAAAGACCTTGGTGTTGGTAGTAACAAACTGCAGGCAATCCTCTTTTCTCTGCTTATGGGAGTGTTCATATACTTGGGGAACTACCTCGACGACTACAAGCCACCTAACAAAGAGATAAGCGATAAGAGTAAACAAGGTTGGTTTGGTGGCTTCAGCTACCCCAAAGAAGCACATGGTTTTGGTGATACAGTGATGTGGCAACATGGTTCTTTTGGCGCGGCTGTGCAGGGAGACGGCTCGTGTGGAGCTTGCGGGAAATGGTTTGAAAGGTTTCGAGAGTGGCAGTATAGGAGATATGGCATTTGGGCTACTTTTGCTGGTTTGGCAGGTGTTGGGATTTTTGCTACAAGCCTGTCTGGATTAGGTACAACTCGTGGTTTGGATTGGATGTGCGCTTTGATTGGAATGCATCTATTTACAGTATTTTTTTTGGTTGGCTTGAATGGTCGTTGGTGGCCTGACAATGGCTTGGTTTCGAAGATAATTGGGAGAGTTGGGAAGTCCAATATACAGGCTGGGGGGATTGTATTTGCTGTTCTAGTGAGTACTCTCGTCACCAAAGCTAAGATGGAGTCGTGGCTCGTGGTGGTCTACTGTACCTATGCATTATCTGTGTCCAAGTGGTTACAGTTTCCTGTGAAGTTCGAATACACCATGGTTTGGGTCTGGTAAGCCTCCTGATCAAATTCTTTTAAGGATTTAAATGGTCTTATCGATTTTGTGCTCTATGACTAGTTTCATGTCTTCTCTAACCATAATGAATGAATTGAATGCATAGATAGAATGAATGGTTATATAACTTTGCCTGTCTCTTGTTCACTTATTTATCTAGCTAACATTTTTGCCATCTGTTTTGGACAGCACCACTGCCACCCAAGTATGGAGCCAAGATCTTGAAGTTGGTAGTAACACGCTACAGGCGATCCTTTTTTCTCTACTTATGGTAGTGTTCATATACTTGGGAAACTACCTCGACATCTATAGGCCACCCAACAAACAGATTCATGACGAGGGGAAAAAAGGGTGGTTTGGTAGCTACTAAGATCCTAGTAAACTAGCTGGTGGTACAGCCATGCAGCGATATGCTTCTCCTTCTGGAGGTGATGCAGATGATCTTGAAGAAGGAGAGGTGCAGCAGGATAGGCAGCCTGATGCTACTGGATTTGACATCTATCGTCCGGGATCTTGGCCACAGTACTTCGCAGGGTTGCGGTTCCGGACCTTTTCCTGGTACAACTACGGGCAACAACTATAAGCATCTGAAGAGTAAACCATGGCCTTAAATTTCTAGAGTGGACTGGATCTGTTGCAGTGCGTGCTCATTGGTTAGGATTCTTGGTTATTTGGTTTCTGGAACCATACTTGAGCAGTTGAGCCAGTAATTTTAGCTATAACAAACTAATTGCCTACTTGACAGCTCGTAATGGTCGTTTGGTCGTTTTGCTTTCGTTTCTTCATCAAGAACTTATGTACCGTTGTGTAGGTTTCTAGCCTGCAATGGTAACAGTCTGAGTCAGAGTAATGTTTTTTTGGTGAGTTTGATGATCCGAATTCCTACCAGCAATTATTGAAGAGTTGAGATTAGGAATGGAAAAAATGGGCTTTCGTTGTTGGGGAGGGAAGGAAATGGTGCAGCCCACTTCCTGACCCATGTACAATGCAATTGAAATGCCTTTGATATTTGAATGGGCCAGCTTCTGTTTTTTTTTTTTTTTTTTTTTTTTTTTTTAATTTGGCGACCTCATTTTATTAACAACTTCTGTTCTTTTAGCCCAACAGTTGTTGTCAAACTGTAACCCCTCATCTGTCATCTGCTACTTAACAATTCCAGAGTCTTTTATCAAACTAGCTTCCTGCCCGGCCTTTGGCCGGGATAACTGTTGTTCGGGGTTAGGGATGGCAATGGGTCGGGTTGGGTCGGGTTTTGCCAAACCCAAACCCATGGGTTTATCCGTTAAAAAAACTCGGGGTAAAACCCACTGGGTTTGAAAAACTCAAATCCAACCCAACCCGCTGGGTATTCGCGGGTTCATGGGTACCCACGGGTTTTTGTCGTAAAAAATTTACAATAACATGTTCCTATCAAAATTAAAGTCAAATATCAATCTCTTAATACAAATTATCCATATTTAAAACACCATTCTAGAAAATTCAAACAAATCACAAATTAACTATACAAATTGTTCAACACCAATCTAGAAAACTCAAGAAAATTGAAGTAAATCATAAATTATCCATATATAACATATTAATTGAAGGCTTCTTCCTTTCAATTAAGTTTCTTCATTCTCCACTCGATAACACAAACTTCATTCTACACAATTAGAAAGAAAAAATTAGACATGTCTCCACAAACATAAATAAGATTAGTTGTTTAAAATACTAAATATACCGAGAAAATTAATTATATGTGTGGGCGGGTACCCACGGGTCGGGTTTACCTAAACCCAAACCCAACCCAACCCGATGAATAGTGAACGGGTTTAAACCCAAACCCGACCCAAAACCCGTCAACACGGATTTTACCCGCGTTGACCGGGTTGGGTCGGGTGGGTACCCGTGGGTTCGGGTTTGGTTGCCATCCCTATTCGGGGTTGGTTGTGCCATCCACTTTCCCCTTTTTTGTCGTCTATGGGTATTTGATGGGTTGTTTATTATCCTTATCATTATAGTGATTATATGTGTCCCCATTTTTTGTTGTTGTTTTGAAATTACCATATATACTCTTGACAGACAAAAGTTTAGATGTAGATTATTTAAATTTACAATGGTTAACACATCATAACAGTCATTTGGACAAACGCTGTACTTCACAAACATGAGTACGATGAAAAACCTAAAGTTTCGTAATAGTATCGTTGGTGTGTGATGACTATCTGCATTAACTGAATGTGCCGAGTACTTGGGAGCTTTTCATTTGTTTGTTGTTACTTGAATTTGCAATGATGTGACGGTCCATAAGTTTCTCGTTGTTGTTCGAAGCGGGCATTAGTATCCTGGTTCGTTCTTGTAAGCATTGAGTGGGGGATGGTGTGCCTTCAACATCACTTTAAGACTCTGGTTTGAGGGGCTTTGTGGTTGTTGACATCTCTTGATAAAGCTTCATCAACCATACACTTTATCGAATTGTGGGCTGGTGGGCTTCAATCCAAGTAATCTGGAAAAACAAACCAAAGAATTATGAATAAAGATAACAACTTTATGAACAAAATCAGCAACCCATAAACTTTAATGCCAATGTCAATGATCAGAGTCCCCTCACCAGATCTTTCGGTACGCCACTGGTCACATATGTAATTGGGGCATGCAGGGCATCGACTCTGGTCATAGACACCAAAGCCAGTCATACAAAGCAATCTGAACTTTGCCATTCTGCACATAAGAAGTAGAAGAAGAATAAGCGAAATATGTACTCGTGGTTGTATCTTGGGTGTGTGAAATCTATAAGTGCTTACATTTTGTGGTAGCAGCGAATATCAAACAGTAGTGGAAGCCGAATAAGAAAAACAACAAAAACCAAAAGGAACACTGAATTTCTAGGCGATGAGACAAATAACACAAATTCTCAACCCTAGAATCAAAAAGTAATCGATTGAAACAATCATAAGCCATACGGAGTCCTGAAACATCATTCTTCCTCCGGATCATCAAAACAGAACCCATAATCCAAGATTAAACGCTAAACATCCCCAGGATAGGGAATATAAATCCCACAAGTTGCACAAATTCTTAATACTGGAATCAAACAATAGCGATTAGAATTATCAAATCAAAACCCAAACCCCAAAATTCAGTGGTGAAAAGCACATCCAGGAAAGGGAAATACTAACCGAAAAAACACTAATAATATTAGAATTACCTGCAGAATCACAAAGAAGTCGAAAGGGGGAATATTGTGATGTTGGTGGCATTCGAAAGACGGTTGCCTTCGGAGGAATCTGGGGTCTTCCATACGGTGGTCATGAGAAACGAAGAGGAACTATTAAGGGGGACGATATGAAGGGCATACCATCTCCGTGGCGGAAAAGGGAAATCAATTGACGGAGGAAAAGGGAAGAAGATAGAAAGTGAAAGAAAATTGGGAAGTTGTCACCGTTTGAGTTAGAAGAGTGGAAATCTGGGGAGTTATGGAAGGTCGATAGGAAGAAGAAGGCGGATATGGATGTGTGAAAAAATTTGGGTATGGACCTTTGTAGATTTAGCGAGAAGAAAACTGTTGGGGTTGGGAAGAGGGGGGGATAGGGAGGAAGGGCCTGATTTTTTCACGGGAGAGGAAGAAGGGAGCTTTTTAAGGGGCTGACGTGGGTAGTTGCCTTGAGGCAGGATTTGAGTTTGTCAATAAAAAAATTAAAAAAATTAATATGTACTCCGAAAGTTGCGGGGAGGCATTCGGTGAGAAAGCCTTTATAATATTTGATGGATTCATGCCTTGGTGTCTGGTGAAACGCCCGCCAAAGTGGTCAACGCTACCCATTGGCAAGTTAGCTGATCAATGGGAGGAAAAAATATCTTAGGCGTTTAGCTGTTTAGTTACTAGCTTTATACCCGTCCGTTGGGCGGCAAATTTTGATTGGTTATTATATTTTTTGTCCTAGTATTATAATTTTATTTATCATTTATTATGTTAAACTATTATACATTGAATTGTTAATCTCACTTACCAAATTTCATATATTGTTTCACATTTTTATATATTTCATTTATTTATGAAAATTTAATTTTATTAGATGAGCTCTCTCTAGTACTTTCTTTATTGATTTATAATTATGTATTGAATCCACCATTTAAGATATAAACTAAAGAGATTATTAATTTTTTAGCACACAAAGTGACAAAGAAGTTAAAATTTTCAAGGACACAAAAGAAGAAGTTAAAATTTGCAAAAATATTTCAATTAAAAAAAAAGTGAAGAGCTTTCTTTTTCTCACCCTTCTCGTACGTTGGTATATGCTAATAGAGAATATCACGATCTAGATCCCACAAATATCGTGCAATATCAGTTACTTGTGTAATTTTGGAAGAATGAGAAATCACATTGGCATCCACATCATCAATCTTCGGCTTCTTCGTTTAACCCCTTGCTACATTTTGTGGGGCTTGATCTAGTTTCTTTATTATCAATGTTGTGTTTGATTTTCAATGTTGTATGGGAAAATGAATAGGAACAAACAAGAATGTTGCATTCATTTTTATTAACTTAATTTACTTTTTATTGATAATGATGACAATTTAAAGAGTAAACAAAAAAGCACACCAATTAGACCTTGTCCAGCGTCGAAGGGTGAAATTAGTTTTAGATTCCAACAATATTAAGTAATGATTATATATGATTTCTTGGAATTTTTTTTATAAAATGTAATAACTCGTAGAAACATGGTGACATTTTACATACATTTGAATTCTTGAATGTATTGTAGACATATCTATTAATATCTAAGAATATGTATAACAATTTTATTTTAACTTTTAACCCTGATTAATACCTTTGAACTCGGCTCATCGACTGAAATATGAAAACAAAATTTTGTGGCCAGGATAACTCTATCTAACTACAAATTGCTTACTGTTACAAACCAAAAGATTTCCATTTTGATACTTCGATATTGAAAAAGTTTTTGTTATTGCCAAAATTTGGTATGGAGTTACAGACTCACAACCATATAGCTGGGGTTGTTTGCTTGATGAATTTGGAGCTATCGTGAACTTTGTCCGACCATTGCTTGCGTCATGTATTTAGAGGCAACAAATATGTGGGTCTCATGTATTTTAAGGTTCCAAATTTATGGGCCCCAAGGACTTGAAAATTTCACCTCTTTAGATGGAAATTGATCATGGACTTTGAAGTCTATTATTTATGACCAACCTATTCCTCATAATTCATTTCCCTTCTCATACCAATGAGGGTAATATATGTTATTTTCACTTCCAACATACAAATTCAATTAATCAAATGCATCATGAAATCTATGAAACAAAATATGGTATTTTCAAATCCATAATGAACCAAAACCCTCATATATCCATGCTTTTACAAAATCCAAGTTTTATTAAAACTTTCAGTTTTCAAATCCACGAAGCAAACGACCCCAATGTTTTATTACAATTGCCTTACTAACACACTTATGTTCATTTATTGCCTCAATCCTCGAATTTAGATTTGTCTACCAAGACATCAACTATTAAATAAAATTTTTCAACCCTTATTTGATCAATGCTAAGGCTAGTGGTTGATAAAACGTGATGTTTATCGTATATCCTCAACGAAGATTTTCTTAACCTTCACACCTGTTGTTTTTAAGTGATGTTGTGTCTCATCCTAGGTATGAAGTCAAAACTCGTCAAAAACCATAGTTAAGTCATTTTAAAAACTTTGATGTAATAATGTTCGACAATAACTCCAAATCTGAAAAGAAATTACTTAGCATTCGACTTATGACCTCAATAGAGATTGTTCAATTAATATGATCTAGTGTGAATATTTAATATTAACCCTAGGACAAATTATAAATTATTGCACACCTGATTACTCTTAATTTGAGAAACTGAATGTAGAACATGAATATATGTTTTCACTTAATCACGATGATTAAGAAGTTTTTTAAAGAAAGAACTATTATTGCTTAGTCAAGTTTATATTAAGAACTTTTGCTATATAAGACTTTTTTTTATTTGATAGAAATATTTATTAGAAATAATTCGACGAAAAAAATACATTAGAAATAAGAGATTTATTAATACAAAAAAATATAAATTCATATATATCATTTTCAAAGTCGATTGATAAAAATATTATTATATATGTGTGTACTTTCTTAATCATTTGTTTTCGATGTTTCTATTGTAATATTTTTTTAATTGATACAAATATTATTATTTAATATTTTGTTTAATTGATACAAATATTATTATATATGTGTACTTTTTAAGTTTTTGTCAAAATGTAACTTATTATTAAGTTTTGGTGAAAATGAGTAAGAAAATTTACTTGATAAGATTTAATCATATACTTTTTATTTAAACAAATTCGATATAGTCACTCTCTATTTCCATCTTTATATTTTTTTAATTGACAAAAATATTATAATTTTGTGTGTTTGTTTACATTTTCATAAAAAGGTCATTTATTATTAATTTTTAGTAAAAATGAGTAGAAATATTAAAAGAAGAGAGAGATAACTCCATAAATAGATCAATAATGAATTTTTTGTTTGCAAAAAAAGTTGTCCACCTTGGCAACTTGTGAATTCTCCAATTGCTTATGTGGCAAGAAGTTACTTTTGAATTGTCATAATATATAGTATAGTATAGATAGATATAGATATAGATATAGATAGATAGATAGATAGATAGATAGATATAGATATATATAGATATAGATATAGATAGATAGAAGATTTACTTTTGAAAATTATGCTTGTTTGAGTTAGTATTGTCAAATTTATTTCTAGAGGGGATACTATTTATCTCAAATTATGTCTTGATCATTAAAAATTTAATTAGTACTTGCACTTTCTTGTTTTGACAAAAGTGTCATGTATTCCGTGATTTGATGTTGTTTTGACAAATATATTTCATGTTATAATCTTACGGGTTGCGAGTTCGAGTTTTCAAAACCACTTGTATAAACTAAGTCTAATGCTAATTAAACGTCCGATTAATATTCTTCATGACCCTAATTCAGAGCTATCATCGAAAAATGCTTTACGAGTTCTAGAAAAACGAAGCACAATAGAATGAGATGCAAACCATGTGAAAAATAGCCGCTATAAAAGCTTTGGGGTCGTTTGGATGAGGAATTGTAACGTATAAATTTGACGCAATTGTCTCATTTTGAGACAATTGTACTAAATTGACTCGTTTGTCAGCAAAAAATTTGGATGGATCATTTTGCCTAAGGTATTTTGATTTTATCCGTTTTGAGTCAGTTTCAATTGTCTGGAGTGAGGGCAGGTAATTCGAATTGACTCGTTTTAATTACTTCGTTTATAAAATGAAACAATTAATCAAATTGTCTCATTTCTAGATTGATCCATCCAAACGACCTAACTTAGGTCTCCTCTATAAGGATGCGATGAGCCAATGCAAGTCTCCTCTATAACCTCAGCAAAGCTCATGCCTCGGGCCTTCTAGCTATAGCTAAAATAATCATTGAAGATCTTCCTTGTGTTTTGAGCCATTGTTATGGATAAGTAGAGATCAAGTGAGAAGTTTATTACATTGAATATGATGAATCATATGTCCATTTGCATAGTAGCATATGTGGAGAGGATTGAAAAGAAAAAATGGAACGCAATTCCAATATGCAAATTGGGGTTTTGTATATTGATTTTTGGTTTGAATGAGAAGCATGGAAATTGAGCTTGTTGAAGACAACCAATACTTGCTTATTTGAGCTTCAAGCTCTAAATCATGGTCTAATTTTGCCAATTTGAGTAATTACATTGACATAATTTCTTCTACACGCTCAAAATCGTAGAGGTTACATGAACAACAACAATATCTATTTGCATGACAAAGACAGGAATGACAACAAGTTATTATAACTTTCTTGTCAAACCATGCTATATTTTACGTAATGCAATGTCGGTATTAGTTCAAAACTTTACCCTAATACGAAATCTGCTTAAAGATTTAGTAAACAAAACTTTACCCGATCAGCACTTCGTATGCAGATTAGTTCAATCAAACCTAATTTTACCCCTTCTCTTGTCACATGCACATAATTTCGACGTGTATTGTTCTCTTATGAAAAACCGCATTCTCAACAATGTTTATCGCATATTTATTGTCACATAACACATAAATTGGCAACTGAACTTCCATGTTTAACCCTGTCAGCAAACCTTTTAATCATTGTACTTCACAAACAACTTCTATACTTTACCTCTAAAGGGGATCGAGACTGTGGTTTACTTCGTAGCCTTCAATGTGACCAAAGAGCTTAAAAGAAAGGTTCAATATCCAATAACTAATCTTCTGGAATGCATCCTAACAACTGCAATAAGGAATCACCTTTAAAGAAGATACATTGATTATGTGACCCTTTGATGTATCTCAATATCCTGCTGGTTGCTTTGAGTGTTCAGTGTGAGGATACTTTTGAAATGGACTTTGTTGTGTTAAGTAGTGTAGTCTCCATATTAGTCTTCTTGATCGGTTGCTTATGTGCGATCGAGCTTTAAATTTATAACTCGATGCACACTCTCTATTCAATCCTAACTAAGCCAAGTATAACCTAGTTAGAGTTGTAGTAAAGTGGCTCGGTCGTATTCCAAGAGAACCCTAAGTTTACTATTACTTCGCTCCGAACTACTATCTAATTGGGTCCGAAGTTTGGTGAGGGGTTTGAACTAATTTAACCTACTCCTAAGGTAAAATAAACAACCAACCAAGTGGTTGGGAGAACGCTAGAGATGAGACAGTTGCATAGGGTCGAATCCTCGTAGCTATGGTTGCCAAGTATAGGGTTATCGAATGTGGTGAGTGGGCTCTTTTCCGTGGGCTTTCATGGTTATTCACACGCCTCCGAGTACGCCTCCCCTAAGCCCATATATAGACACCTCAATCTAGGCTATCGTAACTGGAACATTAAGCTTATGGCTCATTTCAATGGACACTATACACCGTCCACACCGAGGTTTTATCCCGAGTTCTATCTAGGAAGGCTAACTTATGGCAGGGGTTTGGTCGCCTCGGCCACCCTAGGTCCCTATTCATACATCTGTCATGATTTGCTTGATGGTGCATACCCGTCTAACCCTAGAACTCCATACCCAGCATAGAAGCATAAAGTAGGCTAAAAGGGAAGATTAGGGTGCCCTACCCCAAACACAATTGATGATAGAATAGCAATAGAATCAACTAGATTAACACATTCATACATAACTCATTCATACACAACCTATAAACTAGGGTTCATCTTTCCTAAACAACCATTAGAGATTCAAGTTATTAGAGAAAAGAAGAAAACACAAACTAGAAGAGGGGAATGATGGAATCAAGCTTCTTCTCCTTGCTCCTCGGGGTGATTGGATCTTCAATGAAGCTCTCCCAAGGTGTTTCCCTCTCTAAAACACTAAAAAAAACCCTAACTTTCTCACTCTAAGGCGGCTCCCCCCTGAAAGATGCAGAAAAGAGAGTATTTTATATGCAACTGGTGTCGATCACGGCCTCGAGGGCGTGACGTGATGGTCACGGCCGTGACCTGCTGGAACTTCCCTGAATCACCCGAAATGACGTATTTTGACTCCGTCTTTAAACTCCGAGATCGCGGCCTCCTTCATAAGTTCGTGGCCGAGATCTTTTTCATTGTCAAAATACGCCATGTCCTGGGCGGAAACTTTCTGACTTCTTTTTGGTCTCCTTCTGCAATTCACGGCTACTGTTCACGGCCGCGATCTACAGCCCGCAAACATGGTCACAACCTAGTTGTCACGACCATGACCTATGGCGGTGACTAGTGCCTTTTCTTCCCTTCTTGCTCCCATGCTTCCCAATTATGCTCGGATGAACTCCAATCGATTCTCAATCAATCCCAAATGAATATAAGACCTGGAATTTCATCACAAACACTTGGGAAAGCATAACATACCATAAATTGGGCTCGGTTTCCCCTATGAAAACTTTCATATCATGAATACCTATGCCAAAATGCATGTTTTACAAATAGGAACGAATATGGGCATATATAACTTGATATGTTGCCTAGACACGTTGAATTAGCATGTAAATTCCTTGAGGATAGGGGCTAAATAACACATATTTTAGGTGTTATCCCTTTTGTATGACTCAAGGATCTTCAAGGGGGTTTACCTTGCTTGGCTCTCAAAGATTAATCATCTTATACCAAAATATGGTTTCATAAATTTTTATTGAGATCACATGTGGGACTCCAGATCACTTTGAAAAATTGATTTCAATGTTTGAGGCTGCAAATCATTTTTATAAGGTGTGCTACAATTAAAAAAAACTATTACTAATTTGCCTCGTCAACTCTAATTTTATTTAACATAAAAATCACGCGCACTACCCCATCATTATGCTGAGTTTAACCACAATTCAACTTGTGGATCAAAAGGCTGAGAATCCAAGCAACACCAAGCAAGAGAACTAGGGAAGGAAGAAAAAATAGTGCAAAAAGATAAAAGCTGTGGAAACTCCTCTTCAGTGGCAACCACTCTTTCACTACAATCAATCCCTTGTTGTTGTCTCCATCCTCTATCATTAACACTATCTCACAATCATCATCATCATTAGCCAGTAATAGATCTGTCGTCGTGATAACTTTTTCCACCACTGCCACCAATCTGAAGTTGTTCTTGTCACATGCCTCATGATCTCGCTCCCAATGAGTGACTATCATTAACTCCATAATCTTTTCTATCTCATGATTTTGATCACTTCCAGAAGTGGTCTTTTTGGTCACCACTGCCACAACACACAAACTGTCCCATTGCTTGAGTCGCTCGGGAAGCAAAGGTTTGGTGGCCGCTAGCACCATTCTCTTCTCATTCTTGTCAGTGCTGAAAATCACCATATCTCCCATTTCAAATAAGCAAAAGAATCTGCCCTTTCCGTAGCATACACCAAGGCAAGTTTGTCCCTTTTTCCTAGCCAATGAGAAATTGTATGTCTTCCACATCCAATCGTCACCACAATGGAGCACACTGAAATAACGATCGCCATATACCATGAGGATCATCGAGTCACGAGCTGTGGGTAGTGCGGAGAATGCGACCTTGACTGTGACCGGCGTCCAGTTACGACGGAAGTGAGAAAAATGAAAACTTGGTTCGGGAAGAGCGATATAGTTTGCTGGACTTCGGAGCAGAGGATTGTAACAGCCCAAGAAAATGCCACGCTCTTTTAGAAGCAGCCACGCGCCCGCCCTCCCAAGGATTTGTACGTTGACACCTACGAGCCTCTCGGGGATTTGAGTTTCACGACGTGGTTGGACGAAAAGCTTGTCATCTTCCCGCACTTCGATGACATCGAAGTCTGAGAATTTTGTATGGTTGATGTCCACGGGCAAGGGATTGGAAAGCACAACCTCAGAGTGGATTTGGTGCCAGTTTTTTCATACACAACCGAATTGAGTACCGTCGATGTGGGAGGGGAGTCTCCTGTAGATGGAATTCAGGAGATCTGGACATATATCAGCCCATGGATGCTGATCCTCTCCCATAACCATATTATATCAATTTTACTCTGAGAACCTTTTTTTTCAATTATTAAAAACCTTGGTGGTTTCGATTCAAGCATGCATGTATCTTCCTGTTTAGAACTGTATAGTGGAGTCATAAATAAGGAGATTTGTTAGATCAAAAAATTGCACACAAATGGCAAAGCGAAATTGTATGTTAATGTTGGTTATAAAATGACGGGGGAGGAAGTGTCTGATTTAACGGCGAATGAAGTGGTCAATATTTACTACGTCATTTTACAAGACGAGATCAAGTGTAAAAAGGGTCTCTCATATTTATAGCCTTGTTAAACTAGTAGGCCATTAGATAAAAAATGAAAAATCCTAAGAAAATCTGACGGGTAGTAATAATCAAGGTCTGGTTTGCAATAAGATAAGCATGTCACAGCGGACCTTACCTCCTTACTCTTATCTTGTTCAATTTTTGTCACAATGAGTGAAAGGATTGAAGACCATACCATACCGGTGGTTCGACCAGAACCTCCTACCGAAAGTGATGTCGGTAGGCGGTATTAAACTGTATGAACGGTTCAATTACGGTTCAATTATGATTTCAATATAAAATATCCTGCCGTTGAATTTTCCGGTACAATCTCCGTTATGATTTTTCAATCCTTGGATAAGTCACGTCAATGGTATTTAACCAATTGTGAATCTTGTATGATATTAGCGTTGGGCCTAGAACATTGGCAGGGGAATTATCGTATATAATAACATATAAGATAGATGGCCTTAAATGCATGTCATGAGTGTTTTGTATCTTCGTTATGCAAGTTAAATGTTCAAGAGTGATCCGACTATGCATAATGTGCTTACAATATAATAGTCGGGGAATTATCATAAAAGCAATAAATATTACTATTTGCCCAAAAATGGGGGAAATATAACTAATTATCCTTCATTACTAAAGTATACCATATAGTTGAATGTTTGAGGTGCTTTCCATAATGTTGACATAATCAAGCTTCAGGATGAAAGAAAATTATTGGTCTCTAATAGAGTTCAATTGTCCTAAAGTGTTTTCCCCAATATAGATCATCCTTGTTGATCACGTCACGCATAATGAATTTGAAGTTGCATGATTTGAAATATGTAGGGCATGATGCCAGTTGTTACTAATAATTAGTTGGACAATGTATTGTGTAAGGGTGAATGCCCTAATGACTCTTAGATCACACATATGTCCAACAATAATATAGTAATTTCCTAGGAACAAATATATATCATTTTTGAAAAATAAATCACAATAACGAGAATGTATGAAAATGTAAATAGCATTTTTGAAGAAATAAATCACAATAATGAGAATGTACGAAAATAAGATTACATTGAAGATAGGTCCATAAAAAATGAAGATTTGCAAACTTCTTACAATGGCTGAAGGTGATAATCGAAATGAAATGAGCTCTACAATTAAACAAATATTTGCACGTTGTTTGAAAACTTCATAAGAGTACTCATTAATAGTATTTTCCTTGTCCTTAGGTTGCATAAGCAATGAAATATAGCAAAATTAATTATGTGCAATCATGAGTATGTGTACATATATAGGACAAACCAAATAAGGTTAATTAGTAAGCAAATTGTTAGCCATTTACCAAAGTTGGTTCCAAAATTTTGCATCAAGAGTATAAAACAACAACAAACAAAAGGAAACTCATCAACAATATAAGGGCTAAAAAAAAAACTAAAGGACAAACCATTCTCAAAACTAGAGTGTCCTTTACACTATGTTTGGTAACACGTGGTGTAAATTGGAGTGGGTGCAAGTTGAAGGACAAATTGTAGGGTACAAATTGGTAGAGGGTGTAACTGAAGTGGTAAATTCATGTTTGAATGAAAAAGTAGGACGGTGCAAATACAATTAAAAATAAGGAAATTATATTATTATTATAAAATAGATGCATTAAATTTATAAAGATTATGTCAAAATAATAAAATAAAAACTATTAATATAACCGTGACTACTTTGGTGCACTCACAAAAATGAGTGCATTCATGCATCCAACTCAAAAACTAGTCTTAAGGTGTCGGATTTTGAATTTTAATTTTTAGAATTAGTGTATTATGATGATATAACATATGATAACAACTAATTAGCGGATTACCCTAAGCCCTAGACTTCCAATTTTGAGTTCTATCCCTAAACCGCAAATTGTAAACCCTAACCCTAACCCTAAATCTCTAAACAACAAATCCTTCAAATTAAAGTAAATCTTTAATGGGTTTGTGCAAATTCATGTGTGTTACGGTTCATAACATCATAAGTGATGATTGACATCATTTTGACATAAATCGCATGTTTAAAATGAGGGTTATGATGCGAGTGCACTGAATGCAAAAAAAAAAAGTGAGTGCACCGAAGACGCCACCTTAATATAATAATAATAAATATTAAAAAAATAAATATCAAGACAATAATACTTAGAAATAGAGACACAGGTTTTTCTCCGATTCTTGCGGAGGTGTTAATTTTTCTTTTTTGGCAAAAAAATTGAACCAAACACGACTAAATATGGCCCGCATATCCGGATATCAAAAGCGTAGAAAAGCGTTTAAAAGCTAGCTTCTAAAGCTTTTACTGGGCTTGAGAGCTTTTACTTAGACTTTTGATGCAAAAGGCTTTTTGAACAAAATCGTAAATTTTTGGGGGTTCCAAAGCATAAAAGCGTAAGCTATTAGTATTTTAAACTAGCTTTTGACTACATTGATGCAATTTAACTAGTACAATACGGTCTTACAACACTGATTTGTTTAATGTGTACGTGTATTTGTTTTTTGACAGTCTACTTGTATTCTTTTTTACTCTAAGATTGACAGATTGTCACACTTGTTTCGATTGTGATAAAATTGTGTCATTTAGTCTCTAACGAGGAATATAATCAATACTATAGGACTGCACATGTTAGTTTGAAAGTTCTGTATTATCACTTCAAAGTGGCCAAAATTTTGTTTTCAAAAGATTTATAATTACTATTCTAATATAATTCATACTTCGGTTTAGATCACATGATGAACTCTTCAATCTTCATACCAATCTCTGTTACAACTTACAAGGTGAAAGGAATTGAACAACACTGAACTACTAGGTGAGCTTTTCTTCCCCTGTTTTCGGGCCATTCCCATTATTAACCCATAGCATAAAGCCCAATAGTTTGGGTCCAATAATAGATAAGACCTGCAAGGCCCTATTCTCCTTCATCGTCATCATCGCCTTTCTCTCCAGGCATGATTCATCGCTGAACTCTCTGTTCGCGCTCTTCCTCACTTCGGATTCCAATTTCCGATCTCTCCTGCTCGCCGGAACCTCTACAGCTGCTCTCCGGCGCCGTTCTGGTCCGTTTCAACCGTCCACTGTCTCACTCCATCTCCATCACTCTCACTTCATCAAGCGGCATCCCTCCTCACTCTTCTACATTGCTATGAGAATTGCTTTGGTTCTCGATCGCCGACTCTCTGGTACCTAGGCTCAGATCTTCTGCTTCCACTACTTAGGAATATAGTTCCTGGAGCTTGATCCGGGAGAAATGCAAGGACTCAGGGCCAAATTTAGGGTGGCCGCAGTGGTTGCGTTAACTCTTTGGATTGCGCTGCTCGGTTTGTATTCACTTTTGAAGCCAATCTCCAATGGATGCGTCATGACTTACATGTATCCGACTTACATTCCCATCTCCGCCGCGGGTGATGCTGCTGCTGCTTCCGGTAAGTATGGTTTGTACCTTTACCATGAAGGCTGGAAGAAGATCGATTTCGACGAGCATTTGAAGCAGCTTAGTGGCATTCCCGTTCTTTTTATCCCTGGAAATGGTGGCAGCTTCAAACAGGCAATGTTTTCTACTCTTGTCGCCGATTCACTTGGCCATTGTAGAGTTGGTTACATCTAAGAAAGTTACGATATTCGTATGCATTTGATATCTCTCAGTTTATCTAGGCGGGCATTAGCTTCAACTGGCGTTAGCTGAGTAAGCATGGTCTTTGTATAAGTACTATAATGAACTAGGATTTCGATGTTTTGGCTCTTCTTTTCCACAATCTTTATTGCAGGAGATTCTTTTTGAACTTCATGCTGCATGCGTCTCAATATCACTGATTATTTCGTTGCAGGTAAGGTCTGTGGCTGCTGAATCAGATAGGGCATACCAAGGAGGTCCGCCAGAGAGCACATTTCATCATGAGGCTGGTTTGACTTCTGAGGAGGGGAGAGCGGACACGCATTTGGCTGGCTTTGAATTGCCCACCCAATACAAGAATAGGCTAGACTGGTTTGCTGTGGACCTTGAAGGTGAACATTCTGCAATGGATGGTCAGATACTTGAAGAACACACTGAATATGTTGTGTATGCCATCCACAGGGTATTGCAGCTTTTGTCACGTTGGTTTAATAATGTTGGGGAATGGGGAGTATGCCACACAAACTAAGACAGTAGTAATTTGGATGAAATGACATGAAGTTTTGATAAGGGAATGTGCAAATAATGGTTGCTAGCTAAAAGCTCAATTTATTTTGTCAATCCTTCATGGCTGAATGAGATGGGTTTCTCTCATCGAATAGCTTTATGTGCTGCAACATTTTCACCATCAGTGATTACCAAATTCTTTGATTCCAATCTAAGTATGAGATCCTTCATGAACGTGTTCACCAAATCTGCCAAAATTGGTTTCTCTACATGATTTTTTTACTTGTTATAATTTCAAATTTTCAGATTTTGGATCAGTATAAGCATTCCCATGATGTCAGAGAAAAGGAAGGTGCTGCCGCATCTAGTAGTTTGCCAAAGAGTGTGATATTGGTTGGTCATTCCATGGGCGGTTTTGTTGCTAGAGCTGCTATGATCCATCCCCGTCTGAGGAAGGCTGCTGTTGAGACTATTCTTACACTTTCAACCCCACATCAGTGAGTTTTGTGGCTCTTGTATTAGCTTGGCTTTCATGTCTGACAAAGTTGATTGACTAATAAAGAAAGTGACCACCTTATCCAGGTCACCTCCAGTGGCACTACAACCATCATTGGGCCACTATTTTGAGCATGTTAACCTTGAATGGAGGAAGGGGTATGAGGTCCAGAGTACTCATGCTGCATCATATGTTACCGATCTCTCCAATGTTATTGTTGTCTCAATCTCCGGTGGTTATAACGATTACCAGGTTCGTTTGAAAGGGCAACTCGATCTGAGTTAATGTCATCCCATTTTCATTACATTTTGGGTTATATATTGGAGCTGAAGTTTAGTCTTGTGATTGATATGTAGTAATTGATTACTATTTTGTTTCTGTTTTTGGTAATGCATGGGACAATGTATGTCCTTAACTCAACTCTGTTGGTGGTTTATGATTCATTCCATTGTTCTGTAGGAACTGTTATGCCTACTGGTCTCAATTGCGCTTTGTTATTTCAATTTCTTTATCATCCTTTTAAAGCTGTGGACTGTAATGGCCTGTAAAGATCCAAATTTTACTTAACTGGCATATCGTATGGATATTGTGGTGGAAATAAGTTATTTCTTCAGGTTCTTCTGAGAGCCTGAAAATGTGCGAGTTTCTTCCTTCTTTCCCAGCTCTGGTGTCTGTTTAAGTTCAAAGGGCATGTGTATTATGCCTATAAGGAAGTTTACTTCCTTCACCATCAATAGTAAATGGCTAGATGTATCTCTTGACATATTTTCTTCTATGCATTGATCTTTCTGCTCGTGTTTCAGGTGCAAACAAAGTTAGAAACCCTAGACGGGATTGTGCCTCCTACACACGGATTTTTTATTAGCAGTACCAGCATGAGAAATGTATGGCTATCCATGGAGCACCAGGCTATTTTGTGGTGCAATCAACTGGTTGTACAAGTGAGTAGAGTTGTTTCTAGACTTTAGAGTGTGGATACTCCACATTGCTGACCGTGCATTCCCTATTAGGTATCACAAACTCTCCTCAACTTGGCAGATACAAAAACAAGTGTTCCATTTCCTGAAAGACAAAAAAGACTTTCCGTATTCGCTAGGATGCTTCGTAGTGGGATACCTGATGCTTTCCAATGGACAAGTCAGCCGGATTCAAATGTTCATGGTAACTATATGGCTTGAAGATTATGCATTGCTTTTGACTATGTCTTGTGATGGTGTATAGACGCTTGAAAATTTGAAATGAAGTTCAAAATGCAATAACTTGTATGAGGCTCAACAAAGGACTGTAATGTTTCTGATTATTTAAGGGAGTTCCTTTGAGTAACTATAGTTTTCTGGAGTCTTAACTTGGATTGTGTATATAATATATGTCTATCTCTATGAGAAACGAAGTAGAAGCTGACCTCGTACAATAAAACTTTGGTTATCGTATGCGCAGCTTCTCAAGTTGGTGCCTTTTTCTTTTGTCTAGGTGGTCAAGTGGCTAGGTTACCTGGTTGCCCCAACAATCTTACATGGAAAGATGATGGGCTAGAGAGGGATCTGTATATCGAAACTAGTACAGTGACAGTCTTGGCAATGGATGGAAGAAGAAGGTGGCTGGACATACATAAATTGGTTAGCTTTGGGAACACTCGCTTCAGTACTCTTAAGGAGTTTGTCAACAATTTTTATGTGTATAGATAGCTGGCTTTGATGGATGAAATGGCATTTGAAAATATTTCCTTTGTTCTCCTTGTGAATATCAAGAGGCTAGAATTCAACGAAAAAAATCAACAGGCTAGATTTTGACTTATCTGCCTTGCTAAATGCTAATGTATCTTTGTCATCTAAATTTTTTTCGAGTTCCTGGCACTTACTAGTTGATTCTTAGCAGTTAAGAATTGATGGTTGACCAATGAGTATTCGGTGCAGTTATAGCATTTATGTCCATGCTTAGTTAAGACTTCACTTCACTTCTACTTTCTAGCTAAACATCCTAAACGTTCAAATTCCTTACAACTTTGTATGCAGGGATCAGACGGGAAGAGTCACTTTGTGTTTGTAACTAATCTTGCTCCATGTTCTGGGGCGAGACTTCACCTGTGGCCTGAAAAAGGCAAGTCAAATTCAGTCTCGCCTTCAGACAAAAGGGTTATCGAGATTACATCCAAGTTGGTGCAGATTCCATCAGGACCAGCTCCAGTACAGGTACCAATTGTCTTGAGTTCGAATTCTCACAGCCTTCCCACCCCCACCCAGCACCCCACTCACTATATGATTGTAACAATGTGTTTGAAGCTGCATGACATATATACTAAATCGTCTGTATGTGTCTCAGATGGAGCCCGGTAGTCAGACTGAACAAGCACCTCCATCTTCTGTACTTCGTCTAACTCCTGAAGATATGCAAGGCTTCAGATTCTTGACAATTTCAATTGCTCCTCGTCCGGTATTGTTGACTCTGTTATCTGTCTTTACTGCTAAACTTATGTGTAGTGTATTCAGGAGTTGGTTGCATTTGGTATTGATGGTTAGTTACCTCTTAGGTACAGTAACACAGTTTAAGTAGCAACTCTCGCTAATGAGCTCCCGTTCCGGGTATGTGGAACCATTGATTTTGTCTCTGAGGCTGCTGAGCAAATAGCAATCAACCAAGCCACCTTGTTGAAGTAGTATTATTGTCTGTCTAAGAGTTCCCTGGATTTGCTAAATAATTTGAAGCTGCTCCATATATCACACATTGGAGTATACTGTATACTTCTTCTTTCGGTACTTTCATTTTTAGATGTGCTGTCATCTTGTTGACTAATATAGTAAAGAGAATTGACATTTGTGATTGACATTTGATGAATTCCTGATGTTCAGATTGTTTCAGGCCGACCTCCACCAGGAGCTTCTATGGCAGTTGGCCAATTCTTTGATGCGAAGGATGGAGAAAGAGTGTTATCTGCTCCAGCACTTCTTCTATCTGCTTATTCTTCAAAGGTTAATATTGGAAATTCTACCCACTTTCTAAGCTTTGTGAAACTCCAGATCTGAAAAGCATTCAGTTTAGTTCATGAACTGGGCGACTGACTTGGTCTGGTTGATTGCATCATGTGTTTCTAGGATGTAGTGCTGGAAGAGGATCATCCTATTGCTCTTAATTTATCCTTTGATATCAACTTAGGGCTTTTGCCAACTTCACTCTCTCTGAAAGCTACTGGTTGCGGAATACAAAGGTCCGGGCTTCCTGATGAAGAGGCTGGAGACATGGATAACAGTAGTAAGGAAGCTAATTTGGTCACGGAAACACTTATTTCCCTTCACTTTCCCCATCCTGAACTGGCTTTACTCTTATTTCAGAGCTTTGCAAATTGCGTTGCTTTCCACCTGTTGCTTTGGCATGGGATTCAACATCCGGGCTTCATGTATTTCCAAATGCGTACAGTGAAACAGTTACAGTTGACTCATCACCAGCACTTCTGAGTTCCTCTCCAGGATCAGGAAAAACCTCCGTGCTGTTACTCGTAAGTGGTAAACATTTGCTGGATAAGTCCTTGTCCTGTTTGCTTTTGTTATTTGGAATGTAGTGTTTCTTTTATCATTGAAGGTTCCTTTTTTCTGCTTCTCTTTGCAGGTTGATCCTCATTGTTCTTATGAATTGACCTTTGCTGCTTCTCTAACATCAGCTGCTGGCAAATTTTTGCTTCTTTATAGTTCACAGGTAAAAAGTTTGATACCATTCCTATATTAGTTATTATTATCAGTTACAAGTTCTATAGAGCCTGAATATCCAAAATGCGTTGAACTCTTACACTGGGCTTTTTCTTCTTTTCAGATAGTGGGTTCCTTCTTTGCAGTGATATTTTTTGCTCTAATGCAGCAAGTGCGTGCATGGGATCTTGATTTGCCTATACCATCAGTACTTACAGCCATGGAGTCCAATTTGAAGATGCCTTTGCCGTTTGCGCCTTTAGGCTTCAGCCCCCTCCTACTTTCATTATTTGTTTGTGTGCTAAATTCACAGCCTCTTCCGCCGCTTGTAAGCTTCATTGCTGTCTCCATAATTTGCTATTTATTAGCAAATGGGGTTGGAGCCATACTGGTCTGGATGTCCCAATTCCTCTTTTATGCAGCCGCTCTCACGCATGTGTTCATCAAGTCAAGGTCGGTTTTATATGTTTCTTGCCAGCACTGTGTTAAGGATGATGTCTATCATAATTGTGATTGACGTTTAACTAAGAGAAAAGCTTTGGAAAGGATAATACTGTAGCCTGTTCAATTTACCAATGTTTATACCTTCATATTGTCTGATATTCACAAACTAGACTGACAAAGATTAATACTTCACAGGTGGCAACAATGGGAAACTAAATTTTGCTTTGCATATCTTCGTTGGTTTATTACTCTTTCATCTGGTTTCTTCTCACTGAAGGTCAGCTTCTTATCTGTCACTTAAACCTTGTGTAAATTAGTCAGCATTGTTGGTAGTTTGATGAGGCTTGTGCTGCTTATATACTTTAATGTGCAAAGCAGGCCATGAGGGTAATAAGAGGCAGCCCGTCAGTACTCACTGCGCTAATGGCAGTTACACTTGGGTCTTTCATCCACCCGGCATTGGGTTTACTCACCCTCCTGTTAGCTCATGCTATATGCTGTCATAATGCGTTATGCAGGTAGTTTCAGCTTCATATTCCGTAACTCCGCTTGCCTTTCTCTTGTTGAAATCCCAGATTAGATCTTAATTTTTTTTCTATTTTAATATATCCAGTTTTAGAGGTTACAATTTACTCGTACCTGGTAATTAATGTATTAGAACTTATGATATCCATAATGTGGGTACCTATTATCGTACATATTGACCCATTTGATAAAAATCGTTCATTTACTCTACATTTCGAACATGCTATATCACTATTGCTATTTTGTTACTGTGTGATTACTCAATATACATGGTTCGATCTGATGATCACGATTTCATTCTACTTTATGATTTTAATTTTTACGTAATCTCTTGATTTGTTAAATCATTGACTTCTTTTTTAACTACGATCTCTCTTTTTTTGTCCTCAAATATGAAGTATAAACTCTATTCTAAGAGCTCGTGTTCTGTAGCAGTTTTTTGACAGCTTCATTTCGCAGCCACACACGAAAGAAGGAATTCCTTGGTCACGAGGACAAAGATAAAGAAATATCTTGGCAGCAACCTTTGTCGAAGCATGAAGTTGCCGGAGTCAACCAGAGCGTCCTATTAGAAGAGAACAGCAGCTCTGACAGCCCAAACAGTTCGAAGAGCTTCAGCGACACACAATTGGAGATCTTTCATCACCGGCATGGTTTGCTGATACTACATCTCATGGCAGCCCTAATGTTTGCCCCTTCTTTCGTGGCTTGGTTGCAGGTACGAGTTTTACAACTATCTCACTAGTATATGGGGGGGATTGATAAGGCAGTCACTAACTTTGGGATCACTACCAAATTGGGCACTACAATTTGGAGTAACTAACAAGATAGTCAGCTTTTGTCCATTCCTGTCAAGTTCTTGGTCCAAATTATATGTCCAGATTAGTATGTCAAGTAAACCAAATTATTAACGGGAACACATAAAATTCATCCTCTAATTAGCTATCAGGTAGGGGAGGAATGGATTAGGGTGATATTAATTAGGAAATGTGATGCTAGAATAGGATCTCGAAAAATCGGTTTGGTTTAGATCGGGTAAGAGCCAAAAACGAGTCTCTTTAGCGAAGCTGTTCTGGTTTATGTGGCCTTTTTAATTCTTCCGGAGTAGGTGCACTAATCTTGGACAATACAGACTGGGAATCTGATGGAGATGGATGGAGTAACTATTATGTATATACTTATTCCAAACTTTAGTAACAGAACTGATAAAATTCAAAGTTCAGTTACTGATTTCTAGGTGACCCTTAGTTTGGTGATCAATTATGCAAATTGAATGTAGCAGTTGACCACTGTATGATTGGTAGCATGAAGTAGTTTTTAATTGTGGATGTGGTGTGGTTGTTGCAGAGAATAGGCATGGGTGGCCATAGCTTCCCGTGGTTCCTTGATTCGACATTATGCATCGGCGTCATTCTCCACGGCGTATTATGCTCGAATCCAGAGTTCAGCTCCTTGTTCTCCTTCCCCAGGATGATATGGAAGGAACTTCGATTGGATTTTGTGTATCTCATCGCCGGCATCTATTCGTATATGGCGGGGCTAGGGTCGGCCCCCTACAAAGTCTTCTACCCGATTGCATCCATAGGGTTCTTGGCATTCGCTCTGAAGATGTCGCAGCTAAGGAACAAGGATAATGGAGAGTCTCGTCTTGGCCGACGGAAAAAGCATTCCCATCGACACTGAACGATGCAGTCGTGAACTTGGTGGTGCACAAAGGAGCTTGAGAGTCCATTTTTCGTGTATACTACTAGCTAGCGTGGCTTGTTGTGTTGTTTGTATTTCGTAATATACTAAAGTAGAGACCCGTTTGGCTTTCTGGTCGATTGCTGCAGGGAGCAGCAGTGTTTAGTAGTGCGGAAGTTCCGCTGATCTTTGCTTTAGACCATGATTTGTAATACTGTACGGTAGGTGGTACCAAACATGTTAGCGGTATGACATTTTAGTGGTTCAATCAGTAACATATTTGTGTGATATCGTTGTTAAAATAAATTAAAATAATAAATATATTCAACTACTAATACACATGTGAAATATGATCAAAACTGAATGATATCATCGGAGATTGCCATTGTTATCGTATAAATTGCGAATAAAATCATCTGACTTAATGTTTTCATAATATCTATACCTTGTTAGCTTGGATAAATTATTCGGCTATGTAACTTACTTTGTATGTATCCTATAGTTGAAAAGTGATCTTCCGATATCTAGGTAGAATACACATAACTTCACAAGTATATAAACTAAAACATACCATCATACTATAAAATGCATTTGATGACCAATTTGTTATTTCAATAAAATGAATGTGTAGGGTTAAAATGTATGCCTAGTTATAGCATATATATATTCCTTCTATTTTTTCCATATTGAACACTGTATCTACACATATATAATCATTTTATTCATCCAAGTAGGACCTCATTGTTCTTCACATCGAATAAGATAACTTGGAAGATTCAGATTGTATATTGTGATATTAATCCATCAATAGTAGGAATAGAATTTATGATGAAGGCCAACGAATAATGAAAGCGGCAACCACAAATTATTGAGCAAAAAGAAAACTTCATTCTCGTTTGGAGAAAATATAATCGTTACTTTAATTTTTTTGTATCCAAACCTCCAAAAAATATCTATCTAATATAAACTCTTGAAAAAAAGGAATTATTTTTGAATATGATGATTTATCCACTAGGTTAGTAAAAATAAATAATAATATTGACCACTTCATGAGACGTTAAAGCAGCCACTTTCCTTTTTCCCATCACATTATAACCAACAATTCAATAATAATATTGCAGTTTCACCTTTTGTGTGCACATTTGTAGAACTAACAGGTCTCCTTAATTGTAAATCCACCATACAAAATAAAACTTTCTAAAATGAAGGTTCAAACTCGAATCATGTATAAAAATAAAAAGTTCATCGAAACCACAAAAACAAATCTATAATATTTGAAAACAAGTAAATCTTGAAAGTAAAGTTGATAGAATTATGAACATGGAAGAAGATCAACGACCATGGGATAATATATGTCCATATCTCTTGGATTCCATCTACAATAGACTCTCGTCTCATGTCGACGGTACTCACTTCGGCGACGTATGTAAGAACTGACACCAAGTTCACTCTCACATCACCCTTTCCAATCCCCGACCTGTGTTGATCAGCCCTGCAAAATTGTCCGGCTCTAATGTCATCCAAGTGCGAGAGGGTAATCGGCTTGTCCTCCAACAACGTCGTAAATCTCAAATTCCATATGAGCTTGCAGGTAAAGACATAACAATCCTCGGGATGGCAGGTGCGTGGTTTTTTTTATAAAAGTGCATGATGCTTTTTTGGACTGGTACAATCCTCCACTCCGAAGTCCTGCAAACTACATACGTCTTCCGAACCCGAGTTGGCGTTTTTCTTCCTACGACAACCATTACAGACCTGACACAATACTCAAATTTGCTTTCTCGGCGCTACCCACTGCTCAGGACTCAGCGGTCCTCGTGGTGCATGGTGACCGCTACCTCTGCATGTTTCGTCGTGAAAACAATGGCGAATTTGAGCAAAAAACATACGATTTCTCCTTGGGTGGGAAAAAAAGACAAATATGTCTTGGCGTGGGCTACAAAGACGGTAGATTCTTATGTTTATTTGAAATGGGGGATATGTTGATTTTCAGCATCAACAATAATGAGACCAGGATGTTGCTGGCGGCGACTAAGCCTCTGCTTCCCGAACAACTCCATCGATGGGACAATTTGCGTGTAGTGGGGGTGGTGGTGGCAAAAAAAGTCACGAATGCAAATGATCAATACCAGGAGGTAGAAGAGGTGTTAGGGTTTAGGCTGGTCACTCATTGGAAGCGAGATTGTGAGGGGAGCTTTCGGCTTGTAGTAGTGGAGGAAAATGTTATGATGGTCGCCGATCTGTTACTGGAGAATAAGGACAGTGATGACGTAGATGGCAACAGTAGAACAACAGGAGTGATTTTAGTGAAAGATCGGTTGTCATTGAAGAGGACTTTCGACATATATTACAGTTACATACTATTTGTTCTTTTTCACATACTTGTCTTTTTTTGTTTGGATAATCTCTTTGTTTAGAACTTAAAGTAATGGAGGGTACACATGATATAATCTGTGTTATTATTATTACTTATTATTATCTATCTATCAATCTATATCTTCTATCTATTTATCTACCTATCTATTTATATCTATCTATCTATAAATATATAAAAGGGTTTATAAAAATGCCCTCCTCCACGAGGTGAGACACCATCACTTCCCCCAAGGGGTTGTGAGTTTCACAACCAAGGGCAACTTGGATAGTAAAAAAAAATTAATTAATTACTTTCACTACCACTAGAGACTAACACAAAAAAAAAAAACAATATGTAATTCGAAAATCACATATCTGGAGAAAAAAAAAGGATGATGAAAAGAGGAGATTGTGATCTTGCGACGGAGACCTCATGGCGGTGGTGATGGGAGGCAGAGGAATGAGGGACGGAGGGCGCGACAGGGGGTGAAGTGACCTTCCGATATCTAAGTAGATATGCATTAACTTCACAAGTAAATAAACTAACACATACCATCATATTATAAAATGCATTTAATGACAAATTTTTTATTTTAATAAAATGAATGTGTAGGGTTAAAAGGTATGCCTAGTTATAGCATATATATTCCTTTTATTTTTCCGTATTGAACAAGTATTTACACATATATAATCTTTTTATTTTTCCGAGTAGGACCCCATTCTTCTCCACATCGAATAAGATAATTTAGACTGCTCGAGAATAAGATAATTTAGAAGATTCAGATTGTATATTGTGATATTAATCCATCAATAGTAGGAATATAATTTATGATGCAAGGCCAACGAATAATGAAAGCAGCCGCCACAAAATTATTGAGCAAAAACAAGACTTCATTCTCGTTTGGAGAGATTAAATTTTTTGTATCCAACCTCCAAAAAAAATCTATCTAATATAAAATCTTGCAAAAAAAATTGTTTTTGAATATGATGATTCATTTCCTAGGTTAGTAAGAATAAATAATAATATTGACCACTTCATGAGCCGTTAAAACATGCACTTTCCTTTCTTCCCGTCACATTATAACCAACAACTCAATAATAATATTGTAGTTCCACCTTTTGTGTGCATATTTGTAGAACTAACAAATCTCCTTGATTATAAATCCACCATACACCATACAACCTTTTAAAATGAAGGCTCAAACTCGAATCATGTACAAAAATGAAAATTTCATCGAAACCACACAAAAGAATCTATAATATTTGGAAACAAAAAATCCTGAAAGTAAAGTTGATAAAATTATGAACATGGAAGATGATCAACGACCATGGGCTGATTTATGCCCATATCTCTTGGATTCCATCTATAACAGACTCTCATCTCACATCGACGGTACTCACTTCGGCGACGTATGCAAGAACTGGCACCAAGTTCACTCTCACATCGCCCTTTCCAATCCTCGGCCTGTGTTGATCAGCCATGCGAAATTGTCCAGCTCGGACGTCATCCAAGTGCGGGAGGGGAAACGACTTGTCCTCAAACGACGTCGTGAATCTCAAATCCCATATGAGCTTACAGGTAAAGACATAACAATCCTCGGGATGGCGGGTGCGTGGTATTTTATAAAAGTGGGTGATGCTTCTTTGGGCTGGTACAATCCTCTACTCCGAAGTCCTGCAAACTACATCAGGCTTCCCAATCCGAGTAGGTGTTTTTCTACCTACGACGACCATTACAAACCTGACACAGTACTCAAATTTGCTTTCTCAGCGCTGCCCACTGCGCAGGACTCGACGATCTTCGTGGTGTATGGCGACAGCTATCTCTGCATGTTTCGTCGTGGAAACTATGATGGATTTGTGCAAAAAACATACGATTTCTCCTTGGGTGGCAAAAAAGGACAAACATGTCTTGGCGTGGGCTACAAAGACGGTAGATTCTTTTGTTTATTTGAAATGGGTGATATGTTGATTTTCAGCATCGACGAAAATGAGACCAGAATGTTGTTGGCGGCAACTAAACCTTTGCTTCCAGAACAACTCCAACGATGGGATAGTTTGAGTGTAGAGGCGTTGGTGTTGGCAAAAAAAGCCACATCTGTAAATGATCGATACCATGACCATGAGGTAGAAGAGGTGATGGGGTTTAGGCTGGTCACTCATTGGGAGCGAGATCGTGAGGAGAGCTTCCTACTTGTAGCAGTGGAGGAAAATGTTTTGATGGCCACCGATCTGTTACTGGAGAGTAATAACGGTGATGACATAAAGGGCAACAGTAGAACAACAAGAATGATTTTAGTGAAAGACCGGTTACCATTGAAAAGGATTGTCGACAAACATTATATTGATACACTGTTTTTTAATTTTTCCATATTAATCTGGTCTTTTTCTTTTCTTTATCTTTTTGATAAATTGGTCTTTTGCTTTTCGGATTATTTTTTGCACCAAACTTAGAGTAATGAAGGGTGCATATGATATAATACGTGTTGTTATTATTATTTTATTTTTTTGCTGATAAAATAAGAGCTAATGATGAGGTGGATGTTTTAATTTCTAAAAGTGGAAAAGATAGCAAATCCTTTGATATAATACGTGTATATGTTTTGTGCTTTTAATATATATATGTCTATATAACGTTGTCAAATTCTTTCATCTTCCCCTATATATGGCCTCGTACTAAAAATCATAGTTAGTAAATACTTTGTTTAATACACATATAAGTATCCATACGTATATTATATGTTTAAACCTTTCGTGCTCGTATTATTGTCAAGCCATTTTAATTTTTTTCGTTCATATGATGGTTCCCGTACTAAACACGTACAAAAACCATATAACATGTTTAATATCCGTATCTAATGAATTAAATTGCTAAATTTACTATTATTAATATTTTAATTTATTTTTAAAATAAATAATTTTGTATATATATGAATATTACCATACTATTAAACATAATATTAGCTTAGAAATAAAGTAAAATACTCGTATTTATTTTATAGCGTATCATATTTTACTAACTATGCTAAAAATATATACAAATCATACAACACATGTACTTAATAGGGGTGGGAAACGGTTTGGTCCGGTTAAAACCGGACCGGATTAACCCAGTTTTTTGAAACCGTATTGAGCAAAGCTACAACCGGAAATTGGATTGGATGGACACCCGGTTTCAACCGTGACCGGACTGGGTTGGATCCGGTCCGATCCGGTTTCAACCAAAAAACTGGATATTTTCACTTCCACCAAACGCCACCGTTCTAATTCTTCTTCTCTCACAAAACCAAAAAACACACGCATCTGCAACCAACAAATTGCCAAATCTCTCTCTCTCCTTCTCTGTCTCTGTTTCTTTCCCTCTCACATTGTAAGTGTCGCCGATAGAGAGTTCTCTCCCACCGACGCAACCATCGCCACCATTCCCGAGTCTTCCTCGTCGTCGCAGTCACCATCGTCACCATCCCCAAATCATCGTTGCCGTCGCCATCCCCTTTCACTTGTTCTTGCTTCATTGTTGTTGTTGCATGTTTCGATCTGGGCAAGATCGAGACGGAGGGTGCAGATCAAAGGTGGTCTCAAATCGGTTTGTGAGACTGAGAAGAGAGAGAGACCAGATTGGGTGCGATCTCACATCGTCGTCTCCATCGTTGTCGTTGTAGCCGTAACCATCGCCTAGAGCAGAGACCAGACCTCGACCGCTCTGCCAGAAGGGGGGATCGCGGTGCCGTCACGGAAGAAAGGGCGAGTCGGCGCGGCGGCTGCTTCGACGGTTGTGCGGCGATCGGCTGATCTGTTTCTTCTTCTAGAGCAGAGAGCAAAGAGAGAGATTGACAATGCGGCGGGGATGTGGAGACTACGATGGAGATGGCCACATTAGGGTTTTACGGATGGGTATTTGGGCTTCTGGGTTGAGAGGGGTTGGGCTTCAGTAAAGGGCTGGGCTGGGAAGGGCCCGGTTTTCCGGTTATTTCCGGTTTTAACCGGGTTAAAACTGGTACAGTTTTTTCTCATATATAGGCAACCGGAATCCGGACCAGACCGGGTTGTATCCGGTTTTCGGTTGTAACCGGGACAGTTTAAACTGGCCGGTTTCCGGTTTGACCGGGAAACTGGAACCGGATTCCCAGCCCTAGTACTTAATAACCTAAACAGAACATATAGACATTTATTATTTTGAAAATAATTAATTATATATATATATTTTACTAATGACGTACTATTAAATATATAAATATTTTAGAGATGTAAAGAGATAATTTATTTATTTAATTATTTATTTCTTCTATCTATTCAACCAAATCATGCCACATGGTACTCTTTCTTCAAGTCCCCTATTATCTTTGATTGGTTTATACATTTTTTCATTTGAATTTGCACAAAAACAAATAGATTCTTGGGATATACACAATGATGTTCGTTTTGATTTTAAATAATTCATTTTTTCATCAAGGAAATATGGGCACGATCGCGTATCACATCCATGTACAACACTGCTATACAATTATACTAACATAGTATATATTTTGTATCATCTCAATAACTAACTTGATATGATGATGGTATAATTATGAACCACCATAGTACGCGATGTAGTTCTCAATGAGTGAGAACATCATTAATGAACGTAAGGTATGTTTAGTTGCTAATGGGTCTAGTAAGTCACGACAAGATCAAACATTAATAGTGGAGACTTAGATTATCTCTTGATAATCATAGATCGAGGGAAAACATAATAATTTTGAATTATTAAATTGTGGAAAAACAAAGTTCACATGCTTAGAATTTACGTAACACAAGTATTGAAGATTAGAAAATTCGATAAGTAGGCTACATGTTTATATTTGTTTTTTAGTTGGGGGCTAAGCTGGCCTTAGCTTACCCTTTAGCCCATAACCTTTCTAACCAATCTTTACGGATTTGCCACTCTCGCCGCCACACCATGGCGACGCCAATCAAGCCTACTAGTCACACTCTACTCTGCTTCTGCTACTTCCTCCTCTTGTTCACAATTCCACCGCCGTCGGCGGCGGCCGGAGACTCCTCCTCACCCTCCCAAGTCATCTCCCGATTCCAGCAATACCTCCAGATCAACACCGCCCAGCCCACTCCCGACTACCACCTCGCCGCCGAGTTCCTCATCTCTCAAGCCGATTCCATCTCCCTCCCATCCCGCTCCATCGAATTCGTCCATGGCAAACCCTTGGTCCTCATCCACTGGCCGGGCTCCGATCCCGACCTCCCTTCCATCCTCCTCTACTCCCACACCGACGTCGTCCCCGCCGAACCCCACAAGTGGGACCACCCTCCTTTCTCCGCCCATCTCGATCCCTCCTCCGGCCGCATCTTCGCCAGAGGCTCCCAGGACATGAAGTGCGTCGGGATGCAGTACCTCGAGGCCGTCCGCCGCCTCAAGGCCTCTGGATTCCGACCCCGCCGATCCGTCTACCTCGCCTTCTCCCCCGATGAAGAAATCGGCGGCCACGATGGCGCCGAAAAGTTCGCCTATTCCGATGTCTTCGACGCCTTGAACGTCGGCGTCGTCCTCGACGAAGGTAAACTAACTAACTTACTTACCGATTGCTGGGGCGGATTGTTGTTATTTTTCTCGTTATGCTGATCGGAGAAGAAAAAACCAGGGCTGGCATCTCCCGGTGACAGTTACAGACCGTTCTACGCTGAAAGGAGCCCCTGGTGGCTGGTGATTAAGGCCGTCGGAGCTCCCGGCCATGGAGCTAAGCTTTATGACAACAGCGCCGTGGAGAATCTGTTCAAGAGCATCGAGTCAATCAGGAGGTTTAGGGTGTCTCAATTTGATTTGGTGAAAGCTGGATTGAGAGCTGAAGGGGAGGTCATTTCGATTAACATGGCCTTCCTTAAGGCTGGCACTCCTTCTCCAACTGTAACTCTCCTTTCCTTCCTTTCATTTTTTTCTCTTTTTCGTCAACTGTCACGATTCCTTTTTATTTCTCATCAAACGAATGGCATAGAGAGGATGTTTCTACAAATGGCTTTCTTCAACCATCCGCTGTTCTACTGTCTTCCCCAGGGGTTTGTCATGAACCTGCAACCATCCGAAGCAGAAGCAGGTTTCGATATTCGTATCCCGCCAACTGCTGATCCTGAATCGTTGGAGAGGCGGATCAACGAAGAGTGGGCGCCTGTTTCACGCAACATGACATTCCAGGTGCTAATATCTCCTTATTAGTTCCAATGAATGGTGATAGCTAACAGAGTCAAGAGAAGGGAACAGTGATAATGAATCATAGTATTTGGTTGAGTGCTTTCTGTTTGTGTTATTCTCTAATTTTGTTTTAGCTTGGACAGTTCAAGCAAAAGGCTTCTGTGTATGACAAGGAAGGGAAGCCCATGCTTACAAAAACAGGGAGCTCAAACCCGTGGTGGCTGCTGCTCGAGGAAGCTGTAGCGAAAGCCGATGGAAAACTTGGTAAGCCAGAAATCTTTCCTGCAGCAACAGACTCTCGCTACTTCCGAAGACGGGGTCTGCCAGCCATCGGCTTCTCCCCAATGGCCAATACACCTGTTCTTTTGCATGATCACAATGAGGTACTGTTTCTAGCTGCCAGCTCTTTCATTGATTTCCTGGTCCGTGAATGAATAAGTTTTCTTCAGTCCATCGACTAGGAAGTCTATTGAGATTGTTTCTCTGCTGTCATGACCATTGTCTTTGCCGATAGGAGAACCATGCTTGATTTGAGGTTTTTGGTTTTGATGCATACTCTTAGATTATAGAGTCTTTGAAGCTATTCGAGACTTGTTGAACGTTACCAACCAGCACTGCTATTGCTTTATGTTTCCCCAGCATTTGTAACGTGGCATTGTTAACTTGATGCAGTTCTTGAGCGAAGCTGAGTATCTGAAAGGCATTGAGGTGTACGAATCGATAATTAGAGCTTTCACATCTTCCGAGCACACCAGTGCCTCCAAGGACCACAAAGATGAGCTGTAGGTTGTTTTTATGCCGTTGTTGTAACATTGACCACTTTTTCATTTTAATAAATAAGTTGGAGTAGAAGAAGAATAACAAGCAGGAATAGCTTTTACCTTCTGCTAGTTGAACTTGGCATTGTGAATATATCCCTTCCTCTTAGCTTACAATCTCAATTTGTGATGAGTATCCCTTCGTATCTTGTTAATACAACCGCGTTGAGTGAATTCTGGTGTCGCAAGCAAATGGTGGCTCATCTGATATGCAGTAATGAACTGAAACACAAAGCAGGTGTCCTCTCTGGAGCTTAGCACAGGAACAATAGATCATTGAAATTCAATAGGAGCAGCATAATAAAGTACAGAGATTTTTAAACAAATACAGCAGGTTCTTCCTAACACTATGGTCATTCAGGAAAAAAGAGATCTCTAAACTATATATATCTTGAACATATAACCACCTAAGTTATATAACAGTTGGGTGGTAACTGATCCTATGAAAAGGAAGAGTATTTTGCTACTTGTATCAAAGATACTACCATAAGGCTATCAGTCTCTACTGAAGTTGTATAATCTTGGAACTGGCGACCCTTAAAAACCAAAAGATAGCATACAACCCACTAACATCAAGAGGGGCTTCTGAAACCAACAGGCAAATGGAGTAAAGATAGCATACAACCCCAATAACATCAAGAGGGGCTTATGAAACCAACAGGTAAATAAAGTAAAGATAACAGAGGTAAAGTGGAAGGAAAAACTCCCTTTTAAAGCACAACAATCAAATTGAAAGTACCTCAGACCGGTGCTTCAATCTGTAGACTGCTTGATAATCCCGTAATTTCACCTACATATCTAATTTGAGCTGCTTCAAGTTCATCTCTTGAACTCCTTCAAGCTTCCTTTTCTTCTTTGCTGCATCTGGGGATTCTCCAGGATTCAGAGCGAAACTCACTCTGTAAAGCTCCACTGTGATGCATTCACCCGGCTACCCATTAGCTGGTTTCTTTGTTTTTTCTTCTGTTCTCTTTCATATCAAAACCGACAATCAGAAGGGATGCAGGTGATTGCCTTGGATAGTCGGACTTTTTTCTGCAGTTATTATCGAGGAAGATGACAACACTTAAATGTTCTATTTCCAAAGTACGACAAATAACCCAAAATAAGGGCATAAGCTGAAAGCTATACTGATCATGTCAAGGGTTCTGATTCAACAATGTGCTTCTGCCTTTGGTCATTGCAAAACTTCAATCAAGAACTCTGTAGTTATGCAACCCACGGGCATACTCACCCTTTAATATGCACTAACTAATATCTAGAATCAAAGGACCAAATCAGCTTAGCATGAGTTGATCAGGGAAATGACAAAACAGGAACTCTGTATATATGGGTTAATGGAAAGGGGCTTGCAAAACTGCGGAATTCCAATTATTGTAAGATAGGACTGCAAAGTTGAGAACCGTGTGGAACATACCGAAATTGAGGATGGAAAATCATGAAGCTCTATATCTGTCTAGCTCTGGGTTTGAAAGGGTGTCCTTGATTCAGCTTTAAAAAAAAAGTGGGAGTCGAAAGTAATCTGTCAGTTCCGCTGATCAATCAGTTCAGTCTTGCTAATTATAGTTTTGAGATCGAACACAACAATGGAAAAGACTTACAATCGTCAGCGAGTTGCTTTAGCTCTTCTTTGACTCTCCAGCGACAGGCTATTCGATCGGTGGAAAAAATGAAGGGGCATTGCAGTCCATATATGCAGTTTGAGAGAGACATCTAAAGAGAACATGGACAACCACAGATCCTTCGATGAATGAAACTTGGCTTATGTTAAACCTTCTTCTTTCCTGTTATCACAGAATGAATATACAGATGATCATAAATACATGTTTCTGTATGTCTCATTGCAACTAACTATGACCCTGCATCAGCCTCTTAACAACCCCAACGATTCCCTGGACATATACACAGCTTTTTTTCAATACCCCACATGAACCAACGCAAGCAAGTACTGAGAAATGAGAACAAACAACACTGACATAACTGGTTACGTATAAGGGCAATTCAGCTGAATAGTCTACATCAATGAAGAACCTGAAATTTACTGGTTCCTTTGCCTTATCTGTCCCAAGACTTCGTTACCAGTAATCCCCACAAGAGCAAGCTCCATCATGGAAATGATGGTACCGTATGGGATCTCTAATCACAATCGTCCTCTTCTCCAACTTAGTCGCAAGTTTCACAAATAGGTGACAGTCACCGCATATCCTGAGGTTCTTCCTGATCCGGATAGTTTGTCCCTTGGGCAAATTCATTAAACCAAACACCACCGCCAGCTTTTCGCTGTGGTACCTCAGAGAATCTTCCCTTTGTTCCTCTCCTTCCAAATCCTTCAGGACAAAGTTCAAGTCAGGGACATAACCAGCTCTCACGAGTCGTTGAATCAGCGACTCCAGCTGGATCTTAATCTCATTGATCTGCGGATGGGACCCATCTCCAAGAACGAAAGTATGAATCTGTTTACCCACTTCAATCCAGCTGCATCCAGGTTGTTTCTTGATCCCTTTCTCATTCATCACCTTCCGAATTCCTGCCACATCATCCCACCTTCCAGCGTTTGCATAGATGTTCGACAGGAGTATGTAGCTTCCCGCATCTTGTGGGTTCAGCTTCAGAATTTGCTCAGCAGCATGCATCGCTAGATCCACATTCTTGTGAGCCCTGCAACCATCAAGCAAAGTTCTCCACATCGCTCCATCAGGTTCGAATCCCATCTCGTTAATGAGCTCAACTGCTTTGTTGAGCTTCCCTACTCTTGCTAGAAGATCGAGCATGCAAGCATAGTGTTCTCTGCCAGGTTCAATCCCGTAAAGCTTCTTCATTGATCGGAAATGGCACCAGCCATCTTCCACGAGCCCAGCATGGCTGCAGGCGAAAAGAACTCCAAGAAGTGTGATGTAGTTCGGTTGTGTTGATGAATCTTTCATGGAGTCGAACAACTTGAGTGCCTCTCTGCTGTAACCATTTTGGGCCAGCCCGGCAATCATGGTGCTCCAAGAGACGACGTCCTTGTCTGCCATCCGGGTGAAAATGGTGTTGGCATCTTCCACGCCGCCACACTTGCAGTACATATCGAGGAGGGCGTTGTTGAGGATCAAGTCCTGATGGTACTTGAATACGTGGACATGAGCTTGTCTCCCCAGCTCCAAGAGTGCTAAGCTAGTGCATGCACTGAGAACGCTGGTCAGTGAAGATTGCTCGGGGTCAAAACCAGCTCTCTTCATCCTTTTGAAAAGATGGAGCGCTTCGTGGCCATTGCTGTTTTGAGCAAAAGCAGCAATGACGGAATTCCAAACTACTAAATCACCGGTAGGCATTTCGTCGAACACGCGGAGTGCTTCTTGTGGGAGCCCCCATTTGGAATAAGCGTCGATAAGAGCACTCCTGACGAAGACATCGGATTCCAGTCCGTGTTTGTAAATGCTAGAATGGAGCTGGACGAGATGGGAGACGCAGCCGCAGGCTCTCAAGACGGAAGAGTAGGTGAACATGTTGGGCGTGACGCCGTGGCGGAGCATGGAGACGAGGAAGTGGAGAGCGTTGTGGGAGAGCTCGGGGACGTTAGCGTGAGCAGAGATTATGGTCGTCCAGGAGACTACATTTCTCTGAGGCATTTCGTCGAACAGGGAACGGGCCTGAGGCAAGAGACGGAGTTTGACATATATGCTGAGCAACATGTTGAGAAGGAAGGTATGAGGAGAGTGGGGAGAAGATAAGATGTGGGATTGGAGGCGGATGGCCAGAGGTGCGGCGCGGCGGGAGAGGCAAGCGTTGAGGAGGTCGGAATAGACGGCCGGGTCAGCCCGGAGTCCATGGGTTTCCAAATCGTCCAGAGCTTTCATCGCTCTGGGTAAGTCTTGCTGATGGCATAACTTGGTGAACTCCGATAGCAAAGAAGAGGATGAGACGTTGGCCGGCGGCTGAGGACGGGAACACGGCACCGAGACGGGCGGTAAAGGCCGGGGCTTTAGCCTGGCGGCGATCCGTTTCATAGTGTTTTACACTTTCACTCCTCGCAATAGCTCCGTCATGGCGTATTTAGTAGTGTTGAACTCACAGCAGAGGACAGTTCAATATCTTTGTATTGACATATTTGGCTGTCTTGGCTAGGAGCCTAGGACATGTATAAAACAAAGACGAAGGCTGAGCTTGTTCGAAATCTCTCATCTCAATGACTTTTATCAAATTTTCAACAAACAAATGTTGGTCTGATCAGAATTTATTAATAAGTTGAAATACAAAACATTAAGTACCAATGAAACCAACAACATTCACAATGTGTCACATAACAAAGGAATGATGTACACAATAAGATCGCATCCCAGCTCCACTTATTCTTCAACATATGATCATATCACAACGAAAAGAACAAATACAAGCGAGCTCAGTCAAACATAGAAAGGAAGAAAGCCAAGGTGGATGAACCAAATAATAATGTGGCATCCAGGGAGCAGCTGATTCCAACTGGAGAGGAAGAACCACCAGGCTGGCCAACCATATTCGGAGATGGGGCTGGTGAGTGCATATGGTCTCCTGGACCATCGTGTGCTGATGCCAGGGGCGGAGCTAGGATTTTGGGTTTGGGGGGGGCCAGAAATGTTTCGTATATTATCGTAATAAGAAAAAAATCAAAATAATTATATAACTATATAAATAAATTAATTGTGTGAATTATCAAAATGTACGAGATGTTTTGTCAAATAATTAGATTGACATTCTTGTTAAACTTATCGGGGAAATTTTTTCCATTAAAGCTATAAAATTGTAAAAAACTCCAACCAAAAAACTAACATAGGTGGGTATTGAACCCCTAACCTGTTTGATACAGAACCACTACAACTCCACTACGGTAATCATCTTCTTTTGATACTTTTTAACCCGCGGCCATTATTATAAATCTGTATTTACTTTGTAAATTTCAGAATACTCGTACATTCTTTCGTGATTTTTGAAATTCTCGGGGGGGCCGAGGCCCCCCTTAGGCCCTGTGTAGCTCCGCCCCTGGCTGATGCATATATCGCTAGCAATGCTACCACCGCGAAAGAAGTGGCCATCTTGAACAACTGGCCATGGCTGCTGGAAGATGATGATGTGCTTGCCATTGTGAAGAAAGGAAGAAGCTTCCTGGTTCTTTTGGCAAATAGAGGTGGTGGGTTCTTATACAAGAAGAATTTTACTAATTGCCCAGTTGATGAATGATGTCATGGCTATGTGCTGTGTGGAGCAGGTGGGTTTTGGCCTTTTGGGGTTGTTCTTCAATTTGTTTCTGCTGAAAAAGTCAGATCTTGGAAGCATTAATTAACTTGAGGGTTGAGAAATGCTGCATCATTGCAATGTTTTAGACAATTATTAGAGTCTAAGTGCAGAAAACCAGCATATATGTTTGTAAATGGAAACTAATAATTGGAAACTTTCTATACTTAAAAGAACTTAAAAAATGGAAATGAACATTAGAATTCTGAGACCTAGTAAAATGTACTTCTCTGTACAGGGGAGACTTAGTAGTCTGTACTGATAGAGTTGACTTCATAAGTTGTCCAAAAATTGCAGTACAAGTATTGCCTGCCTCACATGCCAAGCTGGGAAAGAAACCTTGTAACAGAAGCAAGAGACTGGCCAGTTAAAGACACAGATGAACCATGCTTGTTCATGCCCTATATTGCTTGCTTATCCTTTGCCATTGGAACCAGTTTGAAATTATCCTGAATCAGTACATTTTGGCCTTTTGGGAGAGATCCAATAACGAATCATATATCATTTCCTTACGCGTCCCTCAAATGGAAGTCAACCCTTGAACTTGAATTTGCACAGAAGACCTATCATACATATACTAATCAAGCGTTAACTTTGAGGTTTAGAGATTCAGACACATGTTGAGAGAGATACCAATTACGAATCATATATCATTTACTTACATGTCCCGCAAATGGGACTCAACTAGTGGACTTGAATTTGTACAGAAGACCTATCATTTACTAACCAGTGGACTTAAGCTCAAATTCGTCATCCCAAGCACAAGAAAATTATCAAATATGAGTTTATAGTTGTTACTGTTTTCGAGGAGGCTAAGACGTCATTTTAGCTTTAAACCTCATCTTTTACTTCCGGGTTGCGGTTAGCCTTACGAAAATCATATAAACATTCACATTAAAATAGGACATATTTGTTAAAACATAAACTTAATATTTCATGAACTAAACACATATCTAAACACATTGTTATTGGCAGTTTCACCAAATGCGGAATTTACACTTTCTTTTCGCATGTTCATAGTCCTAATAAATCTCCAAGAAACTAACCAATCAATGAATTAAACCACATAGGACAAAAGAATCACATGTATTACGAATAGTGAAAAAGTAATATGAAACCATAATTGAGAAAAGAGCAAATTCATAGGATTGACCACTTCAATGACATTTAAATAAGCAATTTCTCTCTCGTCACATGATAACCAACAGTTCAACAATTACATTACAGTTTCACCTTTTGTAGGCATAATTGTAGACCTAACAACTTTCCTCGATTTTAACTCCACCATACAACTTTTTAAAGTTGCAAACTCGAATCTCGTTTAGAAATAAAAAGTTCATCCAAAACCACAAAAAGTTCGATAATAATTGAAAACAAAAAGGATCCCAAAAATAAAGTTGATAGAATATGAACATACAAGAGGATCAACGACCATGGGCTGATGTATGTCCAGATCTCTTGAATTCCATCTACAACAGACTCTCGTCCCATGTTGACGGTACTCACTTTAGCGGCGTATGCAATAACTGGCACCAGGTTCACTCTCACATCGCTCTTTACAATCCCCGACCATTTTTTATTAAAAATGGACAGTTTTCCAGCTCGGACGTCTTCCAAGTGCGGGAGGGTAATCAACTAGTCCTCCAACGACGCCGTGAATCTCAAATCCCGTATTGCCTTGCAAATGTAGACATAAGAATCCTAGGGATGGCTGGTGCGTGGTTGCTTGTAAAAGTGCGTGACGCTGGTTTGGGCTGGTACAATCCTCTACTTCGAAGTCCAGCAAACTACATTAGTCTTCCCATCCCGAGTTGGCATTTTTCTACCTACGACTACCCTTACGGACCAGACACAGTGCTCAAATTTGCTTTCTCAGCGCTACCCACTGCTCAGGACTCAACGATCCTCGTGGTGTATGGTGACCGCTATCTATGCATGTTCCGTCGTGAAAACAATGGTAAATTTGAGCAAAAAACATATGATTTCTCCTTGGGTGGGAAAAAAGGACAAACATGCCTTGGCGTGGGCTACAAAGATGGTAGATTCTTCTGTTTATTTGAAATGGGGGATATGTTGATTTTCAGCATCGACGAGAATGAGGCCAGGATGTTGTTGGCAGCGACTAAGCCCCTACTCCCAGAACAAATCCAACAATGGGACTATTTGTGTGTTGTGGCAGTGGTGGTGGCGAAAAAGGCCACGACGGCAAATGATCGATACCATGAGGTAGAAGAGATGATAGGGTTTAGGCTAGTCACTCATTGGGAGCGAGATCGTGAAGGGAGTTTCATGCTAGTCACATTGGAGGAAGAGAATAACGATGGTAATGACATGGAGGCCAACAATGAAACAACAGGAGTGATTTTAGTGAAGGATCGGTTGCCATTGAAGAGGAATTTTGACATATATTATATGAAAATACTGTGTGCTCTTTTTTGCATGCTTTTAACTTCTTTTATTGTTGGGATTGTCTTGTTCTTCCGAACTTAGAGTAATGAAGTGTTGAATAAAATTAGTGTTGATGATAGGTGTATTGGCATTGTTTTAACTTTTAGGGCTAATTCTTCCAATGGAACACCGGAACGAACTATGACTAAAAGGCCACTTGTTAATATTTTACCCAGCCATTTTTTTCCTAGTGGCGGAGATCTCTTATTCCCCAGAAGCAGAGCCACATTCAAAAGCTCTCTTGTGTAAGTCAATTCTCCGTGCATGGCAAGTGTTGCTAACTTGCTGATAGTTGTCCATCGTTTGTCAAATTTGATCAGTATCTTACAATTTAATTAATACTTAAAAGTTTGATGAATTGAGATGATTTCAGATTTGGGGTCATGAAAAGCATTCCCATGATGTTAAAGAGAAAAGGAATTAGGTGCTACTATTTGTACGAAGTAGTTTAACTAGCTTGTTGTCCGACCCGTTGGTCGGAAAGTCATTTGAGTACAATGTATTTTTATGTGTATTTAAAATTTTATATTATTTTAAATGTTGAATTTCGTATGATATTAAGGTGACATCGAAATTATTTTTCCAATTTCAAAATTCTTATAACTTTTTATCAATGATAAACATTGGAATCTTAATGGTTATAATCAAAGTTGTGAAACCGGTTTAAGACGTTGAGTCGATCAAGCAAGTAGTTTGACTGAGATCCAACCTGTTTGAGCTGTTTTACACCTTTTCTAAATATATATATATATATATATATATATATATATAAGAGATAGAAATTTAGTGACTGAAATGGAAAATTCTAACTTGTATCTATTCAAAACTCAAATTTCATAAAAAAATACCTATCTCAAGAGTCAAGATCCACCTACCATCTCTTTGCCTCTCTATTCTTGTCCCTCTATAACAATCAGACCTTTGGTTTGTAGAGCCCGTTTTGGAGCACGACTTTGGTCGGACCTAGTACAACTAGCGGTCCGGTAGAGGTGTAAAAATCTTGATTATAACACTCGTGAATAATCACCCATAACTTGTTTGTTTAATGATGTAGTCACTTAGTTGCCTATGGTGGAAAAGAAAATTGACATAACAATAAAAGAGTTTGTCTGAAAAAGCGTAGCATAAATAGGAAACTCATGATCATAACCTTTAGTCAATATTTATTTCTTTTGTTTGAAAAACAATACATAAATAGCAATATCTAAACCTTAAAGTATTTTACACAATACAATAACAAAATTAGTAAGAAAATAACATTTTCCATCCATACTCTATGCAATGAAAAAAATATTTATCAACCAACATACTTTAAATTTAGTTGAAGGCCAAATTTATTCACTCAACAAAAAAATTAAACCTATCTTGTGGTACCGACCTTGTTAATGCACATAATCACATCAATGCGTCCATGAAAACTCCAGCCCGACTTTCAGGATTTGTCTTACACTGCGGTTATTTCATATTAAACTAAGTAACTATGAATGATGCATATAGTCAATTACCCTATAAGATAAAAGATTGAAATCATATAGAAAAATTGGTATTTAAGAAATTATGTTCTTTTAAACTCACCCGTTTGTTCAATCATGCCATATTATCAGATTTAGAATTTAACGGTTAATCAAACTAAAACTTTAAAAGAACTAGCCACTTACAGTTTGAATAACAATCGTTGTTTTTATAGTTCTAAAAATTAATACCAAGTTAAGAATAATACATCATTTCTACACATTCAATACTGCAATTCAATGTGCAATATTCCTATCAATGATATTTTTGTTGCAATTTTAAAAATTATCCTCCATTTATAAGATAGACATAAATTAAATTTATTATTAAACTCAAATTAAAATAATCAAATATGAAAATTCAAATATCAAATAACAAAGAAAATACTTACGAGAGAGTTAGTGGGCTAGCTAACAACAGTGAAAAAGTCATATGGTTTTTAGATTTTAGTATTTAAAAAGGGGTTAATTGCATGGTTAATCACTGAGATTGCAAAAAAAAAAAAAACGTTCAAGTTTGGTCACTCGAAATATTTAAATCTTTTGGTGGTACTTCAGTTTACTGAAACCGTTCACACTTGATCACTGTCCGTCTAACTCCGTTAGCTTTTTCTTACGTGGCGGTCAACTCTAAAAGTTTACCGTCAAATTTGTGACGTGGCAATTTAAAAGTAATAAAATTAATTTTTTCAAAATTGTCATATCATTTCCACCTCATTATCACTTTTATTTAAAATAAATAAAAAAACCCTAATTTCTTCTAATCCCCAATACCAATACCCCACCCTTTGGCCACCGCCTGATTGATGAACAACCTCGCGTAGGAGTGGATCCGGATCGTGTCGTGAAATCATCATTGTACATGTATTATATTATATGGATCGTGTCATTTCAGAGGCAATTCTGGCATTGCTGGATGGAATCACTTTCCGAAGGCAGCAGTGGCGGATCCAGGGGGTGGCCACCCCTGGCCCCGGCCGAGCCCTCCTCTAGATCCATAATTAGTATAGTCCTTATGAATTTTTCGATTTTAGGCATTCGGCTTAGTGTGATTTTATAATAAAATTGGGTATAACTAGAAAAATGATTCAGATGACCATATTCTAATCACTACTCTAAATTTAGCCTTTAAATTTTAGCCCCAAAGATTATGCATATAAAAAAAACAATGAAAACTAAAATTCTAAAAGTTTGAAACGTAAAACACTAAAAGAAATATGAGGTTTGTTCCCTTGAAAACTTACTAGAGCAGTTGGTGGATGCAGGGATTGACACACAATGCCAATTGATTAGTCGATTGATTTGTCTAGTGTTAATGCTGCTCGTTTCAATAGCTACTACGAAAAGAACATTTTCAACAATGAAATATGTGAGAACTGATTTGCTCAACAAAATGAGCGATGGATTTCTTGCCGATTGCTCAAGTATTTTATTTGAAACAGTGTATACTATTGGTATTGATGTAGGCTCCATTATTGAGGCATCACTAAATTAAAATACCGTCGTGTACAATTAACATTGGAAAAAATTATAATCATTATGTTTTTTTACTATTCAATTTTCTAATGAAACTCGGCCCAGTACTCTTTTGTGTTCTGGATCCGCCGCTGGAAGGCAGGAGGATATCACAGAGATTGTTTTGGGAGGAAGGCTGGTTCCTGGTTGTTCTTCGAATTTCGACAGTCAATGGGATGTACTGGTCGGATGTTGTCGTCAGAGTTGATAGAGATGCTATTATCAAGCAGAAAGCAGCGCTGAAGCAGTCACTTGTTCGTGTAATAGAAGCAAAGCTTCCTAATTATCCTCCTCCTACGCGAGCCGGATCCACTCTGACGATAGGGAGCCAACCTCCCCGAGTGGACGATTCGAAGCGGGAGCTCTTCAAGAAAGTGATCTCGTACATGACGATAGGGATCGACGTCTCGTCCCTCTTCGGCGAGATGGTGATGTGCTCCACAACTCCGTGACGCCGGATATCGTGCTGAAGAAAATGTGGTACCTCTACGTTGGCAATTACCTCCTCCTCCACCACGATCCCGATCCAGGGAAGTCGGTGAAGCTCGTGACGAGCCGGATCCACTCCTACACGAGGCTGTTCATCAATCAGGTGGTGGCTAAACAGTGGGATATTAGTATTGGAAATTAGAAGAAATTACGGTTTTTTTATTTATTTTAAATAAAAGTGATAATGAGGTGGAAACGATATGACAATTTTGAAAAAATTAATTTTATTATTTTTAAATTGTCACGTCACACATTTAACGGTCAAGTTTTAGAGTTGATCGCCACGTAAGCAAAAGCTAACGGAGTTGGACGGCAGAGTGACCAAACATGAATGATTTCAGTAAACTGAAGTACCACCAATGGATTTAAATATTTCGAGTGACCAAACTTGAACATTTTTTGTAATCTCAGTGAACAACCATGCAATTAACCCCTTTAAAAATATACCAAATATTTCTTTAGTACAATTGGTAATGAATGTTGTCTTTGTTTGGAAAGACCATGATTCAAATCCCGATATTGATGTATTTTATTTCTATGAATAAAAAATAATATTTCGTAAAGAGCGTGATATGGTTGGTCTGGGCATGCACATGCATTCCATTTCCAATCCATGGGTGGTTTTAATTTGTTGCTAGAGCTACGTACTGTACTGTCTTGAGAATTAGGCTGCTGCTGCTGCTGCATGTTGAGGCCATCCGATCCGTACGCTTTCAATAACCCCACATCAGTGAGTTTTATTTATGGCTCTGTCTTCTTAATTACCACCCTACCCTGGGACTCATGACTGACTAACCGCATGTATATATATTATCCCATGAAATTTTCATTGCAATTTTGGTTCTATATATATTGGAGCTGAAAATGTCAGCCGGCCCTGTGATATTTATATGCAGTGAGTAACTGGTTTGATTACTATTTTGTTGCTTGATTGGTTTTAGGCAATGTATTAAGATTGTGTGGACGATTTAATTTATGTTGTCAAGTGTCAACTTCACTCACACGCCTCTGAATGGAAGTTAACTTCGTGGAATCGGACTTTCATGGAAGACCTATCATACATATGCTAATCAAGTGTTAACTTTAGATGCGATGGAGATTCAGACACATGTCCTTTCCCCGAAAAGAAAATTATCAGTGTAGTTCAAGCTGTTGAAAGAAACCTTTTAATGTGTATCTTATGTAATTTTGTCAGATAAACTCAATTCAAGATCGAAAAATAATTGGGACTAGTTCAATCATTCTTTGCATGGACTCGCTCCTTTCAACTGCATCATGCCTTCCATGTTTATCAAATTAACAAACAAATGTTTGGAGTTACAAACATAAATCCTGCTTGATCAGGCTACATACCCCTCATTCAATCGAAGAATGTGGTACAAAGTTCAATCTCGTTAGAAATCATGAGAAAGATAACAGGTTATATAAAAATAAAAGAAAAATCATGAGAAAGATACTTCAAACAAACCATTATATCCCTCCTAAGGAAAAACCCTATTCTACATTCCACTGACAAGTCTTTTACAGGTACTGCCCTCCCCTGGATCGAACGCTGACAGCTCTAGACGCCATTGCTCTCAAGTTTGCTCTAGCAGATTGCAGACCACTTCTTCCTCCTTGTCTTCCTTCATCAGGTTCCCTAAATGCCTCCATGAGCTCTTGCCTCTGAAGCCTTAATGCTAAAGCAGCATCTCCATCTTGGCTTGGCACAACAGCAGTAGCTCCTCTTGTTATTGTTCTTCTCCCTCTACTTTCTGCCTCTCTTCTCAACAACCTTGCAAGCTCTTCTCCTCTTTCAACCCTTCTAGCCAGCGCTGATTCCTCTTCTTCATTCTGTCCTGCCCTTCTTCCCCGCCTCCCAACTCCATCATCATCAACATCCCGGCTTGATAACCACATGAACTCTCCTCTTTGCAATCTTTGAGAGGTTCCAGAATTCTGAATCTGGTTATGACCCAATGGCCTTCCTTGTCTGCTAGGATTGACACCTCTACTAGGCCTTCTCGTCTCATTGTTGACAACTGGTCTTTCTTGAGGGATTTCGCGATCAGTGGCTTCTCGGCTGTTCAATGCCCCAGCTGCCTTCCTTGCTTCCACATCTTGTGGGAATAGAAGCTGGATTGTGTTCCATAGAACTGTGTTCACTGTGCAAGATCTCCCATTGCTGTAATTTCCATTTCCACCCAACACAGAAAAAGAAAATTGTTCAAGATTAGAAGTCATATGAGAAACAGTACAAGTAAATCGTAGTCTGAAGCTTGTCGTTCACCTTATTAGCTGTCTACACTTGGGGCACTTCTTCCCACATTTATCAGCAGCAGATCGCAAACACTTCTTACAGAAACTAGAACATCAGATCAGAACAAAGAACACCCCACTCTTAGACCGTGCACATAATAAATGAGATCCTTAACAACAAAGCAATAGGAGTTGAAGTTGGGAGTTTTACCTGTGCCCACAAGATGTGGTACTAGGTTCATAGCATATCTCTAAGCAAATCTGCCAAATACCAAAAAACTACTTTAGCACATAGCCTTCCAAGTCTTATTCAGAGCAGACAACATCAATAAAATATCTGTTGAGCATCTTACTGCACAGGAAAGTTCGTCTCTAAGCTTATCCAAGCAAGGAAGAACAGAATTTGAGCATGAAGCCTCTGAATTTTCTTTATTCCCTTCTCCATCCTTCTTCTCGGATTTCTTCTTCTCTTCTTCCTTCACCGCCGCTTGTGACTCACTCTTCTTGTTATCATTCACTGCCATTGATTCCAGACCAACAACGAAAAAACAACCATAAGAACTCAACTTCCTCCATTTCCAATAGTTCACACAATAATCAACGAAATAATCAAGTACCTTCTTTTTTGGAGGGTTCTTCTTCATCAAGATTGAGAACAGTCGCAGGCAACGGACTCCTCCTCTGAACCCTACGCTTCCTAAAATACATCAGTCACACCAAACCCAAATCAAATTGCCTCTCAATTTCATTCAAAAACGGCAAAAGATGGAATCTTTATGAATTTGTTTCTCTATATACCTCCTGGAACTGATGGAAGGCGGAGTCTTGAAAAGGGGGTCGGATCTTTTCCTCTGCTTGAAATCTCGATCGGGCGTGTCTTCAACAACAAGGCTGGCGAGTAGAATGGACTCTTCGTCCCACCCAGCCAAGGCCGCCGCTGACTTGAACCTTGGGCTGAACAGACACTCCAAGTTCTGGCCGGCGGCAACCGTCCCGACTGGGTTCGGTTCCTTCCCCGCCATTTCTCGATCCGCGCTCGGGTCCCGACAGTGGAGAAGGAAAGAAAAGCAAAGAGAGAGTGAAGGAGCGTAGAGAAATCGGAAAAGTTTCGCTTGAGATCGAAGAGCCGACGAGGGTTTCTGAGAAGTGAAACGCAACGGTCGAATTTTATTTCGAAGTCAGAAAGCCTTATCGTATCCTGTACTCCTTGTCGTGTACCGCTAAGAATCAGGTGCTTCTGAGAGCAGTGGCATTGGGTGCACCCTCACAATCTCGTACCGTCCATCTTTTCTTTGTCACACCTGCAGTGTAATCCAATCGACACTAGAGCATCTAGAATTTTTATCAGAACCCGATCAACAACACATTTTATATAATGCAATCTCCAGTACATAATTTCCCCCCTCTGAATAGACCAATGAAATCAGGTTAGAATAAAATCTTGAATGTAGTAAATCAAAACTCAATAAAATTAACCAATTCAATCAGAGGTAAAATCTAATCGTCGATTGTGCTTTGTACATTCCTGAAAATTGGTTCAACCCAAAACCACCACTAATTCAGGATCATAATCAAATACCTCTATTCTAAATTAACCCACTGTACACGAGCCAAATCACCTGATTTCCCTCTCTCCCTCTGGTTGTTACATGTAAACACAGTATGCACCCTTCCTTCTATATCTACAAATAGAATGAACCACCAAACAAAGCTACAAACATCACCAAAACTCGCCATCCATCTTCACAAGCCCTGCCGCATAGTCTCGGCTTCATCCTCCCACGGCAGAGTACCCGTCAACGGATCCGAAAATCGTCTCACCACCTCATCCCTCAACCCGGTATCATTCACCTCGCAAAACCGGCTCGACCAATCATCCGGCTCAACCGCTCTGGTCCCCAACCCAGGTGTCCGATCCTTCGACCCGACGTTCAGCTCGTCCTGCCAATCCGCCACGTACGTCGCCACCCGCCTGTAGAACTTCTCCTTGAACACTTCCCAAACCTGGTACTTGTAGTGGTTGATCACCATCGTGGCTCGATCCGCGTCCACGAATCCGAACCCTTCCCCGAGATGGAAATGGTGGATTACATTCACCAGCGACGAGTTCAATGCCTCGGGCCTCACTATGCTCTTGTGCCTCTCGGGCGCGAATAAACGGCAGGTGTAGCCCGCAATCACGCCCTTGGTTGGGGGTTGGGTTAGACCGGATGGACCAAAGCTATGGCAGGCCACCCGAACTTCCCCAACTTGGAAAGGGAGTAGGAGTCGTCCGCTCGTTCCTTCGGTTAGATTGGTGAGGAATTCAGGCAGCGATTGGCCCGATGGGAGGTGGAGGAACTCGTCCACGTCGATGAACCCAACCCACTCGCAGGAAGGGCGAGCTCGTATCGCGCAGTGGGCGAACCCGGCTTCTTGAGTCTTCGCCCACGGCCAGACATGGCGGGAAATGTTGTAACCGGAACCGGTCAACAACGTGATCGCAGATTCGATCTCGTCTTCACTGTTGTTGTCGTAGATGAACCATCGAGAGATGTCGATCTCGTCGTGATACATCACCCATTCTCTGATGAACTTGGCTTGATTCCGGAGCATCGTGCAGATGCACAATTGGTGCGGTTTTGGCCCGAGTTTTGGTTCGGGGTTGGGTCGGGGCTGGGCGACGGAATTGAGGGTTACCCTGCCTTTGACCCGGACGGTGACTTTGATTGAGCTATTGAAGGGATTGGTCAGGAGGCTGAGGGGCGTTCTGCACCGTGCGATCTCTTGAGCGATCGAGATGACTTCTGACCGCAGGATGAACTTGGGCCTAGTGAAATCCCAGCCGTACACGCACTCGAATCGCGACACGTTGTAGAGCTTATCCGGCCGTAGATTGAGCCCTTTCACGAAGACCACCGTGGTGTTGTCGCGGTCGATCAGCGCCTCGTACGCCAGGGAATGCCACGCGCGAGCTGGACGCGCGTTTAGAAGAATTTCTCCGCCGGCGTTTGCGTCGGCCGATTTCACCGAGAGGGAAACGGCTGCGGAGCGGTCGAGCAGGGGGCACCGAACGATCTCCCCGTCGACTCGGTTGGGCGGCCGCGAGGCGTTCTTTTGCCTCGCCGTCGGGGAGGAGGAGAAGTTGTAGACGCAATCGAGATCGTCGCGAGTCAATAAACGTGGTGACGTGGCGGCGGAGGAGGGAGGGTAGTTTAGGAAAAGCAGAACCTGGTCAGGAAGGATAACCGTCTCCCGAATCCACACCTTCTTCTCCTTCCCGTCCAACTTCCGGGGAGAGTCGTGTCCGTGGCCGGCGGCGGTAGCCACGGCATCCATCCGCCATCGCGGTACTATCTCCGGCTGCAGCCTCTCTGCTGGCGGCGAGAAAAAAATCAATACAATAACCAATCAACCGAATTCGAAAGGGGAAATGAAAAGGGATCATTTCAATTCGAATAAGGGAAATTTCAAATCTTTTTCACTTACCAGGAGGAGGGAAGAAGAGGAAACGGAAGGAGGAGAAATTGAAGCCAGTGAAGAGGACGCAAGAGATGACGATGAAGATCGTGCACCAGAAGAACCTGCTCCATACGACGTCGTCACGATTCCGCCGGTGATCCTTCTTCATGGCAGCGGCGGGGCGGCGAGCAGCCGCCTGAGCATCTGCCGGAACCGGAGGGAAGGGCGGGAAAGAAGGGGAAAACAGAGACAGAAGAAGAAGAAGATTATTAGACGGGAAGGAACTGCTGCCGGAGCTGCCGTTTGGTTTTCCTCCTCCTCATTAATTATTCCCCCGTAATCCGGTTTACTATAAATGAAATATTAATTATTTATGGGGTATGAATTAATAGCAAATTTCCGTCTCTTCTTTCCCACAGAGGGATGGAAGAAAGCTCCAGGGGTTGTTTGGTCTCCGAGAGAATTAAAAGGAAAAGGGAAAGTAGACAGAGTGGCGGGGGAAGAGAAAAAGACGGCTTGTATTTTCTCTCTTTATAAAGAGATCCGGTGCATTATCTATCGACCTTTCATGTCGGTAATAGCGGTGGTGGCTTCTGGCCATTGGTGGTGGCGGCCGGGGTTTGGGTTTGGGATCTGGTGTAAGCAAGTTAGTTGTATTCAGTATTCACCAACGGTGGCCTGCCTGCCACTCCATTGATGAACCCACGTCACCCGCCATTGACTAAAGATGGATAAGACCAGGGATGGTACCATCCAAGGTTGTCAACCCGCGGGTCGACCCAATTTAACTCTGACCCGGTGAGAAAAACGGGCTGCACGCACCTGTCGAGTCGACCGCTACAAGGTACCGAGTTAGAGGTCAAATTGTGTCATTTTTTTCTTTGGTTTGCGAAATGCGCCTATTTATCGATTTTTCTTATCGCCTAACTCAATCTTTGGAATCCTAAGTTGAACATTTGAATATTGATGTTATATAAGTGTGTGTGAATTTCCACTATATGTTGGATTTAAGTACGATATGTTATTTTGGTGTAATATTATATGTTATAACTCATATGTTATATAAGATTTGATATAATTTATCAGGATAAATACAATATAATAACTCTTTTCATATTTCCGGGCCAAACGAGCTAAAATGGTTAACCCTTTAACCCTTAACCCACTAGCTTGACCGGGTCCGGGTCAGCCCGCAGGTTGACAACCTTGGTACCATCTCAGAAGCAAAATTGAGCAAAGAGTCTTATGAGATGGTACCGTATGAAACTTATGGGCCCTAACTTCAACTATGGGACCAGGAGGTAGGTTTTACAGGTCTCTAGTAAGCATCGTAGAGAGCCCTATATGTGTCGAAAGAGGCCCTATGACGCCACGCGAGATTTATTTTACTAAGAAAAAGTTGAAATGCATTGCATGTAAATGTGTCAGGGTTTGGTTTGTCTAGCAGATCCTCTCTATCAATAGTGTCACCTCTTTTTTTATATGAACATGTGTCTATGCACGCACGTGCCTACTAAGTTAATTGATTCATCTTTTAGTATGTTTCCTTGGCCACGGCAAAATCCCTAACATATGAAATCTAAAAGCTATCACTAAAAGCACATCTACAGATAAATGTATTAGATCTGACGTTTAATACGCTTTTAACGAAAATCTCTAAAACCCACGCATATGTAGATGAGCTTGCCTCGAAAGAGAGGTCCTACGAGGTCATCCATGGAGCATGCCCTAGGATCATTCCCTAACATCCATCTCAAACCCTGAGGTATTTCAACACATATAGACTACTTAATTACTTGTGGTTAATTATGTGGAGATCTTTATCCGACATTCCCAACTATTCCATTTCCATGAACTTTGTACAATAATCAAAGGCACATTATGAAAGTGGAGCACTTCTACTATGCTATATAGTATTGGTGCTTTAATGTACAACTTAAAGTTGTACCATAACATTAAATGTATAAGTTTAGGTTGTACCATAAAGCAATTTGTACCATTATGTTATGGTACAACTTTACAACTTGAAGTTGTACCGTCACATAAAGGTACAAGTTCAAGTTGTACCATAAAAGAATTTGTACACAAAGTATAGGTACAATCTGAAGTTGTACCATAACGTAAATGTACAATTTTAAGTTGTACCATAAAGACAAAACCCTATAGCACCAATACTATATAGCATTGTAAAATTTCTCATGAAAGTGTGACTAGAATAGTAGTAGTAACTTGCGTGTGTTTACATACACAATGAAGCTGCCAAAGACCCTCAAGGGGCTTTTTTTTAATTACAATGAACGACAGTCGAAAATTGAGACCAGTAGATCGCTTTCGACAGGCCTGAACTATGTATCGATCAATCCGGCTACAATTTTAACACCCATTTGAAGTTAAAGATGTTCAAGATCGTACTTTTACGGATGTAAATTTATTTTTTTAAAGTTAAAAGTACATCTCAAATCATATTAAAATTCTCTAACGCCAATGAAAGCCTAATTCTATATACAGTGTGTTAAAAAAATTACTAAAAGCAAGATAGTCTCGTCTTATTATAAGTGATAGATATATTAATCACTTTATCGCTATTATTTAATTTAGGTGCAAAATATAATGGGCATGTATCAATTTCAATTTGAAATATACAATTGAAGAATGTAGGAGATCAAATCATCATGAACACTTGTGGAATATAGCAAAATTATGTTTTGTACATTACATTTTTCACTAACATGTTCATCTACCTACTCCACTAAAAGTAGACATATATTTTGGACTAGGTTATGGGTGGATTTAGTCTTCCACATATTCAATTAAACACACGACCTCTTAGGTGCACTTAAAAGATGGTAGGTACAACAGTTTGCTATGAATCCATAACCATACCCATAGGTTCATATCCATTAATTAGGTTTTGTGTAATAACTGCAGTTTATATTCTTTAGAGACACTGGACGAGCGTGTCTAGCATGTCAAAGGATAAGCGCGTTAGTATAGTTTGAGAATGACATAATGTAATTTGTAAAGTATGAAATATTTTAGTTACTAAAGCATATGTTTACATTATTATTTATCAAAATGCCATCATATACACCCAATAGTTGAAATCACAAAACAATAAGATTGAGTTTCATATGATCCGGCAAAGTCAACACGCTGAAGCATATCAATCTAGTTGTTCACTAGATGATGTGGGATCAAATTGTCATACCTCATGTACAGAGCTTCTTGTCTTGTCTTTGTCACAAAGGAGCCGAATGCCCGAATCTAATACCTTTCGTGGCCAATCAGTTAGGTCATTGGAGGAAACATCTTTCTTTCCCCAAACAAAGATAAGCTTGATTAATGCAGTAATGCTTACTGATTGTACTCTGGGTTAGGCCTTTCTGCAGAAGCATGATCCACCGTCGGGCCCATTTCCGCAGTTCAGTTTTCTCCTATGCCCTCCACATCGTAGGCAGGTCCGGCCGTCCGGGACGGGTATCTCGATATCCATACCCGCTCTGTGTCAAGGCGGGTCCACTTCGGGTAATTTATCATGGGGCGCGGGTCAGGGCAGGTCAACCCAATATATATGTAATTTATGTGACAAAATAAGAAATATTCGTTATTTTCATTAAAAGGTCATAAAAGAAACCATAATATGATAAATTATAGTTAAATTATTGGAGAAAATGATATTTTCACCTATTTAAAACTTTATTATAGCTGAAATATGAGGTAATAAGAGGAAAATCCTAAGTAATATGATTAATATTATATGTATTTTAGGCAAGAACAGATCGAGAATGAGGTGGGTCCGGTCAGGGCAGGTCGACGAGAAGGACCCATGTCCACCCCATCTCAAAACAGGTCGGGTAAAATGGGCCGCATCAAAATTGTCATATCTAATTGGATGGGAGGATCCAAACAGGCAACGGCGAAATGAGCAGAGGGTTAGCATGCAGAGAGGAGGTAGAATACAAGGGCTTCACGGCACGAGTGTTGAGGCTGTAAACACCCATATCATGACCTCCTAGCTTGTGCCTTTGGTGCCAGTCGATAAAGTCATCAGTGAAATAAATGGAATTTGAAATCAGTCCCGAATGGTCTCTGGTGGAAACGGAGAAGGCAGAGTTGAACCCAACGAAAATGGCGAAATCCCCGATGCTTGCAACCTCATCCCATCCCTTCCTATCCTCATCATCCAGCTTGTAAACATTGAACTTCACTGTCCGGTAACCTCTTGGAGAAGCAGCTACTAATTGCATGTATCTAGTCACCATCATCAGTCGATCACCACCTTCATCTGGGCTCGGGATCAAGTATGGATGTTCGGAGTTGACGAAATCCCTAGGGGCCAAGTTAAGATGGAATGAGAGCTTGGGGCGGTGCAGGAGGGAAAGATCAGCCACCACAACCCTGCCGCAGCAGTCGACTGCATAAAATTTACCCTTCCAGAACACCACATCCATGAACGGGATCTTCTCTTCTTCTTCTGGATTAGGAACCAAGCTCCATTCGTCGCCCCCGGGCCTGCAGAAAGCCAGGCGATAGTTGTTATTGAACCGAATGGCCATCACAACGCAATCCTCTGCAGTGGGCTCCGCGGAGACAGCAGTCTTCCGGAAGAAGCGCTCTTGGAAGAAGGTCCTGCCCTGTACAACGAGCCTCTGTTCACCATCCAATCGGTGAACGAACTCAAAGTTTCGTCTTTGGGGGTTGTAGTCCAACACATCGGGGAAAGACGTGATGGGCGGCAGCGGGATTTGAGATCCGGTGAGAGGGTTGAGTAGGAAGATGGAAGGGATTTGGTGGACCATGAACAACCATCCAAACGCAGACCCCCGGCATACAACAACACTAGGGTTGCCGCCGCCGCCGCCGCCGTGGATGTGGTGAAATCGGCGATTTGCCACATCGTAAAAGCAACAATACCTATCACTACCACTATCGCAATTACCACTAATCATTCTCGTGCTGCTGCAATGCGGCAACATGAGCAACGGCGTCGATTCCCCAAGCCTTCCCTGCTGCTCCGATTCCGGATCAGCAGCACCCATGTCGCTCTAGCTGCTGGAGAATGGCGTCTTTTGGCTGATAGGATGGAATGGAAGGCTGGCTGGCTAGTAGCTTGTAGCCGTATTTATAGAATCAGAGATTCAGATTCCAACTCGGACTCGGAATAGATGACCAAGAAGAAGAGGGTCGATCGAGCGAGCGAGACTGATGCAATTCCGTCTCCGCGGTGGTAAGGGAAGGGTCAGGGGAGGGAGGTTCTTCTCTCTTCTCTTCTTTGCCTTGGTTTTGGTCTTTTGGATCTGTCGCCTTCTCTCATTTTTTTTTTTTTTTTGGTCAAACGTCTTCGTCGACTGAAACGCAGAGTTGTTAATTAGCCCAGCCCAAGTGTAGGTTGGGCCCAGGAGCTTTTCAATTGAGCCTCTGATGCTTTGAAGAGCTTTTCCTTATCCTGGATCTTAGCCTTCACATTGTGTAATGTTATAAATGCTACGGATCGGGAAATCGCAGGAATCGACAAAGCAAGAATACGAGAGCGAGAATCGAAAACAAGACACACGATTTACGTGTGTTAGCTACGTCCACGGGCGAGAAAGAGCCAATTTCACTATATCGAGTAGATTACAGATTACAGAGGAGTATGAGAAGTATTTATAGTACTTCTCCATGTGGGTCTAAACCTAATCCAATATGGCAAAGGAAACGGTTACAGACCAGGCCCAGAACCCGAACCCAAATAACATTGAGCCCATACACCGTGGGCCGGGGGGCGTTGCCCCTGGACCCTACTCGCTGACCGGGCAGCGAGACCCCCAATTACCAGTCGTAGCGGCTGATAGTCCGATTCAAGTCACATCAACATGTAAAGACCCAAAAATTTTATCTTATACGATTCTGTTATATATCAAATGATTTGAATGAGCTCTGGAAAGCCGGCCGTGATGATGCATGCATGCTTGTTTAGTTTGTAGGTATAGTTTAGGGGTGGCTGCATACAAAACCAAACCTTGAAATTTTGTAGCTCACCTCCCAGACAAAAGCTTCCAAATAAATTTAGTGCAAAATCTGCACCAAATCGGGGGGAATATTCGCTTCCCTACTTGCAATTTATAAATGGCTACACAAGAAGTTCAAAGAACAACAACATAATTATTATCAGGAGACCTTCTCATTTTCTCAATCCATTAGATAATTGGTCATCTGAATTAAGAATATGACTTGATTAAAGATGTTGGAGGCCAGCTGACTTTGTTCTCCAACAAAGTTCAATTAATGCTCTCTGGAAGCTAGCTCCAAGTTCATTCATATGTAGACATACATTTTGATTGATTCTAATTAAGAAATTGAACCAAAAAGTTTGGCACCAAACTAATCAACATACTGCACCCTCACTTTCCGTTCTTCGAAATGGGTTCTTTTTAATTTTGTTGGATGTGTTCTTTAGAATCTAATTTGGTGAACTAATCAACAACCTAGTTAATCGATCATTATACGCGAGTATGCATGAGAAGAAAATGGAAGTTTTGATACCTACACATATATATGTTTTATATGTGAAGAAAATGTTGATTTGACTTTAAAAATAAGTACGTAGAGCGTATATTTTATTTCAATATACATCTGACACTATTAGAATTGTTCAAAGAAGTACAAAAGTAAAAATTGTATATAATTTCTTTATCCACCACTTAAACACAAAACCTTGACCACTTGGTATAAAATTTACCACTAACCCATCATACGTGCATTGTTCTTAAGTCAAACAAGACCAATATATGTCATAAATTTGTAAGACAAGCATGTATAACCAGAAAATACCTATATATGGTGAACTATAATGTTCTTAAAGGTCAAAATAACTATTCTTGTACATTGGGTAAAAGTATTACTAATTTATAGGACTTGCTATTTGGTCCGGACTTTTTGGTTTTATCCGAGATCGGACCGGGACCGGATAGGCTAGCAAACAATCCAATCCCCTATTTGGGTTTAAATTTGAGGTAAAAAAATCATTCGGGACCGGAACGAAACCGGATAAAAGAACCCAACACAAAAAACTTAACCAACTCCTCACCCTTTCAGGCCTCAGGCCACTAAAATCTCCACAAGCTTAATCTAAAATCAAGACCGAATTGAAACCGGACCGGGTCAAGACCAGACCGGATCGAGACCGAACTATATCCAATCCAATCTTTGATCCTTATATTCCTGAAAAGATCGGACTGTGACAGGATCAATTCAGACCAATTTAACTGGACCGAACCGGACCGTATAGCCACCCCACTAATTTATTATTTGTATGAATTGCATATGTGAGATAGAGCACAATTGATACAACGATAATCTCCCGTGTGAAGGGATTGATTGTGATGTTTTGTTTACATAAGCTTTATTATTAACACTAATTAACGATACCAATCCCCAAGTTGGTCTTTGTTTAGTGTTTATAGTGACACGGTTTTAACGAATTAGAGGGAGAAGGGAAAGAGGACAGAGGAGAATTTGTTAAGAGTTCAACTCCAACGACAAAAAAACTGGCCAGCTTTGAAGGGGCCAAGGAATCTTACCAGACATAATAATTTCTTATCTTTTCCAATATTTTCATGTTGTATTTTTTTGTATTATTTATCCTCGAAGAACAAATACTTTTATGAGGTACCCCTAATAATTTGTCAACGAAGATGACCCACGTCGGTTTTTCCACAATTTAAAAAAAAAATCGTCTCTTTTCATTCTATGCAATAAGTATAAAAATGGTGGCCATTTCGTTTTAAAAGTATCAAGTAGATTACTAAATTAAATAAGAGTGTTTTAACTATATGAATGTAAATTATTGTACATGGTAGATTAGAGAAGCTCTATAACAACATAAACTAATCTGTCAGGGTTGCAAAGAGTTCTAAACAATCAATTAATCTGAAGCATAAATTCAAAGCTAGATATATAATACAAATATAAGGAAAGATTGTTCTTCACATATATATCTAGTGGTAATCTATACTTACTGCATTAGTTCTAAACGTGTGAGAGTTTGACCTACTAATATCTGCAAATAATTTATCAAAGTTGTTGATTATCACTCTGATCCATTCTATATGAAATAGCTAAACCGTGCATTAGAGATCTAACTACAAATGGACTCATCAATAACACCTCTCAACTCAATTAGGTCATAACTCGAAGTTTTCTTATGAACAAGCATTGTAAATTTTAACTCAAAATTTGAACAATCTATGTAAATAGAACAATCATCATTCATTCAATTCAACCAAACCAGTTGTAATTACTAAATGATCAATACAATTTGAGTCCAATTCTCCTTCAATCATGACAAACTACCTTAACCCTTTTACTTATACCCACGAAATCATCAAGATCGAGTGCTTTCATTAAATTATTCCAATAATTAACATCATCTTGACAACTAAGAAGAATAGAAAAGAGGAAACACATTGTTGATGGTAGTGATGATGAGCAATTGAGCATAGCTCAATGCCTATTGGTTATGCACACCTTTTCCTTTCCTTCCCCCAAACCCAATTGTTTTAATATATAGTTCCCAATCATTTGTCTTCCCCTCCCAGAACAGCAATATCCTTCCATTATATCAGTTTATTTTGTCTTTGGGGATAATGAACATGAACTGGCACCAAGCAAGCATCTTTGCTTGGATTATAAGTAACCTTCCCAGCTATAAAGCATCCCTTCTCCTTCTACTTTTGATTCTCCATTTCTCTCTCTCTCCCCCTATCTCTCTCAGTTCTTGAACTAGTCATCCTCTTGGGGGCAAAAGGAAGAATCAAAAACAACATGGGAAGGCAGCCTTGTTGTGACAAAGTTGGATTGAAAAGAGGGCCATGGACCATCGAGGAAGACCACAAGCTCATGAACTTCATCATCAACAATGGCATCCATTGCTGGAGAATGGTCCCTAAGCTTGCAGGTAAATTTCAGCTCTCTCTCTCTCTCTCTCTCTCTCTCACTCAGACTTCATCATCAATCGCTATCACACTTCAACATGAAACAGGTTTTTGCGACCAAAGAATGGTGGCTAAAAGAAACACAATGGTTGCTTTTGTTGGTGTCTTCTTTGGTCGCAAAAGGCTCGTTTTCTTGTAGCTAGGGTTCATTATATTCCCTTAATGCAACACTGTACTACTACTGTAATTGAGTTCTCAGCCCTCTTCTTTAAACAAATGCATGTGTACAGGTTTGCTTAGGTGTGGGAAGAGTTGTAGGTTGAGATGGATCAATTACCTTAGGCCTGATCTCAAGAGAGGCGCTTTCACTGAGGCAGAGGAAAATCAACTCATCCAACTCCATTCGCGGCTTGGGAACAGGTAAGTGCTTGATTAACTAAGTTGCTTGGCGTTTCATTGTAAATTGTGAGATTACTAATGAATGGTTAATGATCATGAAATTGGATATTTTCATGTATAGGTGGTCAAAAATTGCCTCACATTTTCCTGGGAGGACAGACAACGAGATAAAAAACCATTGGAACACGAGGATCAAGAAGAAGCTCAAGATGGCTGGAGTAGACCCTGCCACCCACCAACAAATTGATCTTGATCAAGAAAATGGAGTTCATAAGGATGGTGATAACAAGATTGGCACAACCTTAATGGAGGAACATGATAACCAACAAGTGGAAGAGAATGAGCACGAGTTTCCGACAAAATTAAATGAAACGACTACAATTGACGATCACAATCTTTTGAAGAACTATGAAGTGTTGATGACTGGAGGAGGAAACTTGGAGTTGGAAGGAGCATGGAGCACTAGTAATAATCAAAGCAACACAACTAGTACTAACTCTGATCAAGGCACCTCATCATCGTCGATCGAGGAATCGAATGGTAGTTACCACTACAACCACATGAATCCTTCCAGGAATTATGACTTGAATGATCATCATCAATCAGCAGGTTCAAAGGCTCAATTAGGTGAGGATGGTGATGATTATGGGTCATTGAAGCAATGGGTTGATAGTATGGACTCAATGTTCTCATGGGATGGTTTCATGAACACCACCACTACTACTTCTACTACTCTAGATGATGAGTTCTTCTTCCAGCTGGAAAATGGACTCTACTATAATAAAAACACCAAATGATGATGATGATGATGATTTCACTTGGATCAGTTATTAAATTTCTTCATGATCAAATCCCCACAAATTTTTTTTATAAATCGAGAGATAAGCACATCATTAATTATATATATAAGTGTGATTATTCAGTTATCTGAGGCTATTTTTATGTACACTACTACTTCTTTGTTTGTGTTCGAATTCCTTTCTTGTAATGTTTTGTTCTTAATTTCACCATCATCTGCTAGCTAGGCTTGACCATAATAGTGTACATGTCAATTTTCAGGGTCACTAATTAAATAGTGAATTTATGTGTTATTATTTCTTAACTGTGAGTGTCATTGCTTTCATGCTTTCATCACCATAAATCAACCTTACTTTGTTGTCCTGAAAATGATTCAGAATCTTTCTTTAAGGTTTTTTCTTTTTGGTCGAAGAGACTAAATATGATCAAATTCAACTAGTGTTACTACTTTTGTTTATGTCAACTAGGTGCAACAGTGTTACTGTTAATTACAACATAAGAGTAGTATTTCATTTAGTCAATCACTCATCTTCTCTATGTATAATTTATGATATTTAGAGAGAAAGATTAAAGGAGGGTAATGAGGCAGGATAGACCTACGAGAACATATATAGTAATAGGAGTTGGGCAAAAATTGAGAGAATTAGAGGGCTTCTATAGAGGATTCTAACGAGACTTAGAATTCTTGTCATTTGATAATCTTCGCAAATAATTACCAAAATACGATATAAACTTCAACATAAATATTCCTCAATCGATGCAACATATATAGGAAAAATATCAGTTGATAAGGTGCCAAATTTTTACTAAGTGGAAAGTTAATGTTACAATATTTCCATCATTAGACTAGTCACATACTCATATATGATTTCAATTAAGATTATGTGTATATCATGTAGATGTAGTTAAACACCATACAAACTATTATTCCAGCTTAATCAACTCGACGTATTGCAGGAAGGTAACTCTAGAAATCGTCATCAGCTTAAAGGTTAACAATATGTGTATTATATAAAAGGTTAACAATAATTAATAACTCAAGATGTTATGTAGAAAAGTTCAAACGGAACGGGTGTCAATTGAGCTGGAGGGGATGGAAGTCGTTCACCGGACAAAGTCTAGCTAGATTGCTGGAGGAATCCAGCTTATAGTAGTGGCAAACCTCTCATATTCCCATGAACATTGTCTCGAGCCTGCAGGCAAAGAGTAATTAGTGCTCGGTCGTAGCTAGGTTAATTACTTTGATTAATTCTTCTCCTCTTTGTGCTTTTTGGATCGACAAATTTGATTAAGTGAACAAAGCACATTTATTAAACAGTAGTTATAATTAGTACGTCGTGCAATCCACAGCAGTATATATATGCATAGGGCTGATCCGTACTGGCACATGCATGCATCTATATCTCTATATAGGGCGCCGTTTAATTACTAGTCAAGGGAATCCAACACGTAGCCCCTCTAAATCATCAGGTTGTATACATGGCTAAATCGTTTCTTAATCATGATCATATCATCCTCAACATTTTGTTGATTGTTCTGCGAGTTATTCGCTACATTAGAAATATTGAATGATAATCCCGAATTTTATCGAAGAGGATCTCAACGTGAAGTGAAGGCTGTTCGTATATGTGAATATCTAGCACATTCAAGTAAAATTACAGGTTGATTATATTCTTTTCATTTAGGTCAGTATGCATCAATTAGCTTCTTTTCATTTGGTTGTGTCTTTGTATGTTTTGTTTGTGATCGGTTACTTCTGTTGAGTAACAAACTTTTTTTCATAGATATTTGATAGCTATTTAGTTGGACCGTGAACTGAATCTTAGATGGTTTTAAGTGTTTGTCGCCAAATTCTAATATTTCTCAAATCAAAACCAATCCGACAATCCATTTAATGATGTATACTATATTTAGCGTTGATAATATGACCAACGTCGTCGCACCTATAGCAGTTAAAATCGAGATTCAACGCAAACTCGAAAAGGGGGATAAAATCGAAATCGTAAAATCATAGGATTTTAAGGCCCATATAAAAATGAAGACGAAACAATATTAATAAGGAAACTTATGAATAGCACAATAACACATAACAATTACAATGATAATTTCTCAAGGTTAATGTTCCGATTTATCAAGGATAATTTTGGAAAGTGGTGAATTAATGATGATTAATACGTTGATGTGAATTGATGGTGGTCAATGGTGGTTAGTGTGCTAGAACTAGATGATGTTGGTTGAGGAGAAGAAAAATAGGCATATTTTTCCAAATTATGGGGAAAAAGGTAAAATTGGCCCTAAGATTTGAATCGTAAAATCTTAAAATTTTAAGGATTTAAATCGTAAATAGTGTAGAATTTTAAGATCCATAATTTTTATAGTGAAATCAAAATCGAAACAGATAAATAAAATCGTAAGATCTTAGGATTTTAGAATTTAAATAGGGATTTTGACGGTTTTGGTCGCACCAACACAACATATTTATATCAAGAGAAAATGAACTAACGCATAAATTTTAGCAACCTTTCTCTGTCCGTCGCTAAAAGATCATAAATTCATTCCTAGAATCCTAGCGTTTTTTTTTTAATTTGACAGAAAATTCATTCATAGTGGAATTGTTTTTTTTTAATGAATGGGTAAAATCTTATTTCATCAAATACGATCTTTACACAGTTGCACGAGGAACAAACTCACAACATCCGCTTCACACCAGACAGAAAAACGAGGAAAAGAAAACTCAAAAACTCAAAACTGGCACAACTATAAACTACAAAGAACATGCCTCAGGAGTAAGGGCTGTTCCTTATACCACAAAAATCTAACCATAGCCAGCTCAGCAAAGCTAGGGTCTCCTAATTCCTTTGCTTCCATTACTCCCTGCAATTTCCTAACCAGGTCTCCCACTCTAATTAAAATTTCAACCCTACCCAAAAGTGTTATGATTGTTATTCGTTGACAGATTCTCGATTTATTCGATCTCAATATTATTTTAATAATCATGACTTCTTATTTACATCACTTATTATACTTTATTAAAATAAGAGGAACCGTATAATTATATATTTGATGGGTTGCTACTTTCAATTAAATTAATTTAATACCAGACTACAATGATTAGAGGAAGACTTGATTGGTAATGTCAAGTACGTAAATATGACACTTTTAATTAACAGGGTGTTCGCACTGTTTGATTGAGGGGAGCCAGTTAATGGAAGGCTAATTTCCAATGTTTCATCGAAGTCAAGTCAACTGATAATAATACATACATAGAATTCATTTTCAGATTATAGTCCAGAGAAATTTTACAATGCTATATAGTATTGGTGCTATAAGTTTTTTCCTTTATGGTACAACTTAAAATTGTACATTTATTGTTATGGTACAACTTCAGATTGTACCTATACCTTTTGTACAAATTCTTTTATGGTACAACTTGAACTTGTACTTTTCTGTTATGGTACAACTTTACAACTTGAAGTTGTACCATAACATAAGTGTACAAATTGCTTTATGGTACAACCTAAATTTATACATTTAATGTTATGGTACAACTTTAAGTTGTACATTAAAGCACCAATACTATATAGCATAGTAGAAGTGCTCTATAGTCCATGGTAACTTTACCAAGGAAAATATCTAGGGATGGTAATGACCACACAGTTATCTTAATAGTTAATATTCATATTATTCTTGTATATATTCTATTTTCGAGTGTTGTATATAGATTTGACATAAGTTAGGTTGGATAAATTGGTATGAACAGTAAATGGTAATAGGTTGATTCATTTTAATATGTGGGGATGCAAAACTTCGAGTCTTAAGAAAAAACACCATCAAGTTTTAAACTGACAAGGAGGATGGCTAGACTAAAACGACTCAAATCCTAAGAATCATTATGTCAAAATTAAAATAATTTAGTTAAGACATACAATCTCCATTGTGAAGATAAAAAAACATAATAGAGACTGTGATGAAACAAGCTGGAAAAAAATACTAATATTTCATCTCAAATAACTCTCGATTGAAATAATACGTATCGTAAAAATAAGTCGTGACAAAGATAAATCAGATACCCTTCATTAGTCTCGTGAAAAAGGAAAACCTCAATTTTACAATCATAAAGGAAACAACCAGAAGTCCCCACCAGGCCACCACCCCACCCAATAGGCAATAAGTATAATCACTTGCTAGCCAAAGTCATCAAGCTAGACTGCTAGAATACGATTATATTTAATATGCTATTATATATTTGTTGTTGAAGTTTCATATAATTAGTGGCAAAGTTTGCCTGCCTCGTTGGAATTTGGAAGGACAAATATTAAAGCTCAAATAATTCTCCCCAAATTTTTTTTCTTCTAAATGGTTGGTATAACTAATATGAAAGAAAAGCTTGATCACCTAGCTAGCTAGCTAGCTGTATATTTGATACTAGGTTGATTGTCTTATCTAAGGCAGGAGAAGAATATCCTCAGCCCCAAACCACAATGGAAGAAAACAAGGATACAATAGGTTTTAGAAGTTTAGTGTGCTAATTAATGGTCATATATATTAAATATAATTGGAAAGGGACAGCTTGGGATTGTTAATTAATTAGTTAATTGGCGCATGATTAAGGAAGCTCAAGTTGTTATTAAGATTGCCAAATCAAACATCAAGTAGGTGAAGGGAAATATGGGTGCTTATACTTAAACTTAATTGCTCCCTAATGAGATTGATCTAATTGGTGGATAAGCATGTGGGCTTTTGTCATCAATCTAACATCTCATTATCGTCACCATCAACATCATCAATTGGCTATTAAAGAGGGTTTGTTGGGAGGGAGATTCAATCTAATTCGACAATGAAAGTTTCAAGTCGAAAGCTAATAATGATACAGTTAGATCAAATCGTCGTTCATCAATCAGAATAAACTAAGGTAAATGGATTCTTTCTGTTATATCACTCGTCATATATTTTGTATCAATGCTGACAAGTGTTCTCTCCCCCTCCATCATATTAACTTATTTACTTAAATTTGTTTTATTTTTTATTATGTCATATTGTAAAGGTACTAACCCAACCAAAGCATATTTGTTGAAAGAACAATATCACAGACACGATGATGATTAGGGTGATTTAATATGCTTTTTTTAATAATGTAAACAACTTTGTATGTACAATTAATTGATTAATCTATCTTTTATTATAAAAAGAGGATTATGTGACAAAAGTTGGCCTAGATTCAATGCTTAGTTCACAAAGCCAAAGATGCTCCATTGTCTAATCCTACCTTAACCTCCTGCTTCTGCACAATGTAAGGGCATCACAAATCATAACTTTTTTTTTTGCGATAATTTTGATTTGATATAGTTTTTTTTTTAATAAAATCGACTTGCTTAAAAGAGTACAAGTTGAATATATACACAATGACAATGTGAGAATAATGTACAATTTTTTCTTGCACGAACTAGTATGGTATTTAATCTGTTTTCCTCACATTTCTACCACAAAATAAAAGTCAATTCCCACTTTCACTAATTTGAGTGTATTTGTCACTATCATTTTCCTTTCTTTATGCAAAACTTGAGTTGTTTTGTGTTTTTATTTATTTATTTTCGAACTATGAATCTATATATAAATATATAATCAGATCATATTTACATTGTTTATAGTTTATACCATACGAGGTAATATTGAGGTGTCCGTTTCTGTATTTTTAGTGTATTATTACTCATTACTCATTAGAAGTGTGGCAGCAAGTAATTGGGCCATTAATCTTCTTTGTAAAAAAAAGTATTTGGGCCACACTTAGCCCAAATGTATCGGTCGGCACGAGGCCATGAAAGCCCAATCAAAGACCTTCCCTAGTTCCCTTCGAAGAGTATGAGGAGTGAGGATCCTGAATTCCTGATCTGGTCTCTGGGTCTCTAACTCGGTGACCGTCCTCCCCCTGACTCGCCGGAGCTTCCACAGTTTTGCCGGAAGTGATGCTGACTATACAGAGAACAATCAGGGAGATCCACACAAACGTCGTCGCCCCAAGGCTTACGAGATTCACTCTTCGAGCGCCCAAGAGGGTAAGCTCGCAATCCTTTTTTATGCTCATCGGGCCCGGTTTCGGTTCAATTCAACCCAACATCGACAATGTCGACATTTTGTGTTCGATTTGAAATTCAGTGATGAAGCTAGGATCTTTCGATCCAGATAAGTGTCCAGATGGCTTTATTCGCTTGAAATCCTCCTGGGTTCTTTGAAGTTCCCTGAATTCTGTTTCTTTTTCTGGTTGGGATCATGAGAACGGTCGATTGGCTGATTGCTGGATGGAACATTCACCGTAGCTGGAAATGTAGCTAATGCCTAACTTAGAGATGAAATTACCGTTCGCCTGAGTTTAAACCCGATTCCAGGTAGAGGTGGAGTATGGCAATGGTGACAAGTTCAGCCTGTCAGCTGAGTTCCTAAGAATACACAGCCCAGCTGTGGACGGGAAACTTAGGTCCATTGGTGGTGAGAAGGTAATAAGACTAATGATCAAAATTTATTGGCAATCTCCATTTCCATTGATTAAGTACTCTTCTGATGGTTGTTTGTCATTTCAACAGGTGATTTCAGGCCGGCGTCACGTAGGGATCATGTCTGCAGAACCTGTGGGAAACTATGGGGTAAGGTACTCCTGCAAACTGAGACTAAACAAATCCTCACATGACTGTGATTTTACCCTTCCAGTAGACAATTTAACTGATGCTTTGGAACACTATGATTCTCAGAATAGTGTTTGATGATCTGCACAAGACTGGAATCTATACATGGGACTATTTCTTTTACATTGGGAGCAATAAGTTCTCTCTCAGCAAAGACTACATCAGGTCATTGAAGAGGCATGGACTCAGTCGCGATCCGGGAAGGAGAAGCTTTTGCTAGCTGTTCATCATGAGCACCATCATCCTAAGCTGACTTTTTGATTCTTTTGAATATGGAAGGCAACTCTCTCAAAGCTTGGTCCATGGACTGAAAGTTGTCGACTTTTGAAGGTCTTCTCACTTATCAGCACCAACTTGACATCAGTGCTTGAAACTTTCAAACACACCAATTGGTTCCGTTTCAAATGTTTCTGTAAAGGGCAATTGTATCAGAAAGCAGAATGGCTTATTTCATGCGTTGTTGTCCTCTCAGTTAGTCAAACATGTATGTGGCATGTACAATTTACGATGATAAAATCTAATCCAATTGTGATGCATTTTTTTCGATGATACGTATAGTCTATTATGTAGTGAAAGATATTAGCGTGTACATTTTTCTTTCTTTCTATGCTTTGACTAATGATATAGCTACTCGTATGACGCTATAAATAAGTACTTGTGCAACAAATTATATCATTGGAAAGTAAGCATCAATCCCTAATCACATGATCGATTGACGAGACGGAGCACCATTTCCCCCTGTCCCTGTTCTTTGATGAAATTCAAGCGGGACTCTTGAAGGTTCGACCCGTTTTTGGACAAATATGGCCCGTCGAGGGAAGATGCAGCAGCACAGCAGTCGTGAGAGAAGTCTAGAAAGGGCAGGACAGCGAGATATCAGATAAGTCTAGAAAGGGCCATTTGCCAGGCCAGCCACCCAAGTTCGAGAAATGTCTCGTTGATCCTTACTATTTTCCCTATATATACAACCATCTCTTTGAGGCCCTGTAGAACAACACCTTAGACTTCAACTGAAGACACCACTGCATAATCAAAAGCTTCCATCTTTACACAATGGCTTCACAACTGCACATCTACACACCATTCCCCACCTTTTCTCCTGAGAGAATCAACAAACTCTTCTTCCCCAGACTTCCATGGCCAGGCAACAACAATGGCAGAGGAGCTGCTCGCAATGCGGTCAAAGTTAAGGCTGAGAAAAGAGACAACCTTGACAGTTTGCAAAGAGTTGGCAATCAACAACAGTCCCAACCAAAGAAAATGCAGCAGGTTGCAGCGCCAACTGGTAAGCTAACTAGCTCACTTGACAGCTTGTATAACTTCAAAAGCACTTAGCCTTTTCCCTAACTCCAGTTTTCAGTATGCTGAACTGAAGTTCTTTTCCTGCAGGGCTGTGGGATGGGTTTCCAGCAGCAAGGACAATGCAGCAGATGATAGACACAATGAACAGGATCATGGACGATCCCTTTTCCTACAGCAGTGGCTTGTGGCCTACTGCGATTTCTCCAGTTCAGGGAGATGGGTATGGAAGGGGAAGGACGCCTTGGGCGATACAGGAAGGTGAAAACGAGTATGGATTGAGGTTCGACATGCCTGGCATGACGAAGAACGATGTCAAGCTGTGGGTTGAAGACAATATGCTGGTTTTGAAAGGTGAAAAGGAACTGGACAAGGATGGAAATGGTGAAGCTGCTGCGAGTGGTGAAGATTGGCCGAGTAAGAGCTATGGCAAGTACAGTTTCAGAATATCTTTACCAGACAACATCGAGTTCGAGAAAATTAAGGCGGAAGTAAAAGATGGAGTGTTGTATGTCACTATTCCTAAAGCCAGTACCAGCCGCAAAGTCATCAACATTGATATAGAGTGAGAGAGTTCAATGGCTGACAGATCCAAGTTTGTCTTTGTAAAAATTTATAATCAGAACCTCACATGCATGTATGTAGACATCCACTACAGAAGATATAGAGAATGAACATTCTCTATCTTTGAACTATGCCAATGAGTATCACTTTAGAAGGTAAATGAGAAAGCCAGCAATAAAACACCTGCAACAGTTAATCAACTCTGTTTCTTCTGTCCACTTTTGGTAATCCGCTTCAGCCCTTGGCCGCCTCTCTTCATGCCCCTGCACCATCAACAATGGCACGGTATCAAGCCACTTGCCGACATTGGAATCAAGATCATTAATGGAAGTTGGAAAATGACTATACCTTTCATACAAGTACAAGAAGAGGTAGAAGAGAAATAGCAGAAACAAAACCAGGACTGAAGCAACTATATAGAGCACATTCCTCTTCTTCTGCAAGTTTCGAGAAACGAGATGAACAATCTAGGTGAGCTAAACAAGGAACAAACTATAGTCTATCAGGGAAATGAAAGCTGAAAACTAACTCATGAACCCAATAAGGTAAAATTACCTTGCCTCCTCTTGAGAAGGGCTTCCGGCCTCCCTTGCAAGTGTGGGCATCACAAAATTGCCGTAAGAACAGATCTGTCCAGCCATAAAGCATCATAACATAGTACATCATTACCTTTAAGGAATATGATTACATGAAACAGATTCTGAGGTTGCATTGAAATATCACCATTGAGACGACGAGCTGAGTGGCCGTCCTGGACTGGAAAGCAGCGATCAGCCAGACTCTGCACATAATATGATATTGATGAGATGAACAGCTCAACAAGCAGCGAAGTTGTTGTACAAATGGTTACGGTCATGTTACCAACAAAGAAGCCCACCTCACAAGCATGCTTATTCCTTGCTGCAGCTGCTGGATTGCACTTTGTCTTGCGTGGTGAATCCATCACGAGGTCACAATGTAATGCACCACATGAATCTGCCAAGCACCTGCCGGGACTCTGGGTTCAGTACAAGTATGACATCTGTCATTCAGAAGCCATGTTTGAAACGAAAGGTCCGGGCAGATGAATGTTTGATTCAGTAAATGAACAAAGACAGACAGATAGGAAGATTTCTTAAAGATTACAGTGAAAACTCCCTCCTAGAACAAGCTGTTTATATATGACTGAGGAAAAATTCTTTTCTGCGATATTATGGATTCAGTTGGCAGGACCTAACAGCTATCTCAATCTAAGTGGCCAGGGAAGAACCTCCTCCGGTGACTACTTTTATTATTGACTGGATAAACCAACTCACAAAATCAAAGAAATGAACTTCATGTTAACATACCGTATCTAAGGTGTCAAAGTGCCATTCATCAAGATGCTTGTCGAGATTTTTCTCTTCATAGAATGTCTTTTTGCAGTACCCACATCGCCATAGGTTGATATCTTCACGGGCTTTGCTCTGTTCTTGGAGACGGTAGAGATCATTCTCAGGGTGAAGTGGGCATTTCTTTGGAATGTGGTGCTTTTCCTTCTCAACAAAGGGGATCAAGTACTGAAAACAAACCAACCATCACAAAGATCAAAACATCTGGTGGAAGTTCATAGAAATAACAGGCATTCTATCGGATTACCTGCTCGATAATTTTCCGCGCCGCCCTGCTCCGCTCTCTCGAACAATGCACCTCATGAGCATGCGCTTTCTCTTCCTCAAGGGTTCTGAGCATCAACTTTGTGTAAGAACACATTGCCAAAAGAACTAAAGGTACAAGCTTTCATGGTCATTCCAGCTAACAGAGTGGTCTTGGATACCAAAGAAGATTGTTCATCCATTACCAAAATGAAGGCGAATTCCAGCAATCTACGTAAACTTTACCTTACAACAGCAGATTCTTCATGACCCTGGGGGAAATCAGCAAATTACCAAACAATTCAGGACAGGTTTTGGGGCAACGATCAAGAGCAAGAAACGCAGAAAAAATGACAACATTTCGATTCCTTAGCACCTGAAGCGGGGCAGTGGAAGAACAGGTGCTTCTGGATTGCGAAGAGATTGAGATGAAGAAGAAGAAGAGTACAATGGCGGATCTTAGCGAGAAATTCGTCATATCTCTATCTGGGCATGTTTTGACTCCTGGAGGGAAGAACCCACCGCTTTCAAATATTTAAAGATCGAAACTTTATCACTCACTGATGGGATAATCGATTGGCTTCGAACTTCGGGAGGAAGAACGAAAGAAAGAAGAAGAAAGGACTAGACTCCTGTTCTTGCCTAGCCGGCGAATCAAAGCGCTATAATAATTATTGAATTGGTCACTAGAGTTTTGGCAGCAAACAAATTGGTACTCAAAAGTTAGTTTAGTGATTAAATCATGCAAACTAGTAAGCTTAACTTGCTTAAGGGTCAAAAGTTAGGTAATCAGAGAAAATCAGGGTGGTAAAAGTAATAATTGCAATTAGACTTTGATGGTCCAATGTTAGAGAAAATCATACTCATATATTATAGCTCATTGGTTATTGATAAGCATGATGAATCATCACTAAGATGCCCGACTACATTGTTGCTATTGACTTTTAAGCAAGTGACAAACGTCGCCGTTTCTGGTTCTCCCTCCATGCTCTGCTGCCTTCCACTACAGTCTACAGGTGCTGGTGTTTCTCTTTCAGACAGGCAGCTAACTAGCTAAGGGAAGAGAACAAAAAATTATCAGATTCGGTTCTGAATATTTATATCGCTTCTTAAATCTCCAACAAGTCTAAACCCCAAATCCTTTCGAAAACTCAACAGCTCGAAGGAAAGTAATCATTGCTGGTGAAAGCACCCGAGGGAGGAAGAGATTATTTTTATGCCACTTCCTCGCCACTGTCCAACCATTTCCCTTTTCCACTACCGCTTGCTCTCAAAAATAACAATTCTCAAATGTTTCTCTTTGACTTACTCCAACCTTTCTCCCTAGTCAATGAAATTTAGATCACATCCACTTCGATTAAGGGCTTGAATTCGAGCTTCAATGGCTAAAGTCGCCGCCTTGATCTCGTTTGCCCTGATGGGTTTATTGTTCGTTGTCGCCGTCGTCGAAGGCGGGTCGCCGGTGGGGAAACCGGGGTACAGGATCCACACTTTGTTCTCCGTCGAGTGCCAGAACTATTTTGATTGGCAGACGGTGGGGCTAATGCACAGTTTCAGAAAGGCCCGGCAACCGGGACCCATAACGCGACTCCTGAGCTGCACTGACGAGGAGAAGAAGAGTTACAGAGGGATGCATTTGGCGCCCACTTTCCAAGTCCCTTCTATGAGTCGACACCCCAAAACTGGTGACTGGTGAGCGAAAAAGTTCACACTTAGTGAAGAATCTGTCCTTAGTGAATCAATTTGCTTGCCATAAAGATGTAAACTTTTACTGGGAAATCAGTAATGTGAAGTTTGCCTTGCTAGGAAATTAGTAATGATTAGTTTTTGTGTCATTTGTTTGTACTTGTGGTATATAGGTACCCAGCAATTAACAAACCTGCTGGAGTTGTACATTGGCTTAACCACAGCGAGGAAGCTAAGCATGTGGATTGGGTGGTGATTTTAGATGCAGACATGATCATTCGAGGGCCGATTATACCCACAGAGCTCGGTGCTGAGAGAGGAAGGCCAGTGTCTGCATATTATGGGTACTTTCACACTTAACCTTGAACAAGTTTAAGAAGATTTTGGTTTAGGAAGTACTAGTTTGGGTACTGCTTGATGATGATGATGATGATGATGATGATGATGATGACGAGTGCAATCTATCTGGCTGCAATGGAACACTTCATTGACTTGAAAGGCTTGCTTGATCGATAATTTTCGTGTATGGATGGTAACGTGGTAATAGTAATGGCGAAACAAGAATGGTGTTCTTCTGTCTTCAGCATATGCATTATATTCTTTTGTTCAAGTTCAGAGTTATATGGTCTGAGGCACTACCTTTGCCAGCAATTCTAGTTGCAAGATCAATCAGGTCTTTCCTTTATCATCCTTTTGGCATCAGGTTGAATAGAGGTCTTACAATAAACTTTACTATTCCAGATACTTGGTTGGATGTGACAATATACTGGCCAAAATCCACACAAAGCATCCAGAACTCTGCGACAAGGTTGGTGGGCTTTTAGCTATGCACATAGATGATCTTCGTGCATTAGCACCAAAGTGGCTTGCTAAGACAGAAGAAGTGCGTGAAGATAAGGCTCACTGGAGCACGAATATTACCGGTGACATCTATGGGAAAGGATGGATAAGTGAGATGTATGGCTACTCATTTGGTGCTGCTGAAGTAAGTTGGATGAGTTGCTGTCTTATTTTCCTTTTGCATCGGGCCTTCAATTCTTATGTCGTATCATTTTGTTTTCCCCCCCTGCGTTTATAGGTTGGACTTCGGCATAAGATCAATGATGACTTGATGATCTATCCTGGATATATTCCACGCCCCGGTGTCGATCCAATCCTGTTTCACTATGGCTTGCCATTTACTGTGGGGAATTGGTCATTTAGTAAACTGCAGCATCATGAAGATGATATCGTTTATAGATGCGGCGAGCTCTTTCCTGAACCTCCATATCCCAGAGAGGTACATGAACAGAGTAATGACAAGGTTTTGAACTATTTGGCCTTGTTCTACATATAGGCTTCCTGCTGAACCCTGTATGATCTTGGCATTTCACAGGTCTATACTATGGAATCTGAGCCGAATAAGCGACGGGCATTGCTTCTGAGCGTAGAGTGCATGAACACTTTGAATGAAGGGCTTGTATTAAGGCATGCTGCAGATGGATGCCCGAAGCCAAAATGGTCAAAGTACTTGAGCTTCTTAAAGAGTAAAACTTTTGCTAATCTTAGTCGTCCCAAAATTTTCACTCCTGGTGTACAGCAAACTATGGAAGCCGGTGAAGATCAGCAGCCACTCTTTGGTGAAACTATGAAACCACATCCAAAGATCCACACAGTTTTTTCGACAGAATGTTCACCCTACTTTGACTGGCAAACTGTAGGTCTTATTCACAGTTTCCATCTTAGTGGCCAGCCTGGAAACATAACACGACTTCTCAGCTGTACTGATGAAGACCTTAAGCAATATAAAGGTCATGATTTGGCTCCTACTCACTATGTTCCTTCCATGAGCCGGCATCCACTAACCGGTGACTGGTAAGCTAAATATTGTGGCTGCACCTTTCAAAAGATAGCAGTTTGCTGTTTGGTTCCCTTGTGTAACGATAATGCAGAAAACCAGCAGAAGAAGCTCTCAAGTGCTAACTGCTGATGATTTTGTGTTGCATGACAGGTATCCCGCAATCAACAAACCTGCTGGTGTCCTTCATTGGCTTAATCACGTGGGTGACATTGATGCTGAGTACATAGTTATTCTTGATGCTGACATGATTTTGAGAGGTCCAATCACACCGTGGGAATTCAATGCATCTCGTGGCCACCCAGTTTCAACTCCTTATGAGTAAGACTCAGACTCATGGCTCATTGCCACCATACCACTTCTGAAAGAACTTTTGACACGTCCTTAACATATACTTGGAAACTTGTTCTTCAAGGTACTTGATTGGCTGCGACAATGAGCTTGCGGAAATGCATACGAGCCATCCTGAATACTGTGACAAGGTTGGGGGTGTAATCATCATGCATATTGATGACCTCAGGAAGTTCGCTATGTACTGGCTACTTAAGACGGAGGAGGTTCGTTTCGATAAAGAGCATTATGCCACAAATCTTACTGGAGATATATACTCATCTGGCTGGATCAGTGAGATGTATGGCTACTCCTTTGGTGCAGCAGAGGTAATTGATTACTTTCCACGAAGTTCTTTGTCCATATGATATGATGAATCTCATCTTGCATATATTCACCATATGTTGAGAACCAGTCTCTGAACTAGATTCGCTCTTTGTATGTGCAGCTAAAACTACGCCATGTAGTGAGCCGGGAGATACTGATATACCCAGGATATGTCCCCGAGCAAGGTGTGAAGTACAGAGTGTTCCATTACGGTCTAGAATTCAGTGTCGGAAACTGGAGCTTCGACAAGGCCAACTGGAGAGACAAAGACATCGTGAACACTTGCTGGGCCCAGTTTCCAGACCCACCCGATCCATCGACTCTTGATCGAACCGACGAGAACATTTTACAGAAAAACTTACTCAGCATAGAATGTGGGAAGAAGTTGAACGAAGCCTTGATGCTGCATCATAGGAAGAGAAACTGCCCTGATCCCAGCAGTCCCATCTTAACTTCGCCCAAGCTTGAAACCAGAACTTCAAAGAAATTTGGCAAGATCGAGGAAAAACCGAAAACCAGCACGGTTCCAGCAAGGCACACCCAGGAGTTGTCTCAAGCCGATCAGAACGATGGCCATTTCCGGTCTTTGAAGGTCTGGGTGGTTGCTCTATGGGCATTTTCTGGTTTGGGATTTGTGGTAGTCATGACCATGGTGTTTTCAGGTCGTAAAAGTAAGGGAACGAAAGGTAAAAGCAGTAGAAGTAGGAAGAGACATTCGAGTCAAGATAGTTGGACATGAGTTAGCAGAGTTCAAAGAGGGTTTTTTTCCCTTTCACTACTACTATACATATTTCGACGAGAGAGAGCATGACACTGAATGTGGAGGATATTCTGGCAAAATGCACAAAGGTTTTGGTCATTTATACCACACTGATGAGGATGATGACAGGGAAGAAACAGCATACAGCTTAGCTTATGTATAATTCGTACTTGCATTTGTTGTATTGCCTGTCCGAAAGTTCGGAGCTTTGTGCAGAAGAGTTCTGATGGAACCTCTGTACTGCTCTTATAAAACTGGAGGGATGACAAGAGAACTTGGAAGGAAGAAACTGAAGAAAAGATTGCGCTGATGGGGGATTCTGTTCGTCTTCACTATTTCTCCAACATATAACCAACAAGTTGTGAATTCTGGTCTTCTTTACCATATTCTGTATTGATTGATCCATTATTAGTAATGCATATGCCCGAAATTTTGTACTACTAGTTGAATTTCAAACAACTACCAATGATTGATTTTGGAGAGAATTAATGTAGATAAGCTTTAGTGTTCTTAGGCCACTTAAAAAGAGTTAATTTCTAGGCAAAATTGTTTAGTGCACAAAATCAGAAGAATAGTTCAAACTTCTAACTTCACCAAAATTGTGCCTTGTAGGCTTCCAAAGTGACCAAACAACACACTACTTGATCAAAAAGCAAAAAGTCGGTCACTTTGAACTTTTTTTTTTTTTTAAGGAAACGTCAAACAAAGACATTACTTTTCGTCCAGCAACCACCCTCTCCAAATTCCAATCCCAGCTATCTCTCGTCTTCTTCCTTCCTCAAGCGGACTTCCAACTCCAATTCAGTAGGAAGACGCGATGCCGAACTGGGAACTGCAGAACTGCTGTCAGAAGGACCAGGTCACCTTCTTGGTCACCATCGGCGTCTTTTCCCTTGTTATCCTCGCGGTAATGCTTCTTCCTAATCTTAATTCATAAGTTTCAAGTCAGATTAAGTCAACTTCGTTCATGATTCCCGCCACTGCCATTTAGTCTGTTCGCTTAGAAAATGTGTTTATCAGAGTTTGTTTCCGCTGGATTTCCAACCGATCCACTCTTTCTATCACTGAGTTTGAGAGTTTTGTGGGAATTTGATTTGTCACAGCTATGGCGGACAGTACTGCTAACGCCTTTCAAGCTCATAACCGTGTTTATGCACGAAGCTAGTCATGCCATTGCTTGTATCCTCACTTGTGGGAAGGTTAGAAATTCTTTCCCACCCCGTCCTCCGGTGTATCCTTTTTGTCATGATGATGATGTTCATCAAGCTGGCGAGTAGTTTATAAGTTTCTTGGATCAAGCATTTGGACTGCCTCTCTGTTTATCGATTACGCATTGCTCCAAAGACATAATCTTTCAAGGCAGTTTAACAGAACTAGACTATTTTCGTGTTAGATGTCGTCCCGGTTAAGAATCAACCATGATAATGATTTTGTAATTTACTTATGTCGTACATTTATGCTGATCTAATCTTATGTTCATGGGCTCCAAAGCTAGAACAGCGAAATTTGTCTCTAAGAACACCCAAGCTGTTTGTATCACTTAATCATTTCTTTGTTTACTGGTTAGACCATTGTTGAGCAAAGGGATTCAACTGCTTATTGATCTCCAGGTGGAAGGGATTCAGGTTCACGCCAATGAAGGAGGTGTGACTCAAACACGTGGTGGCATATATTGGCTGATCTTACCTGCAGGATGTAATTCACTTTTCCTTTAAATCATTGTTATTTTACTATTGCTAGACATGGTTGACAAGGAAGATATATTGAAAATGTCATGCTTAATTTACGCTAATGTAACAAAAGCGGCAACTAATGCATTCGTCACTTTAGGGCGCAGTATTCACATCTATGCAAGTATGCATACATGTGTTTGTTAGAAAATCTTGGTGAAGGTAGAGAGATGGGAACGAGGAAGGAGGGGGTGGAGTTCGGAAAATAGAGATGAGCTAACTGCAGATAGCAGTTCACACCCTGGATATTAGATAAAACTAGGTGATACATACTAAAATAAATATCTTTTGATATGTGACCATTAGATACAGAAGGGAAGTTAGACTTCTCTCAAGTTCTATATTCATTTAGGTTGAGGAGATAAAACTTAGTAACTTACATGAGCAGATCATGAAGAAAGATGTATAATGTGGATGTGCCATGGGTCATTGCTTGCACATGGAATAATTGGATCACAAGTCAGCATATTTGGCTAAAGGTTGGTGTTTTGCTAACTGAAGGGAAGAATTGAGTTTGAGGTGATTTGATGGACATGTTTGCTGGATAGCAATTTCTGCTTCTCTAAAGAAGGTAACACAAGAAGCACTTCCGTTTCAGTTGGCAAAAGGGCCCTATTCCACAATAGTAGAAACTTCCAATAGGACTTTGAGTTCAATGAGTAAAGCATGCAAAAGCTGCTCCTGGATCCTGGTACTATTTGTTCTTTGCTTCTTGTTATTTTATTCGTTCTCCTCTTTCCTCTTATGAAACTAAATGGTGATGCTTGAACAGCAAGCTGTAGGACACATTGCTGAGGATCAGCTCAAGCTTCTCTACTTCAGTGAAATGTTTTCTCAAGTCTGTGGTTCATTAGAGCAAGGTGTAGGTGTTAGTGCCCCAAGTTTTCGGGTATTAAGATTCCTATGGTGCATGCATGGTCACAAGTATTTTGTTGCATGATAATTTCTTGATATAGTTTACCGAGAAGCCGGACTTGTCCGTATTTGGAAAAGAGGACAGGATGGTATTCCAAATGTTGATTATTATTATTTTTTCGGTACTTTGCCCGCAGATCTTGGATCTTCATTTTGGGGGATGCTTTTGATACTTGCATCAACCAATCTTCTTACTGCAAGAATTGCTGCTGGTTGTTTGGGTCTTGCGCTACTCATAGTGCTGTTTATTGCCAAGAATGTAAGTGAACAAATCTATCATCATTCCACTTAGCCCCTTGCCCTTTGGTGGCTTTTGTTCGTTTGTAAATATTTAATTGATAGATCGTATCCTTTAAAGTTTCGCATTCTCACTTTTCTGCATAATTTTCCATACAGTGGACGCTTCGAGGACTTTGCATTGGTGAGGGCTCTATCAGTTTTTGTACAAAATATCCTATCTGCACGAGTTATGAACATTCTTTGCTTTTCTGAGATGTTTACTCTAACAAGTTTAAATGTTCAGGATTCATTGCGTTTCTTGCTATCATTTGGGTATTACAAGAATACACCAAAGTACGGATCCTTCGATATGTTATTCTCTTCATTGGTATAAGCATCCATATCAAGTTTTCCTTTTTCCCCCTCTTTTTCAATTAAGTAGCTTCTACTTGGCCCTTCCATCATCAAAGTTAGTTAGCTGATTCTACCACCTTATTCCCTCTGCAGGTGTCATGAACAGTTTGTTTTCAGTTTATGGTACGCATCCCATGGTTCTTGTATTACCCTTTTTCCATGACTTATTGAGCATTCATTAAGGTTTTCTAGTCCTCAATGCAAAAATTGGTTGGTCTGCAGACATATATGACGACCTAATATCTAGAAGAGTCAACTCTAGCGATGCTGAGAAGTTTGCAGAACTCTGTCCTTGCCCATGCACAGGTGTTGGATGGGGAATGATCTGGTGAGTCCTGTCTCTTTGACGAACTAAAGTAAACCATTAGTGTTACTTGTATGATCCTAAGTCGGCAAGAATTCTTATGATTCCTTAGTTGCCTGTATGATGAACCATTGACTGCTTCACCTTCCTGACTAATTGCAGGGGAATGATATCATTCTTGTTTCTCTGTGCATCTATATACCTAGGGCTCGTCATCTTATCTTAAGGTACAGTTTTTCGTCACCATAATGATTTCTGAAAGGTGGCAGCTGCTCAACTAAGCATTTCTTCCCTTTTCTCTATCAGGTTCAAATCAAGGATAACTGGCTTACTTCGGCATTTGTTCACTGTGGAGAGCATTCTGTAGAGTTGTATTGTGTCCATGCCCAGGGCTTCATTCTTTCGACCCTTTGTGTTTCTGGGGGGTCGACATTTGAATACTCTGATATGATTGGTGTGTATAGGGTGGTGTCCAATGTGCTGAACTTTTTCCTGGTTGACCTCAACAGAGTCTAGGCTACTCACTTCACGGTCAGCACAGGAATCATACTCATTCTTAGGCTTGTCTAATGGACTTGAGCACTTCTTCATCTTCTTGGTCACTGACCCTTTTTCGCTTCAAATGGTATTTGCTTACGTTGTGAACATGATTAGCTAGGCAAACCATCTTACTTATTTTCATTCAGACAGACGATACTGCACAAGTATCTCTTCATTCTTGAGTTGCACCACAAGCAATCCCGGCTACACCTTAGCCAAATTGTCAAAGGAATTGTTATGACAACTTTCAAGCATGAGTGGGGTTATGATTCAAATTTGATCAGGTGCAATATGAGTCTAACATCCCAACTGGATAGAGTATTGTTGAGAGGGTAATACGAGGAATAGGGTTGTGTTTTGGGGTTCGAGAAGCATGATTAATGCAAAAGAGAATCTTTAAAAGCTTTGGGACTAATATACCTAGAGCCGTTAGCATAGATTTGTCTCCCTAGATTTAAACACAAACTTAACAATCCGGACGTTGAAAGGATTCCTTGTGTCTTTTTTGGCCGTAAGCATAGATTTGTCTCTCTAGATTTAAACACAAACTTAACAGTCCGGACGTTGAAAGGATTCCTTGTGTCTTCTTTGATGTCTTTCCCATTCTTATGTCAACAATGGTGGGCCACATGTGGTGGCTAAGCTTTAGTAAAAATGAGTAATTAATCATCAAGGTTAACCACATAAAGTTTTGTCAACTAATATAGTATAGTCATCAAATTCGACGTAAGTGTTTTAGAGATCGTAGAATGAACGAATTGAGTTAAAGGGTTTGCTTTACCCTTTAATTTTTAAAAATAAGATTGATTATATGCTGTATACTCGTGCTATGAAAAGATCATTCAACACAACAATCATAACTACATATAAACAGATATTTCATCAATGAGATTTAAAAGAAAAAACATTATATTGCCTTTAAGTGTTTAGTACAAAACTCGTGAACAATAACTCAAATTGTATTGCCTTTAAGTAATCAAAATTAAAGGTACTAATCAACAGCAAAATGGACCCTTGTTTGAATAAAAAGAAAACTGAAAAAGCTTTGCTTCCATCATGGTTGTCACGCCGGCCGGCGTGCCACTAGTTGAACCTGTACCGGTCATAAAACCGACATGACACCACCGGTATGACCGGCATGATCGATATACGAATCTCCAAATAAAATGATCTTATCTTAGTGAATTTAATTGATAAAATGTAATTTATTATTTATTTTATGTGTTAAAAAGTTAAATGTTAATGTTATTTGTTGGATTCAAGTACAAATATTTAGGTATTGACGTTAAATGTCGTGTTTAAATATGAGTATTTGTAAATTATTTATAATATTAACCGGCATGAACCAACACAAACCGATATGTACCACCAGTTAAACCATTCCACTTACTAAACCGGCACACTGACATAAACCGGTTTGACAACCTTGCTTCCATATCATCATCACATCCACCTGGCCCAGGCCCAGGCTCAGGCTCAGGCTCCTTTTCTATCTTGTGTGGTGCCCTTTTTGTTATTAACCACAGCAAAATGGACCCCTCACTCCTCTTGTTGCCCCAACCCAATGCAACCTTTTTCTGCACTTCCCCTCGTTTTGAAATTCAAAATTTTTAAACGGCTAACCACCATTCCCTTGAGAACATCTCATCGTACCACAAAAACGACACAATAAAAAACCATTAATGAGTTTCAAGCCCAACATTGGCCAACTTTGAGGTTTCCCAAATTTACTCATCACCCACAAAGCTCCAAACCCCACAGCTCTCATGGGGGAAACAGTTACCTGTCTCATGCAGCAGCAGCCATTCTCTTACACTGCAGGCATCTCCAATGAAGCCAAAGAGGTATGTTTCCTCTGACACACTTCACTTCTTCTTCTTCTGCTTCTTCTTCTTCTTCTTCTTCCTTTTCTGTCTGCTAGGTTCCTCATGGAATCAATCTTGGTAAGGGAAAAAGAAATTATAAGGCTTTGACCTTTTATAATGCAGGGGAACTTGATCAGCTCACTGGGGCAATCTGTCTCCTTTGGGAGGTTCACTTCAGAGTCTTTGTCATGGGAGAAATGGTCGACTTTCTCTAGCAACAAGTATGTCGAAGAAGCTGAGAAATTCTCCCGCCCTGGCTCGGTGGCTGAGAAGAAAGCCTTCTTCGAGGCTCATTACCGCAATCTCGCTGCTCGAAAGGCCGCCGCAGAAGCTGCCGCTGCTGCAGAAGCAGCTGCAGCGTTGCTTGAGCAGGGGAATGGTGGGGAAATGGAGGAATCAGAACCAAATGAGGTTAATGAACCAAACCCTAGTTTTGGGGTAAAGGTTGCAGCTTTGGTTGATGTTGAATCTGTTGAGAGCAAGGAGAAAGGTAATAGAGATGGTGGTGTTGATGGTGCAGAGCAAATGGAGAAGCCGTTGTTGAAGGTCACGAGAACAAAGTCAAAAGGTTCTGCACGGAAGTCCAATGAATCTGAACCAGTTAAGGCCGATGAAGGTAGAGAGCAGATGGAGAGGCCATTGTTGAAGGCAATGAGAACAAAGTCAAAAGGTTCCGCACGGATTTCGAATGAATCTGAACCAGTTAAGGGCAGTGATGGTAGAAAGCAAATGGAGGAGCCATTGTTGAAGGTAACGAGAACAAAGTCAAAAGGTTCTGCACGGAGCTCCAGTAAATGTGAACCAAACAAGGCCAATGAACCCAACCCACCACCCGAAAACGAAGCTGTCGAGAGTTTTTGCACAAAGGTAGAAGCTTTGACCGAAGTTGAAGCTATTGAGAGCAAAGGGGAAAGTACAAACCAAATGGAGAAGCCATTGTTGAAGGTAAGTAGAACAAAGATAGAACAGTTTGTACTTTTAGCTCAAGTGGGGATCTTTAGCTTGAGCTTATGTCCAATTTTTTTAGCAGGATTTCATCTCTAATGCAAGTGATTCTGACTCGTTCACCAAGAAGAAGCCTGCAGTTTCTTTCTCAAGCAACTTGGTTGTAAGAAGAAAAGTTCCAGCAGCCAGAAATGAAAGCTTGACTGCTATTACTACTCCAGTCAACAAGAGATCGTCGACACCAAAATCAAGTCAGAATAAGGCCATCGACTTCACTCCTGTGAGAGAGATCAATAGAATAACTTCCACCATCATCAGGAAGATTGATTGTTCTAGAGCCGGTTCGAGTAAGCCTGCGATGGCTAAAGATTATAGCTCATTAGTTTCAACTCCATTCAGAACTCCATCTAGAGAAGAATCTAAGAATCACCCAGAAACAACCCCACAGTCAGAATTCTGGGCAAGAACACCTCTTCATCCATCAGCAGCAGCATCAGCCTCTGGAAGCAAGGCAGTTAGGCCAAGATGGCATTTCCTACCTACAGAGTAATAGTCATCCAGCTAGAATGAAGCCCCATTTTTATTGAATGAATAACCAAAGATTTACAAATGAAATATGTTTCTTTTATGGCAGTTGCTCGAAGTTTATGAGTGGCAGCAGAAACAAATCCCAGCAGTCACCATGCTTTCCTACGCCTTTCAGCTTGAGAACAGAAGAAAGAGCTGCAAGACGAAAAGGGGTGAGCTTTAGAGCAAGTTCAGTATGAAAGATTTGAGTTTCCAGGTGGCTTTGATTGAAATTTTCCATCTCTTTGTACCCTTTTGGATGCTTTGTTACAGAAGCTGGAAGAGAAGTTCAATGCTAATCAAGCTCAAAAGGTTCAGTCACAAGCAACAGTCAAGGTATGGCTATACCGCCTTCTATAGTCTTCAATATTTCGCTATAGGTCTACTTTCATTCAACGGTTGTGCAATTGTAGGAGAAGGCAGAAACAGAAATGAAAAAGCTGAGGAAGAGCCTTTGCTTCAAGGCCAGGCCATTGCCAGGGTTCTATAAGCAAAGAGTAACACCAAAGAACCAGATGGACAAGGTTATAACCGAAAGTTTCCATCTTTCTGCTTAGTAGCTTCACATTTCCCGTTCTGGGGCTAATCTGATTCTGCATGCAGGCTCCACTGACACATCCTTCTCCATCACAAGAACCAGAGACTTCAACTGCAAAAATGGTGAAGAATACTAGTACTATTCCACAGATTGTTCAGAGAAGTTCAAGCAAGAACAGTGGCAGAAATGTGAAGAAGAACGACGACAGCTGCAACAATCCGCGGTGCCTACGTGCGAGACTGAGAGCAACTGCTGCGGAGAATAGTTGTCCAAATATCCAGCAACAAGCAACCTGAAGATTGCTAGATTCAAGTTCTTTCGTGGGGGGTGAGATCTTGTGAAGCAGGCTTCACAGTATAGAACAGTACCACTGTCCACAGAGAGGGCCAAGCTGACCTTGTTCTGTCATTAACCATTGACCCATTTTCTTTGATCTTCCTTTCTTTTCTTCATAGAATGAGCTGATTAGTTCTTGTATGTTTTGAACCATGTCATGGTTGAGCTTCTGAAATCTGAATGACTAATGTTTGATCCATTGGAATGAGCTCGAGTGTTCAGTTGCTTCAACTTCCTCATTATAACATACCAATCCATAGCATAGCTGTTAGCTACCTTAATAACCAAATGAGAAAGTACAATACATGGGTCTGGTTGCAACAAGCTTGTGAAAAGATCAAACAACAATCTTTGCCACATTTTCATTGCAATATCATCATCCACAAAAAAATTCCTTGGTGGGTTACAACAATGAAGATATTGGCTTTGGTTAGGTGCTTCTTAGTACGAATAATATCAGAGTAACCAAGTTCGATCTAAGGGTTCTCACAATCATGATCATTATCCTGACAACCGTCATCATCACGATCTGCATCAATGGCCAACTTCTCTAACAACCCGGCAACCGAAACCCCACCGTAACAATAGCCGGAGTGGAACCGGCTGCCTTCCTCTGCCCAACGAGCTGCTACGCCGTGATTGGACACTGCGTCATGCCACCTCAACTTATGGCTCCCCTTGATGTTGTTCTTTGACTTACCGTTGTGACGCGTCCCGCATCTTCCGATGTACTTGGAGTGGTTGGTGGTGGGCTTGGGCGGGACCGGAGTGAATGTTCCGACGATCAGAGGGGAGCTCGAGCTCTTGATGAGCCGGGCCAAATTTGGTTGGTTTGGGCAGACCGGGTAGGTTCTAACAATTCCATGTTGCCTCCCTTCCCTCTTCATAATTTTTGGATGGAGTTTTGGCCTTGTAAATAGAAGCAACCAACAACTACTGCTTTAACAAAAGAAAAGGAGGGTAAAGATAAACAGAGGAGGAGGATAAACAGGGAGTCTGTGAGGACTCGACCCTGATAATATATGAGTTAGGTGGGTTAGATTATAGTCTATATACTCTACAGGACTATGAGCCCTTTGGTAATGGTGGATGATTTTGCAGAAATGGATCTATGGCTTTGGTATTTATAATAGCAAGAAAGGGAAAGAGAGAGGAAAGGAGAGACCTTGGGGAGCAAGGATTGCCTTACTAAGGTGGGCGGTGTTTGAAATGAATGGTCTAAAACATAGCTTGGTTCCCAAGGTCAACTTCTTTGCAACCCATGTAGAATGTAGACAACCACACCCACCAAAGTTGGCTTAGCTCCTTTCCTATCTGTTCCCCCCCCCCCCCCCCCCCCCCCCCCCCCCCCCCCTTTTTGTCATAGATAGTTCGTGATAGATAGAAAGTTACAATGCACAGGAAAATAAATAGCGGTAGTCAACCAAAGGGGTCGCTACCGATGCAATGGTCTTTTGTACCACACAATGGGCAGCCCTGTTAGTACTACGGGGAGCATAGACAAACTAAACAAATGTAAAAGAGGTCTTTAGCAGCCACACTTCCTCTAGCACCGCTCCACCCCGATCATGCTTTGTATCATTCTCCAAAGCTCGGTGTATGACCAGTTGCGAGTCACCACAAAAACACACAGAAGAGTAACCATTACGTAATTTAAAAGCAACTCTAAGAGTATCTATTTTGAGATAATCTGATAATTTCTTCTGCTAATAAGTCAATGTATGTTTTTAATAGTTTTGGCAATCTTTAAATTTATGACATTTTAAAAATTCTTTGTAGGATAAAGGTGGAGTCAAGTTTTAGAGTGACTTGTGTTAGTTACAATGACATAATCGACACACAAATGCTAGTCAGATCAAGATTTGATGAGTAGCGATTTTATAACGTGAGATTGTGCTATATGTAAACTTCAATTAAAATTTGGGAGGTTATCAGCCAACCACCTTCACGAAAACTACTAAAAACAAAGCTGAAACAAGTTGGATTTCATATTATTTCCCAATGCATTACTTACAAGAATCGACACCCCTTTACTTAAGAACTTAGAAGTCCAAGACTCAAACATTTGAAGCTTGTGGCTGATGATCATGAGAAGAATCGATAAGTGGATCGTTGTTCCCTTTGTCCGTCGCCTTCCCATTGATACCACTCGTTTTCTTCGGTCGATAAAGAATGTAATGTTGGACCATAAACAAAATGTCGAAGAAAATTGAAACCTGCAATGAAAAATTCAAGCAGAAATGACACCTTACGAGGAAAGCCTTCAACATGATTAACTTCAAAGATGTGTTGTGTATTCTACCCAAAAAAAAGAAGATATGTTGTGTAAGTTTACATACCAAAGAGAGCAATGTCTTCCCTATGTTGCCATAAAAGTTCACCCAAGAATCTGGAACAAGCAAAGGAAGGTGGTTCAATCAGCTCAACCTCAGTAAGCCTAAATTGCGAAACGGTTGGTTATATTATGATGGAGGAAGGAATGAACAACATACTTTGGTCGATCGATTGTGTAGCCATTTGTCCGTAATTGGCAACACCACCGGTGAAATCAAGCAGAATGTTGCCGATGCTGAACCCCTCAGTGCTTTTCCTCATGAAGTTCATTACTGCCTGTGGGATATACTTGATCACCGTCATGGAGACTTGAATGAAGCTGACAGCCAAATGACAGTGAAACTAAGCATTAATGGCCATAGGCTATGAAGATGCTATGACATGAAAGAGGTTAAGGAGCAAACTTACTTAAAGATGGAGATGAGCCATAGCCAAGAATGGCTAGGTAAAGCAACGAAGACACAGACTGCAGCGAATAGCCATACTACACTGACTATTCCTATCGAGATCTTGGAGATTGTCTGAGTTCCTCGCTGTTCCGAGCAGAAAGAACAAGTTTGGATTAGGCCTGGCCAAAGATGTAGAAGTTTTGAAACAATCCACTGAATGAGAGAATTCAACACCACCTACTTCATAGATGAAGACTTGGAACAGCGTGATTGCAGTCAATACAACGGCGTGTATGGAGAAAGCAACATCATTCGCAGCAACTGGTATCATCTGTAAGAACAATATGTTTTATCTTCATCACAGACTTTGGGGAGAAATAGAAGAGCTAGCTAGCAACAGCATCCAAAACGTTCCAACTTATATTAAACTATCAGAGCCCATTCTATTGAAGAATTCCAAAATTCAGTCTCCCTAATCATCACAATCGTGTAAATATGTTCTGAATCTCTGTAATCTTAAATTCAATCTCTATATAATCATTCATTCCAAAACCTAACCCTAAACCTAGATGAAGTTTGAGCTAAAGACTGCAACTTTGAACAAGTGCATCCCAAACCCACTACAGAAAACATCAATTAGCAGAGAAAACACAGTGGAAATCTACAAGTTCAGAGTGAAGAGAGTGTGACCTGTTCATGGCCATACTTCTCGAAGTACTGCTGCTGGGCAGCAGGGCTGAAGTAGAGCACAGTGTTGTATATCAAATACGAAGAGTGCTTGGTCAAATTCAACAGCAGGAAATCCAAGCTCAGCCCCACCACACTACCAGGTCAATACAAACGCAAATCAAAATTCATAGTGAGAGAGAGATGAAAGATTAGAGAGAACAAGGAGCTGATAATTTGCTCTGTTTCTTTGTTACCTCTTGCGGCGGAAATTCAAGATGACCTGTGGGTAGAAACTGATGGACCATGAGACGAAAGCGAGCCAGCCCAGTGTTTGGTAAGTGATTTCCAGGGGAAATGAATTCCACGACGCCATCAATTTTATCATTGTCCTATCCTGTGTTGCTCAGTTCCTCAGTGTTCCTGGTTTGGCAGAGAAATCGGCTTTTATATATAGATCTTTTCCGTCGGAATGGCGTGAGGGCTCTCTCTCTATTTGTCATCTCATTTCATTTCCTTCCAGGGCCGCCAACCGGTGACAAGAAAGCATGTGGACGGTTATACGGACGTATTCAACTATCAAGAGTTCTTAGATTGGGGACTAGCAAGCAACGGCCGTTTGTTTGAGGGGCCGGTTATAGAAACCGCCACTGAACTTTGGGACTAATTGACAAATTGGTCACTGAACTTCGATTCTTTACCAATGTCTATTGCCACACTACAACTACAACTACAACTCTACAAGGATTTTTGTCAAAATTGTTAAAGACCTGTGGATCGACTAATAGAAAATATCGGCACAATTGCAAACAAGAGTGATTATTGGGAGAATTGACGAAACATTGAGCTCCAAATCAGTTAATGAGTGCTAAAGAAGTGAATTGTGAGTTTGATTAATACTAGATTTGGAGAAGCATTGAGGATTTGCATTGACAAGCAACTATGATAAATTAATAAGCATAATGGATGGTGAGTTTGGAAAAATATGCCATAGACATAAGTAAAGTCCAAACTCGAACCAGTGGAAAAAGATACAATAGACACGACACATTAACAATGTTAAACGTCGAACATCCGACTAAGGGAATTTGACATCAAAATAAAATAAGTTCGAGCTTTTGTAAACTTTGGATGAGAAATAGGGCAATTGGAACCACAAGCCGAACAATAGGGGTTAACTATCCTCAAATGTCACAAGCCAAAGCACCAATCTTTCTAGTACTACTGCCAAGGAGGTGCAAGGTCAAGCTAACTTCACAGAACATAGGCATCCCCAGTAAAACCTGTATTATTCTGAAGAGAAGAGGGACAAAAGTCCCAAATGACAACACTTAAATACAAAGAGGATCGATTGAGCGAAATACAATTGTTTGTACAAATTATTTAAAACTACCACAAAGCAAGTTTATATCCGAAATAATGAACTGGTCAATGCAAATCCTCAATGCTTCTCCTCCAAATCTAGTATTAATCAAACTCAAGCAGCAGGACCGCTCATTTGAAGACCCTTGATATTCTGGATCTGCTTCCCAGGGTTCAACCCCTTTGGGCAGGCACGAGCGCAATTCAAGATAGTATGGCACCTGTAGAGCTTGAACTCGTCGTTCACGGCATCCAGCCGCTCCTTGGTGTACTCATCTCGGCTGTCGCTGATCCATCTGCATTTGTTTCAGAAGAGTTTCAAATAGGGTCAAGTTAACGACATACAGCAAGTATTGCGATTTATAATCAATGCAGGTTAACCATAAAACTCAAGTCACAATCCTCAAAGAAATAAAATAATAACAAACTAACTGCTCTTGTCGCCAAGTTCTGCAATATTATATCATGACCGGTTTCCCATCTCCTTTACTCTATAACACCCTATAGAGGTACGCAATGGATTGCCCACAACAGCAGAACACATCTTGATCACGGTTACAGACCCTCTAGATTAGTGCTTTAAACTTGAACCAATCAGATCAATATGAGTCTTAACAGGGGTTAGAACATATGTTTATATGACCAAACAAAGAGGACAATTGCTTCCAAATCTCAAAGAACAATTATCAAACATAACAACTTGACAGTAGTAATCAACACCAAGGTACAATCAAATGAGCACCACGATGCATCCCAATTCACACCATTCAGTGCCAACTCCCGGATAGTCTCACAAGCAAATTGCATAGAAAGGACAAACACCGCATATCATTCAATAAAATCAACAGCCTAGCACCAAAACCATCCTAGCAATGAAGAGCGCAAAGAAATGTCCAATCCGAGACAAAAACTGGCTCTTAAATGAAAGGCATAATACTATTCATATGATCCCCAAATGTTCCGTACCATATTCAACACATAGAAACATGCACATTAAGCTTCTTTAGCAGAGATGAATATCTATCACCAGCCTAGCTAATTTGCTAAGCCTGTGCATTTGTATGAGCAACTTCTCTAGACACCTAAAATAGAGCAAACCAGTCCTAGGTCTCACAGCTCTAACACCATGGAATTCGCTAAGCACATGCATTTTCCTACTGAATTCTCTACACAATCTAATCATTGAGCAATGCAATCCCAGTTCAGGCATATCTAATCCACTTCCTCCATGTCCACCAACTAGAACCATCTAACAGTCACTATAACCAAGAGAATCAGAATTTTACCTGTTAGCATGAAGCAGAGCCGCAGGTCCCAAGTACGACTCTGGGTTCCACCAATAGCTCGGGCACGAAGTGCTACAGCAAGCACACAATATGCACTCATACATCCCATCCAGCTTCGCCCTATCCTTCTTACTCTGCAGAATCTCCTTCCCTGGATTCTCCGGCGGGCTCTTCCTCTTCAGCCACGGCTCAATACTCTTGTACTGATTGTAAAAATTCGTCATGTCCACCACGAGATCCTTAATCACGAACATGTGTGGCAGCGGCGTGATCATCGTCGGCCCAGCGGACGATTCAGGAATCTTGGTCAAGCAAGCCAACCCATTGCACCCGTCGATGTTCATCGCGCAGGATCCGCAGATCCCTTCCCGGCAGGAACGTCGGAAGGTCAGGGACGGATCCATCTCGTTCTTGATCTTGATAAGGGCGTCGAGCACCATGGGCCCGCACTCCTTGAGGTCGATTTGGAAGTCCTGAAGCTGCGGCTTCGACGGGTTGTCCGGATTCCATCGGTAGATTTGGAAGGTCTTGACGTCGGTGGTTGGGCGGGCCTTCGGCTCCACCTTCTGTGCCTCCGCCTCGGAGGCGTGAGGGCGGGCCGCCACCAGCCTCGCCGCTGTCGATGGTGACGCCACCGCCGTTCTGGCCAGAGATACGCCGCGTCTCAGTAAGCTGGACGCCATTTTGGGCTGGTTCGTTCTTTTTGATGGATTTCGCCTTTGGGGGATTGGACTCAGAGAGAAAGGAAGAATGAAAGGGAAGAAGACGACGAAGCGATGCGGGGAGAATGAAAGCAGAGGGGTAATAAGGTAAAATGAGGCGGTGGGAATTGTGGCGTGTAGTGTGGTTACGTAAGGGAGATTGAATTGGTGCCGTGGATTGGTCCGACTTTTCGTGTTAGGGTGACGTGTCAGAATATAGATCGTAGGTTTTGTGGCCGAATTGGGAGGGTATTTCTCCTACTGTATGGATGGCGCTGAACTATTGCCGGTAATTGGATTGGGAAGAGTGAAGAGAGCGTGTGGCGGCCAGACTGCCGCGTTGGGCCCAATCATAAGATAAGCTTGGTATCTTCGGGCCCAACTGATTCTTCTTGCTGAAAGCCCACTGACGCAGCCCAGAAGGAATAAGAGCATTACGCACCAAAAGTAGGGCTAGGAAAATAGACCAGACTGTTTGAAAAACCATGGACCAAACCAGACCGCACAGTTTGGTCCGGATCGTAGATCGTGAAGAATGGTCTGGTACATTGTCTGTATTATATGAAGTTTTGATCTCTTGGTCTGGTCTGGTTTAGACCGTGATTTATCGGACCAAATCGTGGATCTAGCCGACTTCACAATACATGTTAGAATCCCACTCGACCACTCTCCCAACTCCCCCAACGAGACTCAACACTCAAGTCTCAACCTTAATTTTGAAAATCTCGTCCCCTCCTTCACTGACAACCACATTTCACTAGAGAATAGAGACGATCGTGTCTCCATATGACATTACGTTAATGTTCGTGACGTTATGGTGCGAGTTGGGATTCTTTGATTTTGTATCTTTGTTATTTACTAAGATTTAGGTAGTCAAAATTATTCATGCATGTTGGATTTTATGTTTTAATGCAAAAAAAAAAACATTTTTTCCCCTCAGTTATTTGTTCAATTTTCAGTGTGGTTGACTTAACAAAATGTTCATTTTTTATTCAATATGGTCTGTCTGGATCAGACTGCATAGACGTGGTCTGATCTCGACAGTATAGTATGTGTTCTGATATCTGATCTATACTTTAGTCTCTCGGTCTGGACCGTAGACCGTCTATATGATCTGGTTTAGACCAGACCCACCATTTTCCAGCCCTAACCAAAAAGAATACTTGAAAATACTCTAAATACATGATATTTTGACAAAAATACACAAAAGCGTATAAAAGTAGACGAGAAAAATGTGTAAGGACCAACATGATTAGATTATTGTCAGCCAAATGGTAACCTAAACTGATTATCTCTACTTTGTTACAAGAATTATTACCAATTTTCCATAAAAAATTATCATAATATAATAACAGATTTGTAGTTCAATGATATCATGTATAATTCAGTGACGATGTATTCTTTACTATTTTCATGTTAAAAGTGAGATATAAATTAACATTAAAATTTTGAGAAACTTGAATCGATACCTCTAAATTATCAATCATCCAATTGATTCTACTATAACTTTTCAAGTAACTTAATTACATTCAAATCTATTATTAAACCTAATACATATCTCCAAATCTTATGGGTAATTGTGAATTCTGACAATTTGTTTCCCCTCCTCCACCTAATCCTCTTTTCTCAATGGTGCTAAATTTTTAGTGGGGCGATTTCAATTTGCAAGGATTTATGCTCTTCTCCATATTTGTCCTTCCTTCCAAATAACAATCCTTGTTCCATCAAGCTCTCTCCATTGCTGGACAAGATTGTTCTAGTCTTTGGCCTTTACTCTGGCTTTGTTGGAGTTTCATCTCATTTCACAATCACCCCCAATTCCCATAATTCTAATCTATCTCTCCCACTGTTGTTCGTTTCCTTCCCCTCCATTTGGTTATTCCATTTTCTGTCTTTTCTTCTTCTCCCAACTCTTCAATTTTGATTCTACATATCTTCACACATTAATTATTAGCCCATTCACCATTTCTCCCATTCCTCTCCTATCTCCATTCACAAAGCAAAAAAACCTCTATTTCTTGAAGCCCCCCCTCTTATGGCTCAGGTAATCAACCACACTAACCCTTTCTTCCTCTTATTCTCCCCCATTTCATGCAAAGATGCAAGAAAATCCACCTCGAAACCTAAGATAATGCACAAATCTATTGAAGCGTGGGTGGAATAGATTGGTTGGCATGTTAAATCGCCTCTCCTAGCTCTCTTGTAATCAAGCTCCGATCATTTTTTTATAATTGTTTCTTTTTCTTTCTTTTTTGTTGTATACATATGTGTTAATCTTATCCGATTATATGGCAAAATTGCATGTCTTTTCATAATATTAAAGCAAGATATAATGCAATGAATTTTAAATAATAGTTACAACTTTGTGGTACACTTTGAATTCATCCTTTACTTTTTAATCGATAAAGAAGAGAAATCTGCTAGAACAATTATAAACTAAACATAGAAAAGTTTGAATCTTTAGTGGGAATGTGTTGATGGGTAGAATGGATCTTCTAATGGGTGTAATTGAATCTCAGAAAAGACTTGAACTTTACCAAAGTTCTGAAGTGAATCATCAACAATTTACTATATTTTCCTCTAACTTTTTCTTGGTTTTGGTGGGAGATCCAAAATTTAGCAGCAAGAGCCAAGACCATTGCCAAAATTTGGGGAGTGGGATGTGAACAACCCAGCATCAGCAGAAGGGTTTACAGTGATATTCAGCAAAGCCAGAGATGAGAAAAAGACTGGAGGCACAACTGGAGCTTCTGGAGCCGCATCGCAAAGGAATAAAACTCCTTCTAAAAAAGATGATCAATATCAAGACTCCTCAACCGTATGAAGAAAAAGAATAACTCTGTAACTTTTTCAAATTTGATGATTATTAATTCTGATCTGTTCGTGGTTTGGTGTGTTTTTGGTGTTTGTTGTTTTGGTTTCTATGCAGAAGAAATGGTTTTGTTGTTTCTAGGAACGAAAAAGGGTTTGATTTTGATCTTTGGTGTGTGATGGGTGGATGGAGATGCAAAGATGGGAGAAGATGGAGGATTGAAATTGGATAACATTTCATTTTGTGGTACTAGAAAAGAAAAGATTGCTGCTGTTTTGGAAAGTTTGCAGTGCCTTTAATCAGGGAGATGGAGAAGAAGAGCCATTGTCCAATTTTCAACTCCCACTTGATTTTTGGTATTCAATGTTAATCCCCCAAAATGTCCTTATATCTCTCATACTCTGGTTCTTTATGTGTAAAATACCATCACAAGCTTTTCTTTTAGGAGTAACAATTATTGAAGGATTTTGAACACATATTTGCCTACTCAACCTTTCATTTTTCTATGAATGCATGTTCATGGTCTAATCTGGTTTGAATTGATGCAAATTATTAACCTTTAAATTCTTTATAGGTGTATGCATGATGTTTGGATCAAATACAAACTAAAAGAAAAGAGCGTACGAAAAAGAATTATATTAAAGCTACATTTCAATCGAATTCGGTTAAACTTAATTACTTTTTTTTTCATTTATCAAAGGTATTGATAAAGTGGAAATAAAAATATTCTTATACTCAAGAATAGAAACTAAGGATTAGATGCTGCATTGGTTTGATCACATTGGATCTCAATGTGTGTTCCTTTTCTGTTATGGCTGCTAATTCTGTGCAGTTTTGAAGCCCGATTAACCAATTAACTAGAAATCAAGCAATTTGGAAAAGGAAATGTATCAACATACCATAAAATTCAAATGACCATAATAAACAGAAACCTGAAATCCAAAGGGGTTCAATTACAAAGAACAGATTCCCTCTTAGAAACCCAAATGTGACAATGAGTCCACTAGAGACTCTTGTCCTACAACCTAAAAACAACTTCAAACTAATCATCAGAACATAACAAAACAAAACAAAACAACCAGAACCCCTCTAAAACTAACTAGAACATGGAAGCAGCAGCAAGGCCAGCCAGACCAACTGCCACAATGGATGAAGAAACTCCACCAAGAGGCAGAGTTACAGCAGATGCAGACTTGTGATGACCATCCGCGTCTCCACCACCTTCACCGCCACTAGAAGCAGGGGCAGTGCCATTGCCATTGCCTTTGCCAGCATCTTGATCAGTAGTGAGCACCTTGATGATCATCCTCTGCCCTTTGCCACAGTGGCCAGAGACACCGCTGATGAAGTAGTAAGGCCCCGAGTGGTCGAGCTCATACACCGTGTCGCCCGTGTTGGAGAAGTAACTAGGATGGCTCGAATTGCAGTTCTTGTAGTCCTCCATGCTCACCTCCATCACCGAGTCCTTCTTGTACCTAAACCCTAAAAAAGAAAAAAAAGAAAAAAAAATGGATCAAAATGGAGAGCATCAATGAACATGGCAGGAGAAACGTGGGGGTGGGGTCAACTACTTACTGACAGTGTCGCCAATGAGGAATCTGTTCTCAGAAGCCCAGTCGTTGTAGATTCTGGTGTCGTTGGAAGGTGGCACCACCCAGCCTTTGGCCCCGCCAACTTGGTACTCGAATGATGTGACTGTGGTGGTGATGGTGAGAAAGGTACAGAGAAGGCAAAGCAGCAGGCTCTTCTTTGTGGTGTTCATGGCAATGGCAGCCATTGTTGTTGTTTATTCTTCTTGGGATGACAGTAAATTCTCTCGATCTTTGCTAAAGGTGGAGTCTTTGTTCGTTTTCTGAAATGGGTTTCCTAGATTTGGCGTTGTGGGTTTTATAGGGATGAAGTGGGGAGAGGGGAGTTGAGATGAAGGGAGGTGTGGCTTTGTTGCTGACTTTGCTGTTGGTTAGTTACTTGGGAGGGAAGACTGGGAAAATGGAAGTAGTGGGAGAGACGGTTTACAAAAACAAATTGACTTGGTCAGAACACAGAAGGTTGTAATTAGTTAAACCTTAAAAATTAAATTCCGCAAATAAAAATGAAAATAAAAAATTGATGGTAACTTAAATTATTTCCTCAAACAATCTCTTCAATTTTAATTTCTTTTATGCAATGAGCTTATTTTAGTCATGATTCGATCACTTTCATCAAAGTTAACAAAATTTGTGATAAAATGTAGGCTCATGAGCCTAGCCAGCAACTCCAACCATTGACACTCAAAGTAAGCTTCAGGTTCATCTCACCAAACCCTTCATTAAACTGGCTTAAGGGTGATTTGTACTTTCTTGATACCGAGTTATTAATCGAACTGGGACAACATCTTCACATAAACTAAGCTAAATTTTACAAAAATAAATACGGATTTTGGAAAAGCCCCCAACTTTGTGGGCAAATTGAGTGGAAAGCAAAGTTCAAGGGCTCATTAGAGAAAGTATCGAGTTCAAGGAGCCAAAATTAGCATTAATCCCAAGTAAAATCAATAATGATGAGAAAAGGTGGTAAAACTTAGCAGCCAAAGCTGGAACATGGTAATGAACTTTTGCATTGTCTGTCCTCAAATCTGTTTCAAATAGTTTGCCTTTTACTACATAGGATTTTGTTACATTCAGAAAACAGTAGAGAGAGGGGGGGGGGGGGGGGGGGGGGGGGGGGGGGGGGAAGGGTAAACTAATCTATCTACAATATCTGCATTTATGTTGTCTTTCCTAATCTAAACCGCAAGGGTTAGTAGCTTGGCTGGAACCATAATGAAACAAGTCCGAATAAAATTTTCTAAAACACCCATGAAGAAATATACAGTTAACAGGTTGACTAATTATGTATGGTTATTTATCAGTTAACCCCATCATGGTCATCCATTATACAACATCTACCTCCCTAGAAGCAGAAACCTGTTGAGAATCCGAATCAGAACTGTGACTGAAGCTTGGCTTCCCATTGACAACAGATCTCTGGCTGAAGATCCTGGCGAATGCACTCTTCGATCGAGCAAATTTCTTTCGACCATTGCCATTCTTCCTTGCAAGATGCTCTGATAGGTTATTGACAAGGTTCTGGAAGTTCCTCCTAGCGGTTGGGAACCTTGAGATCGATTTCACAATACCTTGTAGCCTAGGTAATGGAGTCGAAAATGGAAGTAAAGTCAAGTTCTGAAAAACTAAGAATGTGTTGGAGAAGAGAGAGTTTGTTCACCCACCTTCTAGCTAGTGCATCGAGTTCAGCTCGCTTTCTCTCGGTCTCAGGTGGTTGCCCGATATATGAAGTTTTCAACTTGACAGGATCACCATACAACAGCACTAACTTGCAGAGGTAATCCTCTTCTGACTCGGACAGGTTCTGGGCTTTAAGCTGGTCTTTGATGACCAAGAATGGGTTAAGAAACCAGTCGAAGAAAGCATCTCTCGGCCTATTTGTGCTTGTTATCTCAGTCACATTATCACCTGCATCAAGGATTGCATGTGAGCTATGCAAATCCAAAGGAAAGCATCAAAGCAATTCTACATTGATGGAAACTCACTTCACTTACTCAACAAAATGCCTGCACAGTTGGCCTTGGCAGATCTCAACAAAGCTTGCAGAAGGCAGAAAGTTGGCAACCCAGTGCTAATTGCTCGGCTTCCTTTACCAGACTTGGCATCTTCGACATCTTCCTGAGTAATAAGTCCTTCAGATAAAAATTTCTCACCATGGACCTGGCAATTCTGAAACCAGCTCTCGAGGAGCTGCCTCACAAAGAGGGTTTTCATTTTAGTACTTTTGCACATGAATATAAACTTGCATATCAAGCCAGTGAAACAGAAGCATGCAATACCTCAAATGGCTTCACATCAACCAGAGGGCCAGTGATAGAAATGGTGCGTGAGAAAGATTTCTTGAACGATGAAGCAGGCCTCGTAAATGAGGCTGAGCGTGAAGTGCCCTCGGATTTCTTTCTGTACTGCGGCCTATTAAGATAAAAGAAAAAGGAAGACACATTATGATGTGAAGGCCCAAGGTTGTTTCTCGTGAGTTCCCTAAATGTTTGAGATCAGAATGCAACCTGGGAAAGCAAGATCCTTCCGGCAAGTCAAGAATGTCATTACTGTACTCATCATAGATGGCCAATGATGCTGCAACATATCGAAGTCCATAGCAAAAGGACTCCTGCAAACTCCCATGATACAGAATCAGAAATACAATGTAATTACATGAAGCTCATACATTACAGAATGAACTCAAAACCAGATCATATGAAAAATGAACATCGACCTGATAAACAATCACAGCAGCATAAGCACCGAGAAAGATGCTCGACACCATGGATCCCAAGACAGCCCCAGCAACAGCCAGCGGCCAGAGTAAAATAGCAAGACCTGCAAATGGAACACATATTGTTTCCAAGAAAGGGCCTTCTCTACCAACGAGGTCATGAAACAGACGATGCCATCCCTTAAACAACATATACGGGCTCTTGCATAAGGCTATGAAAGAGACCATGGGGAAGTCGAGCAAGACACCGAGCACACCAACAATTAGAGCACCAGGAAGCTGAAGCAGTCTGTAGGAATAGCAGAGGAAACGAATCATTCAGCTAATGGGCTCACTCCTCTTACTACATAAGTAACGTGAGTCTTGCAAACTATGGTTTGTGTTATTAGAAGGACGACTGAGCTTGGATTAGAACACACATATAATAGTAAAGGCATTAGAAACCTGATCTCATAGTACTTTCCATCTTCAGGCCCTTTCTTTTGAAGATCATCCATGAGTGAGGAATAAGAATGGTAGCACACATCACCAAAGTCTCTTATAATAGTGAAACAGCCACTCACGGTGTCTATAGTTCCATCCTGAAAAAATGAAAACATCAATTAAGATTAACATCAATCCCATGATTAAGAGTGGATAACTGAATCATCAAAATGATTTAGTTTGAGACACGTACAACGAAACAATGATATAACTTATCACTCTTCCCTTCTCCAATAGCATCAAAAGTGGCAAATATTGGTGAGAGTAAGCCATATAATGCTCCACCGACAATGCTTCCAGCAAAGCAGAACACCGGCAATAGAATTAAGACAGTCGGTAAGCAAATGCAAAGAAGAAGCTTCACGAATGGTCCCAGTTGTCTAGATCTGTCAGTTATGCAGACAACCAAGAGGATTTAGAGAGTGTCCAGCATGGGAACAATAACAAAAAAGAACAATAAGGTCCCAGGAAAGCACCTCAAAATGGAATAGTATGTCCAGTAGAAATGAAAGGGCCAGAGACTCAATATGATACCAAAGTTTCCAATCAGCATGAAAATGAGGATCACTGGGCACAAAATGACACCTGGAAAAGCAAACAAAGGGTTCACATTAGATTGTTGATCTCTCCAGAGATAGAAGACTAATAAAATGACTCTCAAGTGGTCCCAAGAAAAGTATGAATTGCAAAGCAGAAACAAGATGCTGCTGTTAATCATTACACAGCAGTTCAGTCTGCAAACTTCTACATTTAGAAACATCAAATGGAAATCATTTCAAATCCATTGCATATAATATCACCAATACGATAATCACATATGATTGATTAGATGATGAAGAGTGAGGAAGAGGAAAGGGGGCGATACATCAATAACCCACTCCGTACGTTTAGAACTGAAATGATTGGCAAAAGATGAAAGAAGCAAAAAGGAACCAGTTCAATCCACTTTAGAGCAAGGAACCTGAAACAAAGGGGGGCAAAAACTTACCCTTGATGATACCCAGAATGAGCAGCCCAATGAAGATAGGGAGAAAGATTACGAATGACCAGAGTGTAGAGAAGAAACCTTTGGGACGCTCCATTATCTATCTATTCCTGCACCGAACAATCCAAAGCACAAATGAACTTCTTTCAGATCTCCACAACTCAGCCAAAACCAACTTTAAGCAAAACCCCAAGTACCAAAACCGCAACCACAAGCAAACCCAGAAAGCAAAAGAGTGAAAAGAAACATTTTTTGACAGTAGGGGGAAGAAAAGGAAAACTTACCAGAAAGGAGCTATGGTAGATCTATCTGCTTGCCAAAAGAACCCAAAAAACTATACTACACTCTACTCTCTGCTTAGGGAACCCAGAAAAGGGAAAGGGAAAAGCGTGAGGCCACCCTTTGCCCCTGGGGATTACTCAAACGTAGCAAAACAAAACCCTTTTGTCCTTTGTATCCTTGCGAATCGCAACCAGAGGGTAAGGGCAGCAAACACGAACTCTGGAGGGAAACGATATTGCTTTTTTCACATGGAAACTGAACTAGGCAGTTAATTAACTACCTTTTATCACAAAATTTGATCAAAGAAATACTAAGCAGCTCAGTGTGCCAACTGCCAAGTTTGATTTTTTCTCCTCTCACGCTTACAGTCTTTTTCTTTTTCTTTTCTTGGTGTTATATTTCAGGGTTGATTGATAAGAAAATGGCAAGAGTGTTTTGTGTGCTTGAATTATAAGCGAAGCAAAAGTGTTTGAGCTTTGGTATCTCATTAGTTACAAGTCTGGGGATTTTCTGCTCAACAGGAGGGGAAATTAGAAGATTCTGAAAAAACTTCCCACGGTTTCTCTTTTTATATTCCCTTCTTAAAAAAATCATATTAACTCATACATGGTCTCGCTCCATTGCAACCCACATGTTGCACACTACTGAAATCCTATATCTGAGCTTTTGTGCAACTTGGTTGAGTTGATCAAATGAGCTTAATGAGAAACTAATTACCTGAAGAAGAAAAAAAATCCCAAGTAGCACTTTCTGCCTCACCTATTATTGTTGGAAAAAGTAGGAGTCTTCAGGTTTATTGTGTCATTTTGAGTTAATATGCTAAGTTATTGTTTGATCATCATCTTGTGATGTTTTAGATTGAGTCACTTTTAATTAGCAGTGGTTATGAGCATTTTATACTATTACTCTGATCATTCAACTGATTAAATCACATGACAATGTGGACAACTAAACTAGATGGAGATGAACAGAAGACCAAAGTACTATTACTTCAACTAAATTAAAATTACATGTCGAAAAAACTAAGTTAGCTAACCGATTTATTAACCGATCCAAAACTTTGGTGAGAGTTTCTGTAATTGGCCCGTCACAAATGTTATATCTCCATTATTAGAACAACTAAATTTGTAATTTCAGTGAGAGTCACTCAGTCTGAAAAGCATACACTTGTCGCGTCGGTATAGCATAGTTGCTTACATTTTGTAATTCTCACTGCATTTGTGCCCATTTTTCAATTCGGCTAAGCAGGCAGACATGTTAAACAAGTTGGTCGATGAAGCAAAATTGATTATTTGACATCTCATTGCATATTCATTTGTGTTCACGTACTTGATCGAATATAGATAAAGTGTTTTCTAACTTATTATATTGAATTCCTCGAATCTCAAACTGCTTTTGGAATTTATAACTTATAAGTGACGAGCTCTCTTATAAATGAAGTAGAAGATCTGACCCCTTAAGAAGAAGTCTTGATTATGTCAAAGGCAATGACCCTAAAATTAATATTCGTAGTCATATCACAAGGACCAACAATATTGAGGACTATACGTTCATCTTTTTCTTTCTAGATAAGATGGATGAATGAATTGTTTCTCTCACTATGGATGTACATAAATATTTTTCCTCTGAACACCCTGATTTATTTTTTAAGCAACAACAAAGTGACACAAACTAGTTTATTTCCCTATTAATTGCTCTAGAGTATAATATGACTCTAAATCTGTGATGATGGTCTCAATGTTTGGCCTCTTTCTAGAATTCATTCCATCACACAAGACTCAAATTTTAGCTATTTGCACACATTCTTGCATTGGATTTACTCATACCTCCTTTTTTTATTCCAAGAATAGTGTGTAGCTAGAAAAGAAGGGACAACAGACAAATCGAATATATTGTATATGTTCTTTGATTCTTCTGTTGTTTGTCTGAACAAACCATAACCTAATTACCAATGCTTTCCCGTCCTTTGTACTTTAGCCACTTCATTATAATTGAATCTCTTATCTTGATATATAATAATGCTCCATTACAAATTTAAAAGACTTGAAAAAGCCTGGAAAGGCACAACCAGTGAGGATGTTCAAAAGAAAATGCTTTAAAACTAGACTTATCTTATCATATTAAAAGTCATATTAGTGCGCCAAGATACCAAAAAAAAGAAAAAGGTTGTTGAGACACAATTCACCTAAAGAAGGTCTCAAGTTCGAATTCGATGTCTTCCTATCAAATGCTTCTGCAAAGATCCTTTGAGCCGGTAGCACCAGATGCCTTTATTTACATGCTCTAATCAATTTGCCTATGGCGCCGCAGCTCCAGAAGGTTGAAGCTTTACTTGCATACTGAGATTTTTCTAGTAGCTCTAGCTTAGTGCACCAGCTTCAATGGTAGAAACTGACAAAGTAGGCTAATAAAGTTAACAACTTCCATTACATCTTATGGAAGGAATAGTAGTAGTAAACCAAGATTTAATTTGGTCAGTGACAGTTTCTAGTAAGAACCCAAATATACAAAATGACACAAAAGAATAAAGCACAGCAGTCTTACATATTCATCATGCATTAGCTTTCCCTTCCTTGTCTATAGTAGATTTCCCTCTTGTCAAACGGTTGGCTTCTCCTGGGAACATCAGCAAACCTCGTAAACTCGGTCAGCGTCTTCCTAATCCTCATTCCACCTCCTCCTCTCCTTCTCTCCGGTGGCCGATCTCCCAGCAAGCTCACATCAATGGTGGCACCTGAAGCCCGAGAAGCATCCACAACAGCATCATAGGCCTTCGACGAAAGCACAAGGCCATCATTTTGAGCACGCAAGTACGCCTCGTAGGCAAGCCTCGGCTTCCCATCTCTCACCAGAGCTTCAATCAGCATCTGGTAACTGATCTCGTTCGGCTCCACGTCCTGCTGCTTCTCCATGCGATGAAACCACTCGTACGCTGCACTGCTCAACCCAAGACGCGCACACCCACTGATGATGGCGTTGTACGTGACAACTGTGGGTGGAATACCGACATCAACCATCTCTTTGATTATGGAGTCGACGAGCCTGAACTTGCCTTGCCCGGTTAGCACAGAGGCCATGATGGTGTATGCATACAAGTTGGGTTGGACTTCCATTTTCAGCATGTGATTCCATACGCGAAAGGCCTCCTCGTAGAGTCCGGCCTTCTCGAGTGCACTGAGAAGTGCACCGTAGGAGATAATTGTTGGTTTCTCGCCTTGCTCGACCATTCTCCTGAATATCTCCACAGCAGCAGAAGTTTCAGCAGCTTTTGAGCAAGCCACGAGAACTGCATTCCACTGCCTACTCTCGGGTTTAAGTCCTTTATCCTGCATCTTGTTAAGTAATCTAACTCCCCACCTCCAAATCCCTCGTTTGCTAGCAGCGGCCAGTAAGACATTGAAATGAGAGATGATTAGCTCGGACGATAAGTTATTAGGGCTTGGTCCCTTGTCTAGCAAGTCTTCATAAATTTCTAAAGCTGCCCACCATTTCTTCGCCTTTCCCATCAACCAAATCAAATGGTTGCAGACAGACAAGCTTATTTCAGGATATCTTTCTCTGACTCGTGTGTACAACTCTTTGGCCACACGATAATGATCCTCGCGCGTGCAAGCCCAGATGAGTCGTTCATATTCTGCTCGACTCGTTTGAAGACCTGCATTATCCATACTGGTTAAAAGCTTGAACACTTCTGTGCTCATGTCTTGAAGCCTCGCGAGCCATCTCCTCATCACCTGATAGCAAATCCTGATCGTGAAGTCCTCGAGTTTAGCAAACTCCTTTTCCCAATCCTCATCGTCACCATTATCTCTCCCTATCTCCCCTTTTATATACTTCTCCTTGAACTCTACAAAGAACTTCAACGCTCCATCTCCATCTTCCATCCTTCGGTAAGCCATCAAGGCAATCGAATAGGAAGCAGCAGATGGTGTAAAGCTCTTCTGACAAATCTGTTCGAAGATATCGAGAGCCTTGGAGGGTTGTTCCTGCTCGACATGGATCATCATCAAGATGTTGTAAGTCACGACGTTGGGATGGATCCCTTCATGAGCCATGTCATTCACTACTTTCTCAGCTTCTTGATACTGTTCGCAATCTTTTACAACTGTCAACAGGCTGTTGTAGACAAAGAGGTTGGGACCAATAAAAGCACCACCAGTTTCTACCTTCTTTCTCCTGAGCCAATCCACTACTGCCAATGCTGGCTTCATCTTCTTGTCCCAACCAAAACCCCTGATCAACGATGAATACACTTTAATTGGGAATATCCCCATATCTTTAAGAACCTCCTCTACATCATCTGCTGTTTCAACAGCATGTAAGCTCTTGGCCAGCTCTCGAACATCGATCTTCCCATCCGGATTACTGATCCCATTAGTGGCACCTACCCTATCACATTCATGAGATTCTCCATCGATGTTCTCATTCTCTGTGTTGGATTGAGTACTACTACGAACAAGAATCTGTGTCTCTTCTTCATCCAATTCCCATGCTGATGCAACAGATGAACAAACACAATCTTTCTTTTTCTCAGCAAAAATATGAAGTCCTAGCTTAGGGTATCTACACGTAAACACATTACTGCTTCTACCATACCTTGAACCAGCAGAAACTAGGAAATGACCATAATAAACTGAATTATGAAACAAAGAAACAGCAAAAATGCCAACTTTCTTCCTTCTACAGCTGTAAAGGCACGAAGCCAAGTCCGATTCGACTTGGGGAAGCGTCCATAAGCTAGATTTTGACGGCCAGACACTCAAAGCTTGCATCTTTCCAGCAAATTCACAAGTTCATAGCAAAACCCACAACCCAAAATTCCAGCACGAGAGCAATAAAGCATGCTAAGGTTTCCTTTCCGCAGCACTTGAAGTAAGAAGCAAGAATGTCAGGAAGCTATGGCTTTGGATACCTGAAGAAATGGCAGAAGGCAGTTTGCATGTTCATCTGGAACGGATAGATTTCTGGTTTTCTGGATTTCTTCAGTTTGGGGACTTTGGGTGCCCGGTGGCGCTCTGGCGTCCGCATGAGCTTGGCGCAATGAAAATGACGTAGTTTCACGCTTACGGATCGAAGTTGGGCTCACTACCAGGCCTCTAAGGCAAACTGGGTTCTTTGAGCCCAATTGAGCAATTCACTGATCAAGACAGAAATTCCCTTCTCATTTCTCAAATAGTAGTCAATGATGATTTTGAATTAATAAATTACTACTAGAATAGGATGTTAAGTTTCTTGTAATTTGGTTCTAGTTAATTTTCCATTTGGGGTTATTATGAGTAAAAAATAAATCAGTGACAATGAATTACTTTCGATTTAGAATTGGATCGATATACTATAATAACGAGTCATCGAACAAAAAGAAAAGAATGATTTTGAAATTTGAACTTAATTGAACTATGCATCTATTTGGTTTGACACTACTTGAAAGATAATATATAATTTTCAAATTCAGTGAGACCATAATTTGTCAACATTCTTCGTTTCATTACACACAGTAATGAATCTCATACTATTTACTATTTAGACACATGCTAATATTATTTCTTGAAAGTCAAAATCCAGTAATCCACCCATATTTCAAAACAAAATTAAGACACGAAAAAATTAAAACTACTACCACAATCTCAGTTCTAAAACTACTTCTCTAACACCTGCATACATATATTATTGGAGCAATGGCCAAACAATCACACAACTTTCAGCAACAACAAAATATAACATTAACAACGACAGCACACAAGATCAACAACCACAATCAAATCCAAAAATATGTTTAAAGACCCACGGAATCCCTCACGATTACACTAATAACGAACTGATCATCTCCTCCCCACACTCAATAATGAATAAACCAATAATCAAATTCAAATCCCCATCTTAATCATCATTCAATAATCGTCCAAATCAGTCCATCAAGAAAGGATTACCACCCCCAGAACGAATTACCATTGCTGTTATTATAACCACCATTACCCCCACCGCCGCCGCTCGAACTCTCCCCAAAATGCACCCCGCCACCGCCCCCAGCCGCCGCCGACGGCGCCATCATCATCAGACCCTCCCCCACAAACCCCATCTGCCACTCCGCCGCCGTCACCGGGATCGGCCCCGGCGGTGGAGCCGGGTTCATCATCTCCATAAACCACTGCTGCCTCTGCATGCTCTCAATACTCTCCGCATACTCCTCCTTGGGCCCACTGTTCCCAACCACTTCCGGCCCAACGGCCTGAATCGAATCCGGCCCATTCAACCCACCACCGCTTTCACCCCGGCCCATCTGAGCCACGTTCCCAGGCCCACGGCCCAGATCCGCGATGTGGCGGTCGACATCCTTCAGCTGCCCGTCGATGTACCGGGAGATGACGTCAAGATCAGTCAACGTCAGGCTGTGGAGCGCCATCTTCCCTTCGAGGCACTGGCTGACGGCCTGAGCCACCTCTTTGTCTCGATTCTCGCGCTCCTGCTTCCTGAGCTGCTCCGCCGCCTTCTTGATCCGCTCGCCGAGGAACTTCTCCTGGTCCATCATCTTCTTGCTCTGCTCCATCTGCGGCACCTTCCTGAACCGGGACAGCACGGCGTGGACGCCGGCGGCGGTCGGCGGCCAGGTCTCCGGGTGGGAGTCGTAAGGGGAGTAGATGATGGCGCAGGCCTGGATGTCGCAGAGGGTGCTGAGCTCGCTCACCTTCTTCATCAGGCCCTTCTTACGCTTCTTGAACGTGGCCTTGCGGGCCGAGTCGTTGGCGATGTAGGCCAGCTTCACCTTCTTCCTCGTCATGAATCGACGACAGGCGGATCTAGGGCAACGAGCGAACGAGAGCTGAATCGCTTTTTTTGAAGGTGGTGCGGAAATGTTGTGTGACAAGTGAGGTTTATATAGGATTGTTAGAATGTGGATAAGTTAGTGAGCTGTGAATTAGTTGTCTTGGGGAGGGGGAGGGGGTGGATGGAAGTAATAGTGAATATACCATAAGAAGAAAATCTTGGGGAATCATGGGGTTTAAAAGTGTTGATTGACATTCTATATATACGATTTGGCGGAACTAGAAAATATAATTTTTGTATGCATGACGATTAAGGATAAGTTTTAGTTTTTAATAAGGATATATTTTTAATGCCATGGAGTGAGATTAATATATCGGTGATGTTTGACGGTAAGGTTTGTCAAGATGAGAAAGGGCGATCACAAATGTATTCTTTTTTTAATTTTAATTTTGATTTGCTTTTTATTACATGATGGTGTTTGTTTTGCGAAAAAGTTTCGTTGACCTTCTTAGTGACATCGATCTAGCATAAACATTTTTCGTATGACTATTAGAGCAATTTTATTATGAATATGACGATAATTTCGTTTCGGTGTTTGAAGACTCTCATTTCCTTTTTACTCAAACATAAGACTTAGTGAATATAAGGTATATCATACAATTATAATCCAGAAATTCGAGTTAAATCTTCTTTTCATTCGTTAGACTCAAAGAATAAATAAATATATATATAACACGCATATGATCAGGTCTTTCTAGATGTAAAAACTAGATTTTTTTCAATAATCTTTATTGAACCACATCAGTGTCAGGAAATGAACGTAAAAAAACACGACCACCACAAATTAACCCTTACAAGACAAAGATGGTCCAATCGTATGAATGGATGTGCATGAGGTTGTTAATTACTTACTATAATTGATTTAATTAATGATAACCATGCATTAAAGACATAGATTTGGTCTGGGATATGACAGTTAATGTGAAATCACAAAGTTGTTGTAAGCAAGGTTGTCAAACCGGTTTAAGTCATTGAGCCGGTCAAGCAAGGGGTTTGAGGTTTAATGGTCTGATCGGGATCCGGCCGGTTTGAGCCGTTTTAGACGTTTTCTAAATATATATACAAATAAAGTAGTAATTAAAAATTTAATGAGTGAAATAAAATTTATCTTACATATATCTATTAAAAACTTATTTTCAACAAAATAAATCTACATAACCTCCATGATCCACCTACCATTTCCCTTCCTTCGTTCCTTTTCCTCTCTTCTGCCTCTCTTCTTCTCCCTGTTTAGGGGTCAGACCGGGGGGGTTTTCTGGAGGCCGTTTTGAAGCTCGACTCGGGTTGAACCGGGTCCAACCGGGGGGTTCGATAGGGGTTTAACAACCTTGGTTGTAAGAAAAATAGATTGGATGGTGATGAGTTGGACAGGCAGGAGTTGGAGTTCGATTCCAATTTTGTTTTGATATTTAATGCATGGTAGTATTACTTATGGCAATAGATTGTCGCCTCAAGTTCTGCTTAGTAAAATGAAAGCAGATTTTGATTAAAAAAAGGGCTATAGAATGTCACGGAATCTGATATATGATTTTCCATATTAATTGTGTAGCTAGCCAGCTTTACATTAATCTGTAGAAATCTTTTCTGAAACGGTGTGATAATAATACAACAAATATGCAACTAGTTATGTGGTATATATATTTTTAACAATAGTTTTTTGACAAGATTATGTGTTATATATTCATGAACGGGTATTGATATAAATGATTTTAACCATATTGGATTATGTAAGATATTCATAATCATTACTCGTCAATTATTTCGATGTTCACAATAAGAAAAAAGTGATTATGAGGATTTTGTTTGGAATATGACATACATAAAAGATATCCTAACTACGATAATTATATATGGTCGTTGATAGCAACAAAAACAACGTACATGAATTTTGTAAGGCCTTCATAATCATATTACTAAATAATTAGTTTGATATTCATGATAAGAAACAGAAAATGAGTGATTATGTAATGTTTTCTTTTAGAATTATGGACGTAGAAAACATTCTAACTCTTACAATTAAAGAGAACTCAATAGCACCCAAAACAAGATAACTTATGTATTGTATGTAAGGACTGTAATAAAGTATTTATGATATCCCAATTTGTTATAGCATGATTGTTCTCAAATTTGTTATAACATGATTGTTCTTTTTCAATTACGAGTGATCTTGTGGAATCTGAATGCTACTTTATTATTGTTGAAGTAACTATTTCAAATGCATAACTATATGATAGCTCATTATTTTTATGTATCAAAAGACATGAACGTATATGTGCCTCTAGCCAGCTATCAACTAGGATTAAATTTTTTATATCTAGATTGACATAACTTAGTTAAGAAGGGTTGGTATAAGTTTTGACTTTTGATCCTCATTTTTTCTAGTCGTTTGAACTCACTATCTACAGATTTTCGAGATCAAATTCAAACTATCGAAACTTATAGTACTTAGGTCATATGTCATTGGTCTGAATAGAATAATGGTAGAGATCAAAGCATCAATCCATTGTCGTCCAGCGGTTAGGATATCTGGCTTTCACCCAGGAGACCCGGGTTCGATTCCCGGCAATGGAATCTTTTGAGTTTTTGCCTTTTTTAGGGCTCTTGGCTGAGTTTTATATTTTTATTTTTATTTTTTGTCGAATGCTGATTGCTGAATGGTAGTTTAAATGTTGAGAAAGTGTAAATTCATTGGGGGTTATAAATTATCTTGGATTGTAGTTGGATTCCGCTTCAGAAGTCAGGAGTAATAAATTTTTCTACATAATCATATTAATTGAGCAATAATAATATTCATATTCGTGTGTGGATAACTCAGCCAAACATATTATGATGATTTCGCATACCATCTTATGGAGTATATGGTTGGAATGCAAAGCGCGGATCTTTCGGAACGAAGTTCATAGCAGCTTTTAGATTCAATCTCGAATGGTTTTCCTTCTCAGAGAATAAATAGCTATTGAGGACCTAAAGGGAAGCGATACGGGAAGGTTTCTCAAACTACTCCATGACAACACTTCTACTTTTCCATTTAGCTAGACGGCATAACTAAACTCGAATTATGTTTCTTTTCTATAGTTGAGTATCTTTCCTTTGTTCCTCATGTCACTTTTTTATACTGTAAATTCCGCTTGTATTGGCCCTAAAAAGGGCATTCAAATCAATGATATACACCCACTTATTAAAAGAAAATCAAATTAGTGTACATAATTTTGTTTCACACTAAATAATCTAGTATGTCTAAAACAACATTTATAAAAATAGGTATATATATAATTGAGATCCAATTTCATGGTACTGAGGTGTCAAAGATTTTTTGAAAAACCTGTCAAAGAATGATGTGTTATAACCACAACTATATTAATGATTTATTTTATCGATGTTCTGAATATAAGAAAGAAATTAAGATCAATTACCTAAATGATACTTCATTCTTTTTTAAAAATGAAAACTTATGATTTAATCGGTAAATATATTCTACCGACGGTCTAGGTTGTCAAGCGTACAAGTCAAATTATCAAATTACACAGGTTGACCAATTAGCCCCAATAGTAACAAGGTAACAACACAAAGTTAGGTTCAAGTTCTCACGACTCCTACACGTCATTTCCTCCCTTTTATTATACACGTAATCGTAGAACGCGAGCTATATGTGGTTCCTATCTATTGGACGAAAAGCAAGGAGATACATAAATTATTGAAGTTAAATAATAATCAAGTCATAACTACTCATAACTAGTGGTGTATAAGAATATGCCTCTTCATGATTATTAAGTGTCAAAATCGAGGACCCTTCCTAGGATTAACATTCATTCAATAGCTTAGAGACACTATAATTGAGAATGATTATCGAATCATGATCACACTCCCATCCATACATATAGAGCTCACTTCCTTGGAGAAAGGGCATAAAATCTTCAAGAGTGAATCTTGTCTACTTGGAATACATATGGGCCAATGTGTAAGCTAGCAGCATGCATGCAAACTGGCAAAAATCTTCATGGGAGATGGTGATTCTGTATATATCAATCTCGTGCTTGCTTCCAAACCCATTCTTAAAAAAAAAAAAAAACAAAATCTAAACATTATATAGTGATATTATATATGATTATTATTATTATATATTAATGAATAATGCATGTATACAGTTAATTATTTAGGTACCCTCTAGTTGTCTTTACATGGGTTTTGTTTTTGTTTTGTTTCTACTACTAGTCGTCATATATAATGAGTTTCTTCTGGACAGCTTCATGTGTGTGTATTGAATTTTTTTTTTTTATAATTGTTCCTTGTACTGTGAATATATATGGTAAGATAGTGGCAATGTTCAATTAATACTTCCATGTTGATATTTTTGAACATTATTTCCTATATTTGTTTTATTTTGTAACAAAATTTAGCCAGCAAGAGATAATATAATATATCTTTAATGGTTATAAAAATGAAAAATTGTACTTAAAAAAAAATATCGTCAAAAGCGACAATGCAATAATAAAAAATTTGTTGATGATTACTTTTCGAGATGTCATCGCATATAAACGTTTCTTTACTTCTTTGAGTGTCACAGATCAAAGAAATGTAACTACACGCATAACCAATCATAACTTTGTTCATAAATATGTGTTATATTATGATGAAAATAATGGAAGATGTGTCGGGGTTGGTCTTATGCTTACAAAGAATCGGACAGTGTGGCACACCTTCTTGTCCACCCTGTTCAGATTGATGTTTGTGAAACTGTCTTGTAACGTGAGTTGTATCCCTATTTATATATAGTTGATGTAACAACCATAGAGAGTAGCTAGTTATGATTAAGTATTATGTAACCTTCACAAGTTATTCCTAAAAAAATATGTATTTCCGTTGTAATATTAAGACAAACTAATTGATCATAGGAAATAAAGTAGATCAATGGATCAAACAAATTGTGCATGATGTCCACAATAACTATACATAGAGACTATATAAATCATAAGCCAAATAATCGATGGTTTATGTATTTGCAACACATGAAGAATATATGTCTCTTCCCAACATGAGAAACTAAACTAAAATAGTTTTTTTAAAGGTTTTTTGGGCAATAATCATCGGTTGGGAAAATGGTTCCATTTAATGATGATCCTCTGCACTTCTTCACATATATTGTCTAATTGATGTCTTCAAACTCTCCGCAGCACATGTGGATTGTGGCGGGGACTCTCATGTCTCTATGTCTAAAATTATATCACACAATTTCCCATATGAATAATTGATTGATCTCCATGCTCTCTTGTTTGCTTCCTCATACCAATCCGAAAAATGAGCTTAAAAAACTATACATATTATTAAGTGATATTAATAATTATTAGCGAGTATATATAATAACCATATTCCCTGCATTTTGTTCTAACTCAACTACCTTGTTGCTTGTTATGCATACAATGAATACCATTGCAACACGATCTACTCAGTGATCGATTCATTAATTATGACATTGTCGAGAATTTAAATAAATTGCATCAACCGTTTGAATTGTTGACAGCGAATTCCAGTAACGTGCATTTTACCATTTTCCGATACATTACCTCAAATGAAAATCAGTCAGACTTGAAATTTGAACAGACTACGGCCCACATTTTATACCTGAAATCAACTATTAATATATATTGAGGCCTTGAGGACTCGCATACGAGTGATGATCTCTCGAGCAGAGACACAAATGTCATAATCTGGTTAGCAGTTTTATCGATCTCAATAGGTTGAATCTTTGATAAAGGGCAAAGAACGAATCTTAGACTATCCCCTCTAATGCATAAGCAATGTTGTTGAAATGTACTTAATTCATGAAACAACTTGAACAATTAAGAACATTGGAATAAGAGATAATCCTCAAGTACTCGGTTACAACATATTAAGTTTATGTGACCAGTTATAAATTCTTTTTTCTTCCTTTCATGATAACCATATCTAAGATAATTAACCACTCATAACATGGATTTATTGTTAGGCACAATAACGATGAATTGGCCTAAGAGATTGGGGGTACTCTAATGAATTCCAATGGAATCTCTCTTCTTCTCTATCGCAATTACTTCATAAAAGAAATTGGAGTGAACAAAAAGTCCTCCACAACTTAATTGGAATGGAAGTTTTATAACCTACCAACGGACACCGACGGATACATTTATCCTTATTCCCATAAAAAAAATTTGTAGTAAACGATTTTGTTAATCAATTGGATCTCCTCAATTAATGGAATCAATTGCCTTAGAATCAATCATATATTCAATACATCCCTTTCTTTTGTCCTCTTCTGATGAGAGTTAGTTCCAAGAAAGAAATCGGTAGTTTGAAATGATGAAATTATATTCTATAAACTGTCTCTCAAGTCTCTCCAACCCCACATGGTTTGATGCCCTATTGGCCGGCTACCCAACTGCCCTTAAGTTAAAAGGCCAACCCCCAAAAATTAAGGGTCCTCTCCTCTTAACGCCAACCCTATACCTAACTATAACCGACTCCCTTCCTCCCTCCCTCTCCATTGCTTAATCATTTTATAATTTAACCCCAGAAAGTTGCATGTGTGGGTTGGGACTAAAGACAAAAGAGCTTATGCTTGGTTTCCAATTTATTATTATTAGGTAATCAAAGGGCCAAAGTTGATAAACATT